AGAAGTCCTGTTTTACTCTTCGGACCTCTGCAATGACAAAGTTCCAGTGGTTTGATGAACCTGTCTGGTTTGCTTTATTGTGAAGTCTGTTCCTATTGCGAATTATTCGCCTGATGTACCCATTCATCCACACAGTATCGCGCTCATGGATTACTACATCCGTGTGGAGAACAAATCAAGTCAACTGCTTCTGGAAGCCTATCAGAGAATCTTTTCGCAAGTACATTTGGATCTTGGTGGCTTTCAAAGAATTTTGCCCGGTCTGTTGTAGACCGGAAGTTATTGATTGCATCTACATCGAGTTCATTATAATTCTATATGGTACGCTTGAAAGTCGTATTTTCTGGTCGAGGAAGATTTAATACAAGTTCTATCGGACAGTGATCACTAATACCAGCTTTATGTACAATGGTCTCCGAAACTAGATTAGTGTCGATTACCAATGCAACATCTAGAAGAGTTTCTGAGTGCTCTGTATAACGTGTTGGTTCAGCTACAGTTTGTGTGAATCCGAAGTGTTGAGAAATGTTTGTTATTTTATTTGATCTACCAGAAAGCTGATTTTCATTAAAGTCACCTAGAATGCACAGAGGTTTACAATCGTCTTTTGCTTTAGAAATGCTTTCCTGAACAAGTTCCCAATAGTTATCAGAAGATCTAGGTGGAACGTAGAAGGACTCTATCAATAAACGTTTTTTACGAAGAACTACTTCAATCCAAAATTGCTTCTAAATGAGGAAGACGAAGATCGTGTCGTTCTTTAGAAAATATATTATTTTTCACATAGATTGCTACACCACCACCTAAACAAGATGAGCGAGTACAGAGTGCTGGAGATTTAAAGTTTTCCAGAAGAGTATCTTGGTCTTGGTGAGATTCATTAAGCCATGTATCAGAAAATGTGAGTATATCATGGTCCGATAATTCATGCTGTACTAAAAAGATTGATAACCTTAAGATAGATGACATATTCCGACACGACAGGCGGAATATTGTATATTTTTGATTTTTTGGGAAGGTAGAGTTTCCGTTGATGCTTACAGATTGATATCGAGGACAGTATTGCAAATGTATAATGTCAAACACTTGGTTAATTCAATAGAAAGCAATACAGCTATCACGGTGTCAAAATAAATATACGTGTAAAGCAAAGTGTAACAACTTGAAAATTTGTGGGGGGGGGGATCCCCCTAGAAAATGGTTTGAACGCCAAAGTTTACCCCCATTTTTATTTCCACACATACAAAAATATGAATTTTTGCACCAGAATATGTGTCGGAATGTACCAAATGAATTTAATTTTTCGTAAATTTTCTTGAGAGCCCTCTCAGACGCTCTATGAGAGTTTTGCCACTATAACTGGGTACTGGATAACAATAAGATAAGGTTAGGGGCACACAACTCTAGAATTTGGTTTATAGTTTTCATTAATTGGATTATCTAAAATTTTCGACCTACTAAAAAATCAGAATGAAATAATGAATAAGTTGCATCGTTTCTTATGAAACTCTCTTGAGAGCAATGGATATATAGAAATTGTGATGAAATTATAAGCTGAATACATTTAAACAAGAAAGGTTACACATAGTGAGCGTTGATGGCCTGATTAGAGAACACAATAGAATGTGAGTGATAACCTGTACATTAATTAATGGTTGTTGGAGGGTAACAATAGGTGAACAATAGTAATACTAATTACAGATAATAAGCAACATGGGAATCGAAAATTAAAAGATAGCTTGCCAGGCAAAGTAATATACGCCCACTGACAGCTTTGAATTTAAATATAAATATTTGGCAGTACAGTAACAATTAACAGTTTCAAAGTGTACATACATATATATTACATTCAATCTTTCTCTGTCTCTGAGTTTTCTTCACCCCAGATTATCTTTTCCTAGCTCTAAACTCTTTATGAATAGTTTTTTCTGGTAGGCAACTTTGTAATTCAGTATTAGTTTTGTCAGACTTATGATAATGGTGTAGAAATATATATATATATATATTACATTCCATCTTCTTCAATGTTGTACTGGATAATATAGTTTAGTGATTTTTCCTTGTTATAAATATTACCATATTCTTGGGATTTGGATTGATCTTGTTCAAGGTATGTTACATTTTAGTTATATTTTGGAACTTTTGTTTATCCTGGTTACATGGGTGGCAGCCATGTTGGATTTTGCAAGTTTTTTATCTTACAGTTTCTTTCATGTCTTATAAATTACATTACATCTATCATTACTGCAATGAATTATTCTTACTAAATTACATACATTGCACTCCAACTTCTTATTTTCAGATTCTACACCTCTGGTAAGGTACTTTCCCTCTCATTGGATTTAAAAGTGTAGGTTTAGTTATTAGTATATTATTGTTTGTTATCGAAATGTCAATCTGAAAGAATAGCACTTTCAAAATTCGAAAATTTGTCGCAGACATTTTTTTTGCCAAATTTTGCAATTTTTTCACTTTTTTTGCTTTTTGTCTAATTAATCTGAAAAAAATTGAGCAAAGTGAACAAAATGGTACAGACAAATTTTCAATTTCACTTCCGGTTTAAACAGGAAATTGATTTTCACTTCCGGTTGAATAACTTCCGGTGTAATTTGTATAGGTCCAAAAATTTTATGCTGATAGGTAGACAAAGTTATGACAAAAAAACGAAGAAAAAAAATCCGGACCAGACGTGAAACTTTGGCCGCCATTTTGATTTTTCTGAAATGATTCGATTTTTATTCAGACATAACTGCTTATCAGATTTAAATGATTTTAGTGTCAAATGAAAGAAGATAAAAAAAACAACATAATACTAGGAAGCCGTATTCGATTTTCGATTTTCGTTTTTTGCAACTTCCGGTTGAATTTTTCAAAGTTTGAAGGGTCATATCTCGCGATCTTGACCTTGTATGACCTTGACCTTTATAACTTCAAAGGTCATTGACCTTAGCTATCAGTTAATACTTTGACATTTGACCTCCGACATGTACTTCCGGTTTTATAGCTGTCCGAAAAAAGCCAAATTCGCAACTTTGGACTGCTCTAGCACGTGACCTAATTAACCTAGAGGGTTAATTTTTTCGGATTCTTAATGTGCTTTTCATGCTCCTTCAAGCGATATATAACAATCGTTTTTTAAAGCAAAAATTCGTGAATTTTTCAATTTGAGTTTTTCTTACAATATTTTTGTCTCTTTGAGCATGGTGTGTATATATCTTGATCTATTTGATGTAGAACATTGAAACTTGGAACACAAGAAGACAATTTGAATATGAATTAACCTATGACAAAAAAGTTGAGATGGGCGTGGCACATCCGTGTTGAATTACTAATTGTTTACATTTTGGGGAAGGGGCATAACTCTCATAGGATACATTTGTTCAAAAAGGAACATTGCACACAATTACCCCATTACTTTTGCCAGTTTGTGTTAATAGGTCAATTGTTTCAGCTTTATAGTTCCAAAAAAGGAACGGGTTTTGAAATTTCCATATTTTCAATTTTCGATTTTGACCTTTATTGACACATGTAGACCTATATCGTTTGAGCTGTATGGTGTAGAAGGTTTGGATTTGGAACACAACATAACATTCAGAATATCAATTAACCTATGCAAAAGAAATTGAGGTGGGCGTGGCACATCCGGGTTAAATTACTCATTATGGACATTTTTGGCAAGGGACATAACTCGCAAAGTATACATTTGTTCAAAATGGTATTACAATTACCTCCGCTTCATAGTTCAAAAAAGGGAACTGGTTTAAGAAATTCAAAATTTTCAATTTTTGACCTTGACCTTTGTTGACCTTGACCTTTGTAGGATCAAACGTCATTGGCATTGGCCATCTATTTATACTTTTATATTTGCTGTCCTATGTCCACTTCCGGTTTTATAGCCGTATGCAATTTGGAACTTTGATGACTTATATCTCTTGATCTTGAACTTTTTAGACCCTCTCCTTTACAAGATCACAGGTCATTGGCCTTGGCTATCTGCCGATACTTTGATTTGTGAGGTCTGGCGTCTACTTCCGGTATTAGAATCTTTTAAGTAGTGAAAATTTCTCAACTTTAGACTGTTCTTGCACTCGACCTAATTATCGTCGAAGGTTGATTTTTTCAGGGTATTTAGCAAATTGCTACATTTGCAAAGTCCCACTCTGTGCCACGTGTGGCTCTAGTATTTATATTGTTTTACATTTATTAGATACTTATTAAGAAATTGTTCTTAAAGATTGCGACTGTGCAAAATGGTGCCCTTACATTTCATATTTATCAGTATTAGGCTGTATTGAATTATTTTATAGTTGGTCTTAGTTTTAATTGTTTTGATAGGAATCAACATTATTCCATTTATGTATATATTTATTTGCCTGTTAGTAATTTTAATCGTTATACTTTCAGGGTTTTTTGTTGTATGTTAGTAATAAACATCTAGTCAATAGTTATTTCTACCCTTAACCACCTACCCGACATCAACAGTATGAAATATTCAACCTTCTTTTGAACTTTTTAGGGGGATACTGTATAATTATACCAAGTTCGTCAATATCTGTCAAGAATTGGTCCTTCTAGAGTGTTAACTAAAACATGAACGCGTTTTTTAAGAACAAGGGCAATAACTCAAAATAGATATTTTTCGATTTTTCTGATTTTCAAATTATCCGAACCTCTGCGGAACATATTTGTGATTCCTCTTTATTTTCTTTTCTTTTGGTCATATATAGGTAAAACTCTATATATTTATTACCGATATATATGTTATTACTCTTTTTTTTATACGCCCACATGAAATGGGGGTATATATTGTCGTCAACCATGTATATTTAATATGAATTATTGCCCATGTTCTTAAAATGCTCGTAAACACTCTAGAAGGTGCATTTTTGACGGATTTTGATGAATTGATTTTGGAATTATCCAAGCTTATAAAAATTAATAATTGCAGTCGTAGCGTCGTAGTTGAGCGCGTTGAAAACTGAACTTGACGAAGTAGAGATAAAAGTTATCATGGTTATATTAAGGTGCAATAAAACAAGCAATTGTAACATGTTTCGAATCTGAAACAGTTCTCAGTCACAGTAACAATTAACTTCAGCTTCGTTTTAATGTTTCTACATTATCACCTGTAATATTTATAGAGCATCGTCATTCTTAGGCGAGGAAGCCAGTAAATTAGGTAAGGAGTTATATTCTGCAGAAATCCACATCGATAGGATACAGGAAGGAGAATCTAGGTCACAGCATGATCTGGTTGAACTCTCATTGGATCTGATAAAAGCATCTATTGCCTCCTGATGGAGAATTTCACGGATGTTATTCTCAATCAATTCATACGAATGATCTAATGGGTCTGGGGTATTTGACGCGCCATCTTTGTGTTGCGGATCACTTACGTTACGGCATGGTACTTCACAGTCTATATCAGGAACATCAGTAGTCAAAGATGTTAATTCTTTGTGCGAAGCAAGATTCTCTAATACCTGTTCATAAAGTTCAAGATTTTGTACTTCCGGTAAATCTGATAGTATATCAGTGTTTTGTTTATCAATAGGATGTTCATTGGTGTTCAGATCATTCAAAATACAGGTGTAGCTTTCCGTTTGGACTGCCTGACCTCTAACATCAACATGACCTCCTTCCTCAAGTTCCAATAGATCATTGAGAGTATCTTTTAATCGATTTGACCGACAGCCTGGTACTAAATTAGACGAGTCATCATTCAATAAAGCCCATACGATATCAGAATATTGCTTATCAAGTTCTGTTCTTCTGATAAGATATTTCTCACTACAATTTGTTATAATCTGAGTTTTGATTCGCTTCATGCAATTAAATAAAATCCGACGGTGATTCAACTCTACATCATTTGATTTCAGACGATGAGTTGGTGCTGATTTAAGATCATCGAGTCGACTTCGATACAATGCTTGTTCAAAATCTATCAGAAAATTAGAATAATCTCTTCTGGACAGCATCTTTTGGTAAAATTTCAACCATCGTTTGAGTATGTCACGTTGTTTGTTTGGTTTGAGACGAATAAAGCGGTCCAGGTCAGATAGATTCTTAACTGGAGCTGGAACGGGAACAGTTCGTCTGAGTGCTTCACTATACACAACACTGTCATCTTCCTCTTTCTTACACATTTTCTCTACAACAAAAATTTGAAATGAAATGAATGGAGTTTTACGTCCATCTTTTCTGCACCATGTGGGTTAATGAAAATGGGCAACGCCATGCAAGGTGCAATGAGAGAAATTTTGCCACATTTTCAGCTGTCGAGGGATCTTTAACGTCTTTTAATAGTCCCATCCCAACGTCAGCCCCTCTTATCTGCATAATTGACATCGGGAGGGGGGGGGGGGGGTCAGGTTGAAGAATCTGAAGCTATTATCTCCACCTATGCCAGACTGGAACCCTGGACCTACAGGTTAGCGAGCAAGCCTTTAACTCACTGAGCCAGCGCGACCCTCTTCTCTGCCATAGAAAAATTACTTTTATTTCAGATTATAAGCTATCATAGTTCATACTTTTTATAGCATCTATCACAGTTTATTTAATAAATTTATGTCAGTTACAGTCTCGCTATACAGTGGCGTTTCTACTAAGAGTCCAGAGGAGCCATGTCCATCAACCCCGCCCCGAAGAAAAGAGGTTGACCCGGATTTGGCCCTCTCCCTGCTCCAAGCTTTTAATTTCGTTATCATTTTATAAAGTGGAAGAATGGGCTGTGGCCCCCTCTGGAAAATTTTGTGATCCCTGTCCGGCTCCCTCCCCTAATGATTCCAAGAAACGCAGTCGAGTTTTGGTTTGTGAAAATGGATTGTGTAGTAAAATATGTGCTTTATCAATCTGTTCCAGGTGTAATATCCATAAACTTAATTCTTAAGTGTCTAGTCGACACATTTCAGTAATTTGTTTTCGTTTAATTTGATACAGTAAAAACAGTGCAACCGAATGTTTAAGAGGTCATATGCATCAGCACATAGTCTGGTTGGTTATGTAATACATAAAGGCCATCCATCACAAATTACCACACCAGGGAGAGGTTACTTTCTTCAGCCACACTAACATTCTGTCTTTTCAGTGTTATTGCACACAGGGTTAGAGATACTTGTATTAGTCTTGTGAGTAAAACGAGTTCAATTCAAGTGGTATCGTAATCATTTTTGCAATCCAATATGTCTTATAATCTGCGAATCAAATCAGAATTGTACAATTTACATGAAAGAACCATATACTGTTTAGCTGGATCCATTGCATTTTGTCTTGCAGATCAAACTGTAGCCTTTATCGCACTCATAAGGCAATTGTGATACGTCTGCATTATAATATTGAAAGCGTTAAAAAAAATAGCAAAATGTCGCATTGTTACCTGTAGATCTTCTGCTGCTTCGCATAGAATGTTTATCTTCGTCAAGTAGGGCATATCGTGCTCGTGAAAAATATTTCAGTTTAACTTTAGGTGAAGTGCACTCCCATTGTTGATTCAAAGCTTCTTCTATGTTGCCAGCATCGTTACATCCCAGCAGTTTACAAACTGTCCATCTGTTGTCACTAAAAAGTGATAAAACATGTTTTGTTTGTCCTGATTTTCATGAGGGAAAAGGTTTTTTATCATACAAACCCAGAAGGTTTTATCTCACTTATAAACATATAAGTACTATTGTTTTTTATTCAAAATAAGATTCGGTCAGTTCAGCCAACAGCGATCATTGTTATTTGTTGAGATCTTGAAATATCTTCAAGGATAGATGAAATCACCAATTCCAATACTTAAGGACAGAACACCATTTGTCTGTAAAGAGGTGCAGCTCGTGCTTACAAACATTTTAAATCCGCCGGCTAGACTTTACAGGTATTAGGATAATAATTCTCCTTTTCATACAATACCACAGATGTCGACATTTGAGGGTTATACTAAAATGCAAAACTGTCATGATATGGTCAACTTAAACAAAATTAATTTGTAATTATTACCTCAATGACAAACAAATAATTTGGTGCTGTATACCGGTAATGACTTTTTAAATTTTGAAACTTTTTATCAATTATAACAATAAATTCATTTATTCATTCATCAAAGAAAAAATTGGCTAAATTTGAGAAATTTCAGATTCAGAAATATAGACTGTAAGCTTATGCATAATGTATCATGTACTATACTGTCTAGAATTAAAGATGGTTTCCCTTATTTTCATTTTTATATATATATATATATATATTTATATGCGCAAATCATCTAAGTATTAAATTTAAAGTCTTCCCATTCTTCCAATTATTTACTGACAATGTGCAATCAAGACGACAAAAAGAATCATGGTTCATTTACAAGTTTAAACCTGAACTAAACGTATAATTCTTTTCTTGATTTTATTATATTGTTATCTCATTATATTATATTGTTATTTAATAATCAATTATCCCATAACCCTGATTAAGGTTTTTAACTAGTTTCAACACGATAGTTTTATTTACTATCTTGCATAAGTGAGTAATAAGTGGTATTTTATGTTTGTTTTGAATAGTGACCTCCGAATTGTATATATTGTTGAATATTGTTGAATTATTTTATATCTCTGAAGAAGCTATTAAGCTGAAAGCATGCTAAGATATTATGTATATATAATACTGGTACCTTTCCCATTCATTAGAATACCTATACTTTCGATTGATAGAAGTATATATATATATATATTTTTGTCTCAAAAGTCCCTAATTAGCCCATAATTACCTAATTACGACGAGGATTTCCATAGCTTGACTGTAATAAAAACATTATCCGATCTTTTTTCGATGTACCAGTGTTTATAGTCAGGGACATCCGTAATTGGTTAAAAATCGTTTAAATATGCGGGCATGTGCACAGTTTACAATTCAAAAAGGCTTCAGATTCAGAATATAAAGGGAAAAAGAAGAAAAATGATCAAGAATATGTTTAGATAAGGATGTCTATGAACGTTGGTGTAATTTCATAGAAAAGAATTAGTTTAAATCTCATGGTGAAGCAGCCACTGGCTTGCCCAACAGTCGGTAATAATGACGTCATTTGGTCACGTGAACAAACATAGAGTTTAAATTTAGCTTCTCAAAGCAGATTTGAGTAAATGACTTCCCCAAGCCTTTCTACGTCCACATACGGTATTTTAACATATGAATATTTATATAATTCATTAGAAACAATGATTAATCAATTAGTAAGCATGATTTGATCAAGAAAAATGAGCAAAGGCATCTTTAAGTATATCGGTACATCCTATAAAACCTAATTATCAATGATACAATTTGTTTGATCATATAGACAAAATTAATAGTGAAAGGATATTCTTTAAAACTTAATTTCGTTATACATTGTAATTGTAAAATGAAAATCGATGAATACCTATTATCATGTAGGTTCATCATTTTTCTACTCTAATCACAGACATTGATTATGACCAAAATAATTTAAAAGTACGGTACATTTTAAAACGAACATTATTATTATCATATCATACTCATAGACGACGTCATGATATAGGTAATAAGTAAATGTGTCGGATTTCCGATCTAAAATCTACACTCTATCGAATTCACGATTCAATACCTTTAAAATTGTTCAACGAAATTCTGTGAAAATCGAACTCATTCAAGATCTTATTATTAAAATATTATATTAGGCCTACAATAAAAAAAAATCAGTGTTGAAATATAATATAATTTGCTTCGGCATATCTCTGAGTATTACGAGATGTGTGATATAAACAGTGAGAATGATGCCAGGCTGGTAGACCTTTCTTCAACATATCATTTTAAATCTCTATTTAGGTGTTTGCTGTTACAGGTCAGTAATCGAAGCGCTCTGTCCGGAAAAACGGAGTTGTGGAAAATTTAGAGTTGCCATTGTCGTCAGAGATCCATGCATACAACACGTAAAAACTATTCAATTTAGTCGAATAAGCGGAATACATACATGACTAACCTAGTTGTTTTTTGTTTTTTTAAGTGCATATACTGGTAACTTAAATTTGGATCTAAAAAGGTTAACTAGCTTTATTTTATTGCGATTAGGGGCATTTATGGGTTCCATTTCCATTTTCCACTCAAACCTTAGTGGTTTCCGTAATTAACATATTATGCTAAAAATAAAAAAAGCTGCTATATAATATGAGGACCTCTGCGATAGTTATGTCATACGCTCAGTTTTAGTTGACTTACAAATCCGCAGGCACCTGACTGAAATAGGAATCCATCGATACAGGGATCCAGGGAATGTGAATGTGTAGAAAAGCTCTTTACAACCTCGAAACAGAAGTAAAACAATAGTAGGCCTATATCATACCTGCACCATAAAGTTTTGGCGTGAACTTCTAACGATTCATTTGAAAGCAATTGAGTGTTATTTCCTCTGTCATGTTTCCTTCTTGATCTGAAGAAAAAGTCAATTAAATCATATCTAAAAGTGACAGTGTTATTGAAAAGAGGGGTTTCAATTAAAATTCTCATGCGTCATCTGTTTACAGCGTAAAAGCAGTTTGAAATATATAGCTTACCAGACAGCAGTTAAGATATAATTTAGCTTTCTCTTTTTTTTTTCACCCGCGATCTAATTCTACCAAGAATGTCAAGATACATTCAAGTTGGACAAATGTCATCGAAACATTTTCAGCGAAAAAATAAAGGTGAGAAGGCAAGAGGGTGAGGACAATTGAGAGACGGCGAGGAATGATAGACGTATCATGAAATTAAATGTTAAAGTTAGGTTCCTTTTTTTCATTTATTTATATATATTCCATTATTGGACGGCTATTTCTTATATATATCGAAAACAGAGGTGTTCCAATGATCGGGAAAAATAACAGTTTGTCTCAGAAGTCAATAATTAACTCGTAATTAGCTAATTTCGAGGGGATTTCAATGGTTGAGCGGTCACATAATAAAGATTATCAGGTCTCACAATTTCCATAATGGAGATAAAGGAAAAAGTCGATGTTTTTTATTTTCTAAATACACAGTGTATTTAATTACATTATTTCTAACTTACAAATGTGTCTTTTAAAGATGGTTTAACTAACATTTTTTTTATACGAAAATGTGGCTAGATTATCACAATCTATTCTATTCAGTTTGCAAACAAGGAATCTAGTTTTAGCTTCTTCAATCGGATTTCAGTAAATTTGAATTTGCTACATCCTCACACAATCTTAGCACTCAAAAGTACTTGAATTATTCGCTAGAAACATCAATAAATTTAAACAATAAGCATGATTTGATCAAGAAAAATAAGCAAAGGCAACTTTATGAAATCTCAGATCCCTTTAAAGAGCTAATTCCTTAAAACGTTTTCGGCATTTCATTGGATAGAGACTAAAATGTTGAAGTCATTCTACTCTATTATTTCATTACACGATACAATAATTTATAATTTAAACATAATGCTCGAAATGCTATAGCATGAGATTATATCTCTTTTTAAAGACTTATTCTAGTTTCATAGTTTACTTACTCAGATGGCGATGTTAGATTCGTTTTTTTTAATAAACTTTGTTTCATGTTATTATCATCTGACACAGGTACTGAATAGGTTGCCGATTCCTTCTTGACTTTCTTTTTAGAAGATTTTTTCCTTATTTCAAGATTCGTTGATGCTTTGTCTGGTTGTTCATCCAGAAAAGGCTGTTTTCTCTTGGATGTATCTGATCGCGATGTACTTTCATCTTTTTCCTTTTCACTGACTGTTTTCGTTTTATTAGATTTACATTTTGATGGCGTTTCTGGTTTAACTTTCGATTTGATTTTACACTGTTCTTTCTTCTTTGGGGTAGATTGCTTTTTAACACTGGGTTTACTGTTGTCTGGTTTATTTGATTTTGATTTCTTTGATTTTTCATGGGAGCATTTACTTTCTGATTTACTGTTTGTTTTGGCCTTAGTTTTGTTAGTTTCCTTAAAATCATTACTAGAAGAGGAGCAACATCCTTTTCTTTTGCTCGTATCAATTACGTGAATTTTCTTTCTGCGAGGTCTAGAACCAGAACGAAGCTCTTTGGTATTTTTAAGTTCTTCTTGTTCCATTTTAATCCCGGAAAGAGAAATGGTGTTTATACTGCTTTTAGATTTAGCGTCACTTGGGAATTCTGGATAGACTGTATTCAGTACATTAAGGTCACCAGTAGCAATTTCTTTACCACTTGTCACAAAGAATTCTTCTTTAATCCCTTCTTCATTTACCATAGTATTCTCTTGATGATCAGGAAATGACTCGGATTCAAGTAAACATTCCTCAAGGCTTGTGCTTTCTGACAACTCCACTTGTGTTAGAGTTAGGTTGGTCATCCCCACAGATTGGATAGACTGGTTTTTATGAACAGAATCACCAAATATTTCATTCAAATCTATAATTAGTCTGTTGCTTCCATCACTGTCGTTTTCAATATCTTCTATTGAAGGGAGAGAATCCATTTTTTCAGGAAACAGTTCTATTCGAGCTTTTTTCCCAAGATAATTTACTTCACTTTGGCCGGATGAACTAGTGTCCGAGGAAGAACTAGTCAACCTTGAAATGACTTGACTGATATCTGAACAACGCTTTTCTGTTATTTCAAAATTAAAACTATTATATTGTGTTATACCAGCACTATTAGTAGGATAATCATTGACGGAATTATCGTCTTTACTGTTTACTGATGACCCCGAACCTAAAATATGTGTTTTCCATGCAGCAGAATCGGATTTAAGCAGGCGACCCGGTTCAGAAAACTCACCATTACGGCTTCTGCCATCAGCAATCGGTATTAAAGTTGTTTGATCCACGTTGATATTATCATCATCATAATTAGAATTGTTATCTGAAGACTGTAAACTTATATTAGTCAGAGTCGATGATGAGACAGATTCAGACAGACTATCATGTTTTTTAACCTCAATAGCATTGTCTTTGCCATCGGCAGCAAAGGTTGTTTGTTCACAGACCCGATCGTCATAATATGTAGATTGTTGAGTTATAATAGACTCGTTTCTACGAGAACAAATTGTTTCTGATAGAAAGTTTTGCCTTGAGCACACACCATCCAGAATTTTACCATCAGCAATCGAAGTTAAAGTTATGTCAACACGGGTATCACATGTGTCAAGATCCAAGATAGCATATTGATCTGATGATCGTAAACATACATTAGACGGGTTTTCTAGACAATGGAATTCTTCACCGTCGATTGACGACAGTAAACTCGAGACAGATTCGTTTCTCGGGGAATAAACTGATTCCGGCATCAGACTCTGTGTTGAACACTCGCCACCAATGCTGCAACCATCAGTATTAGGGGTCAAAGTTGTCCGATTTACACACTTATTATCTAGTATTATTGGATCACATTTACTCTCATCTGATTGTATACTAAGGGTTGAAACCTTCTTCGGTGGGTAAACGGATTCGGAGAGACAACTATGTGTTGAACATTTACCACCAAACGTTTTCTGGGGAGATGTCATTTGTGTTGTATCGGCACTGTTAACAGGATAAACACTGGATGCAGGTGATATGTCGTTGTCAGTGGTTGATGAAGAAACGTGAATTGATACAGATTGATGGAGAGAATACTCCGACCCAGGAATACAACTTAGAGCAGAATATTCACCATATAATCTACTTTCAGATATGCAAGGATTGAATATTCTCATCAATCCTCCTCGACTTGAAGATAATGAGGTTTCATCCCCTGTAGAAAAGATGGCACTCACCGAAGATGTGTCATCAGCATCTTGCTGAGATATAACAGGATCTAAGGATATGGATGGTGCAATGGCTATACTTGTATGTGATCCACTCTCGGCTGTTATGGATGAACAATTGCCCGTTTTTAATGTCTGTCTACTACTGTTAACGGAATCTTCCGATTTTGAAGTCTCGATTATTTTGCAGTTGCAGTTATTTAAACAGGATGTACACGAACTTGATGTGGTGCATTCTTGATAAAGTGGAGGAGGCGACGATGATACATCATAATGGTTTGTTGTCATTTCTGTCTTTGACATATTTTCCAGTTGAACTTTATTTGAATCTTTTGCGGGCAAATTGTCTAAATTTTTGTCCAAAAGACTGTTTTCGTCTGTCAATCCTTTGCTATCTTCCTTTGGCGATGTTGATTCATTAGCACTGGATGAAGTGTCACTTATGCTATCAGAACCAAACAACTCCTTAAAAAGACTTTTCATTTGAAGATTCTTCTGGATAGAAGCAGATTTTCTCTTGCCTTTTATTTTTTCACGAGCCTCGGAAATATTTTGTGACACGTTGCTTTTGCTTTTGTTTGTTTTATCTGAAACAGTGACCTCAAATGTCTCAATATTTTCGTCGTTGTTCGAATGTTCAATTGCAAAAGGCTGAGTTTGAGTACAGAAACCTTGTGAGTCGTCGGAATGTAGAGAACATCGGCGTGTTCGGTAACGAGAACCCACTTTCGAAATTGTTTCTGAAACATATTTTGTTTGATTCCGACCTAAACCTTCGTTAATGTTTTTACGATTAAGGTCTACATTCAGAATTGTGGTATCACAATTTTCACTTCGTTTTGGGTAGCGTAACATGATGGGTAATCCTTCCAGCAGACCATCTTTGTCTACATCACTTCTTAGCCTTTTCCGACGAATGAAAAATTCTTGATTTCGTCTATGATCAGGATTTAACCGTGATGTGGAAGGTGTAGAATCTGTTATAGATTTCAATGTTTTTTTCAACGAGGTATTTTGCTTTTCTGGAACATAATTTGTTTTTGTATTCACACGTGGAGAAAATTCTTGGGTTGGTTTAGTTTTACTCTGAAATCTAGTTGCAGGTCTATCAAACAGTGATAATTTATCCACATATTTTGCATCTATTTTTGCAGTTTTATTTATCAAATCTTCACTATCATTTCGCGATTTTGGGCTACCCGGATTACTGGTACTGGCGGAATTGTTTCTCCAAGATCTGAGACGTCTTGGATCTGGTGATGAACATTTCTTTTCTAGCTAAGACATAAAAGTTGTGATTATGAATCACCTTGTACTAGGTCCATAACAATATTGTATCGATTAGCCTAGATGCTAGGTGCTAAGCAGGTAGACTAGCCTAGTTAATATCCAACCGAAACTTACAATGTTTCAAATTGAAAGCTTGATATTTCTAGCAAGTTACAGTTAGCCTACTTCGTAGAGCGATAAAGTGGCCATCATTATTTAGTCATAGATCTATAGGCTTAGTTTTACCTTGCAGATTGTGCTAACGTCGTTGATATCAATGATATTGATTAAAATAATAAGTATACAAATAAATAATATTAATAATATTATACACTAGTTTTATTAATAATTATATCTTACCAGTTTCTTTTTTGGAGTACGACCCATGTTTTCAGACCTTTGTAACAGGGGATTGTGCGACTTCTAGAAGTGACGTCATTATGGTTTTGCGTTAGCAGAGAAACGCTTACGTAAAAGATGAATAATGCGTCATGAAAGTGCATGATAACAAAAGTTTTCTTCTTTTTGGTCCAATTAATGGATGTACTAATCCCAAAAAGAGATTACTACGAAGGTTGACTGCACACCATCGCCCTGTCCAAAGTTAGAACTTTTCAGATCCTCGTATCTTCTGTTAATTGCGAACCTTTCCATCAATGAGCTGATGATGAAACTTATATTATGCTTATGCCTATATAGCCTACATTGTATCTTGATGAGATCCTGATAATTTCTATTTTTATGAATATCCAATGAACGGTTTGTGAGTTATTATCCTTCATAGAATACGTCAAAAATTGGCATCTGGCAACTCTAGTTTTGATCGGAGGTTATGAGGGTTTAGAGTTTTTGCCCTTTATTTAGCCGAAATGCAATAACAATTGACCTGTGAACCCGATTGAGAACGAAACTTTTTCAGCCTATGCTTTTGTAAATGGATGAGGTCTATAGGATGACTTCGAGTTTGACCTTGACTTGAACAAAATAGGCATGTGTTGGGGTGTATTGAGACGAGTCTGAATGAAAGCACTGGCTTAGGCCTGTGAAGGCGATAAAGAATAAACAGAAGGTAAGATTAATGAAATCGCAGAGAAGTGTGATTTATACGATATTTTGGTTGAAAGTACATGTATTATGGATATTATTGCCATTATACTTAGTATACGACGCTGCAATTTTTGTCCGAACTTGTTACAACGTAGTTTCATTGCATATACTGATGAGATCCTGAATGAGTTCCATTTTCAAAATTTTTTATATTCTGATCCAAGTCGCTACAGGCCCGCAGCTACAGAAAAAAAATCGTCTGCCATCAATATTTATTTATTGACAAAATTGATTCTGATTCGTGATATTCCAAAACTTGCTTTAATATAGAGAGTTGATGAGGCGTCTAATGGAACTTTCTCGTTATCGGGTCATACTTGAGTCCATGTACAAAAACTTTAGTCAATAACTGCACAATGTTTTAATTGAAAGTTTCAGTGATTTCAGGAAGGATCTCACAGTTGTTGTAATTTATTGATAACGATATAATAATTGCCACTATTGTTCTCTACTAACCCATTCCGTGTAACAAAATCATAAAGAAAACACAGCTTTTGTGCAATATCAAAAACAAATGACCGACAAAATCTTGAATTCAAACAATTTACAGCACATGATTTTAATTGCATGGCCTCCATTCTTTTTATTTCTGCTTTACCTACATCCGGCCTCATTAAGGCATTCACTTTTCTAAAATATATCCAATTCATTGTTGTTACTTCACATTCAATATCTAGAATAAAGAAAAACAAGTATAAGAAAATGTAATGAAGTTGTTCTCTAGTGAAATCAATTGAAACTCCCTAATAGCTGTTTTAAAAAAATAGTACTGTTTTAGACAAACTTTGTTTATTGTTTTGAATTTTGTTATTAAAATCCAACTTGTTTCAAAACAATCACAAACTTGTTTTAATGGTCTAAAGGAACATTGATCAGATTCTTTTTTAGTTTTTATTCTTTCTTATAAATGCGTCTTTAAGGTTTTTTCAAGTTTTGGTAGTGTATATTATCCTAAAAGGATCTAACCATTCTTTTGACATGTATTTCTGTATTATATTTTGATAGATATCTTCATAAAATCGATATATTTAATTATGTACATAGCGGCGTTCTTTACAAAAGTTATTGTTCCAAACAGACAATGCGGTTAAATGATCTAATGAACAGAGATTTTTTTACTGAATTTATTCAGAATCTGTTTATTAACTATTATTCGCTATTGATATTTTGTCTGTTAGTATATCAAACTGATACTTACCCAGAGCATTGAATGATGTTATTGGGGCACTGTTACAAATTTGTTGTAAATCTGGATTTACAACGTCATCAAATATTGCTAAACATCGCATATAACCACGAAACGATGTAAAACTTGCCGAAGTTCTGCCTATATATATTTCAGATGACCTAGGTGAATGGCTAGAGGAACAATTATCATGTATTGTTATAGATTCATTATTCAGAATAATACTTATCATCTGAGTGTTTTCATTTCTTGTCACAATAAGTATATTCCATTCTGAAATTTTGGTCATGTTAGATGTCAACATGGCACAGACAGCGCTTGCGGACTTTTTAACAGTAATTGTCAGATTACACATATTGACATCAATCCGCAGCTCATTTAAACCAGACACAGTCACCTGATCTATAATATGCAATACTGTTCCACTAGGCGCGAACTCCGGGTAAAAGAAAAATCCTATAGTGAAACTTTTCACAAATATTGTTTGGTTTATCAAAGTCTTAATATGCGATCCAGCGGCACCATCAAAAAGCATAGCTGGAAAGGGAAATACTGTGTTATTACATTCAATACGCGGACATGATGACAAGTCACTGACGGACGGTGGTATGTTTCGAAACGTTTCATAACCATATGACTTGTTATCTAATGGCCACGCATATAATAAACTGGCTGTTGAAAACGCTTGTGTGCTGCTGACAGATGTTGTTGTTGTTTCTGTTGTTGTTGTTGTTGCTGCTGTTGTTGTTGTTGCTGTTGTTGTTGTTGCTGCTCCTGGGTAAGAAGGTTGTAAAATACATTTCGGTGGAGTAAAATCTAAAACAAAAAACACAATATTAATGAAATGCTTGTACCTCGGCTTTTTAAGGAAATCCAAAGGCAAGTATGCAATATGATATTTAGCTTTTATTTATCAGTAGTTAGATAAATTAATTATATTATTAAGTAAGAAAGGGCACACAGATTTATTAAATATGTTTACACAAGAGAGGCGGGATGTGACTATTTGTATTTACTTAAATTAACATACTACTGTCCACCAATAGACATGCATTACTTGTGACGCAGCGACTGACAAGCTATCGTTGAACCTACAGTATGAATCCAAACAATTAAACAAAACCCTCGTTCCGTTTTAATCAAATTCTACCCACTCCAGCGCTGGCATTTGATGACGCGCTGATTATCAGGTTATCTCAAAAGGTTAATAAGACGGACGTTCAAGAGGGCTGTCGTTAGACCCTAAATGAAGAGGCTATATTTAAAATCAGAGCTAATAAAACAAGCGGTTGCCTATAGCAAGATACGCCCAGTTCTCAGTAAATCAAGTTCGTCGCCAATCTGTGTCGATTTAAACAAACACACAAATCGTCATAAAATTCAGACGTAAACTGCCATCTCTATCGCATTTATCCACCTGTATAAAAACGGAAACAAAAGGTCTAATTTCAATAACTGGAATCCAAGCACAAAAATAGTTGAATTCGCCTCTTATAATAACTATACTACTTAACAGGGAACGCTAACACTTTCCTGGTGCCACAATTTGCTTGTTCCGAGGTTTTTTCCTATTAATATTACCATACTTTGAGCTCCAAACATTGCGAGTATATAAATAACGATACAAATTGTTAGTTTGTTTCTTTAATTTAACGAAAGGACAAAACAAAGGCATCCAAAAAGACAATGCTACTGAATGATCTAATGGACAAAGATTTGTTGTAATAAATTTGTTCACAATCAGTTCATGTATACAGATATTTTGATTGTTTTATTCATTGATTTTTATATAAAAAGAAACCTAAACGACATCCATTTGCTTAGAATAGCTGATTATTAATGGTGAGTAAAATTATTATGAAGAAGGACATTACCATCATAAGGCTTTTTCCCCCAATTACCAGTATCTTCACATTCCTCTTCGCTTTCAAGTCTAGTTTGAAACAAAAGGGCATCATCGAAAGCCATCAAACAGGTTAAAGTTCCAATGAAACCTTGACTACCGTCATATGAATTTCCCACTGTTAATGTACCATAATCACGAAAGTTGACTGACGATATGGAGACAGGTGTAACTGATCCACCATTTACTCTTATTACTAATGTATCACCACCATGGAATCCAAACTGCACTAAACTCCACGAATCTACTGTTAATGAACCACCGTTAACCTCACCTAAATTGTTTCCATTGCTGCTCTTTATGATGCATTTTAGGTCATCGCTTACGAAGCATAAATCAATTTCCGTAACATCAGAGTTACTGGTAGTACCAGCTATATATTGCAGTACACATCCATTTAACACCAATGGGTTTATGAAAATGGAGAATGCAAACTGTGTATTTTTTAGATTACCCGAAGGTATATTCACTTGGCTGAAAGTACTTCCATTATAAAACAAACCTTTCCAGGTAGCAGCGTTTGTGAATAAAGTGCTATCACTATCCTCAACTTCAAAACAATCAGACAATTTAGGAAAAATTCCATCATTTGCATTTATCGTCTCGTAACTGAATGATAAATGGCATAATGGCCATTTCAATTTGGGACTGGTTGCACATTGTAACATCTTGAAATCTGAAAACAGAAAGGCAAGTTGTATTCCCAGACAGTTCCATGGTGACATAATCATATTGCAACAATGTATTTATTTGTCACACAATTTGAAATTTACGGCTAATAGGCCTCACCTTTGAAAGCACTGATGGGTTCGCTTCTAGGATATAGAAAAATGAAAAAGCCTAGGCTTACCTGATGTCAAGATAAACATGAAATACATAAACTTCATACTAAGTGACATCTCTAACTGTTTCTCACAGACTTAAATTTTGTACAAAATCGCCTTGCACGAAAATCAAGCGCACGTTATATAGGTACGAAGTAACTTGTTAGAACATCCCATTGAGTTTAAATTAAGTAAAATTTAAACTGGATCAATAAAAGTGCGATTCTCTCACACAATCAATATAGATAAAGCCTGATGATATTCAGCTCCAACTTTCGGTGATAAATATTTCCAAACCATTCAGACACTTATTGACATACTATATAAAATAAGTTTTATAAGATTTGTAAAATCATAAACATATTACATAATCTGAGATGTCACAAAGTTCGTAGATGAACTCATTCAGTTCTGCTCTGTTTCTGGAGAGCATTCACAATCTCTTTCAACCAACTGCTTATTTGTGATATATCGGTATAGCAAGAACCTTTTAGAGCCTTTGAATGGTGACTGATGGTGTTGAATGTCCGCCTTTGCGAATTAACTCCAAGTATATTTATCTCTATAATTTCTGATTCAAATCATGCTCATAACTACAATAATTATCAATTTTCACTTTCTAAGTGATCACAAGGTTTTTCCGATTTCGATTTCGAGTTCAATTTCCAAACACATATGCTTTAATAGCCCTTTACCTGTAGGCCTTCAGAGATGAAGGTGTGGGCCTAACATGTCTTATTCTGTTAAAAAAAGGGAAATGAATATAATATTTTTTTCATTTTTATTTCTTATATGTTTTATTTAAAAAAGTTCAATTAAATTAAATTATATGGTGTTGCTTTCTATATCTCAGAGGATATTAGATACCAATAGAATCTAAAAATATAAAGAAATAATATCTTGGAGCATAAACTTAAGTTGTTTTTTTTTTATCTATTTCGTTCCACTTTGGAAAACAAAAATCGATTCCGAAATACTGACGCCAGTCAAAATTCTAGGCTCCATCATCCAGACCCTCTTAGCAGTAAGCAGATGTCTTTAGGTTTCTGACGTAGGCCTAGGTCATAGGTGTGAAGTCATAGGTGTAGTAGTAAGGGGGTAAATATTGAAAGGACTAACCCCAGGAAAGGTGGTTGCTAGGCAATGACGTGAAGGCCACGTTAAGGAACGGTCAGATAAAAACTTTGCGCTTTGAAAAAAGACACGGCCGTTCAATGGGAAATCTTATCAGTTATAGTTCTCATTCGGTTAATAATGGCGGCTTACGCTCGCATGACTGTTGCTCGGTTGAAAGTGGAACCTTTTGAAGAGAAGTGCAATTAGGCCTACAGCCGGCAGAAAAGCTGATCTTATCGACAGGTAAATTTTCTTTTCGTATTCTCAAGTAGTTTTCGTTAATTGTGTACTGTAAGCCCTGTTTTATCCGACTTGCATTCTATAGCGGCCTAGTGTTGGGGTATTTTGTTGTTGTTTACATTAGATATGGCACGTCCTTCGTGAAGAAATGACAGGTGTTGATTCGATTTAATTAGAAGCGAAATAGTAAGATATCAAGTTTAAAATGATAATGAAAGTCGCAAATTTACAAGATCTAACTGAAAATTCACACATTAGAAACAATTATAACTTGAAATACCGCAGTCAGTTGAAACCGGTGCTGGTGATGCCGTCGTTAACTGTTGTGAGAAAGAAGAAAAGGGATAGGTGAAAGATTAGAGTTTGAAATGCAATACCGACAACACGTGGATTTATGTCTACAAGATCTAGTCCTATATTTGTCAAACGGAGTGGATATGTGAGAATGTAAAGACAACAACCGGAAATTTATTTCATGTGGTCATTGAACGAAAACAACAAAACTTACAAAGTGGAATTCATAATAGCCTATTTGGAAGTAGGCTACCTCCCGTTACACTGGCACCATCGACGTACATTGCCGAACAGCTGGAAACGAACAACGCCAAATGATCCACACAAACGAGTCGTTGTCAAAGACGCCTCAAGCATACCCACGTCTTGGATAATTTATTCATGAAAAAAAAGATATGTGTGGACGAGTAGTGGTTAGCATCTCCACTGCATATGCACCAAACTGAAATCTGCGCGTGAGCCACTGACGAAGGACCTAGAAACCAACGGCATACCAATCACAATCAATACAAAAAATTTTTGCTCCACCCGAACTCATCTACCTGTCTGTCTTGAACAGAGATGATAAATTTTTACGCTCAAAGTTCATAGGCCTTAACACTTTCACTATATTTATATTCAAATACTGTAAGAACTTTCACAGCAGAAATATAAGAGAACATCCTTTCGCCCTAAGCGTTATTGAAAGCCCCCACCCCCTTTTTCTCCTCGTTTCTCACATTCTCTCTTTCATATTCAGATCTCCAACTTTTCCAACAGTTATCAGATAATCTAACTCAACCAAACTAAAGCAACGACTTCCAATCAACAAGAATTATACGATCACAACGAGTTTGGAAGAATGCAGAAGGTCGAGTTAAACGCGCCCGACCAGATCTCACGAATTATCAACTACTAAACCAACAGCACATAATCATCCAATTTGAACCTATCCAACTACTACGCCTACCAACAACTATCTAGTTTACGATATCAGCATCCGCTGGAAGCGAACGTTAACTTGTCATCCACATGACCTTTCATTTGCACCATGGCAGCCGAACCTATGATTGTTGTGCAAGTAATGGAAGGGCTTCCTAATCAAACTAAAAGAATTCCCCTTTGTTACTAAGGACCTGATGTCAGCCCACAGCTTTGACGGAAGATGGCCTGGACCGGTTTCTTAAAACATAATTCAGTTATCATTAGCCTCTGACGCCCAGTACCACGAGAATATAGTTTGGGAGATTCATTGAATTTTCAGTGACAATTTCTTCGAATTTAATTCTTTGATCGAAAAATGTTAGCCTAAATGTAACATCTGCGGTTAGAAATATCAAATGAACTGACAAAACTTGTAGGAATGGCCATTTTGTTCCTGCAGAGGTTGATTTAGGTGTTGAATACATGTAAATAGGCTTCAAAAGTACTAAATAAAATCGCAAAATTCTTTTAAAATACTTCAAACTAGGAATTTTACTCACTCCTTCTATATAGCCTATGTGTTTTCTATATATCACAGAGTATTTTAAAATGACGAGTCGTCATTTTAACATTCAAACTTGGATAATTCTGGACACACATTGATTTGAAGGCTCAAATTTCGAGGGTGAGTTGTGAACATTATTACTAATTGGCCTAGCTAAAAAAAAGTCTGAGACTAGGTTACAGTTGTGTAACCTATATTCGTGCATATAAGGATTCACGACAAATTTCGTCAAAATTAAAAAATGCAAGTTTTTTTTATATCTTAGAAGTTTCCTCAGATATTTTACAAAATAATTAAAATTGGTTTGTTTCGATTTTCATTATGAATCTCTCACTTGAGTAGGCAAAATGCGTCACCTATTTACAAGTTACCCAGTGGTATAATTAGTCTCTTAGTAATTATCTTTAATATCAATTCATTACAACCAGTGACAATTCCTTCAAAGAACCATGAAAAGTGACTGACAAAATAAGATACGTAGCGTGATTTATTGCAAAAAGTCATTGAAACAACATAAGAATATGGCCCACATTGTGTTCCATAAAAGTTTTCTGCTGACACGGAATCCGCTAGTTTGTCACTTGACGTCGTTCGCTGGAATATATTCTAGCAGACGACACTTGGAAATCCGATTACAGCGTAGGATTATAAGGAAATTCGGCCGATAAAAAATTGTTTTATTTGGTAATAACGGAAATCCGCCATTTTGTTTATGTCAAAGTATAGATATATATATATATATATATTTTACCTTGCTTGAAACTACTGGATTCATTCTGCTAGCTGACATTGTACAGACAACCCATGTTAATCAAAACAAGCAAATGCGGAGGTCACGCGAGTTCACACATGTACGAAAAATAGATAAGCACGAAATTAGGTTACTTGACTGTACGATTGGCACCTGTCAATTTGGATAAATCCTGTCAACTGGACAATTTCGTTTTGTACTAAGCAAATCTACGATCGTAAGATTTAACTATACTAATTTTAGAGCAACATTTTTGGGTGGTTGGGATTTTAAGTTCAGCTCCTCAGTTCGAACAAAGAGATATAATAGACATAATAAATCTCATGTGGTTCGTAGGCTTGTATTTGATTACTTGATATTTTTGTCAAGAATTCTATTAATTCAATAAATGGAAAACCGAATGTTTATTTTCAGTACAAATTATGATTTTTGGAAAAACAAATGTTAATTTTCAATGACAGATGTTGAATTAAGCTTGCAAATTAAGAGATAAGAAATAGCAATGAAGAGCATTGAATAAAAAGCCATTCTGCCTTCCATATATGAATGTGGATCTTGCTGATAAATTTTCAAGTGGGTACCAATTTTTTGGATTTTTTTTTTCAGATACAGCCAATTGAAGATTAAAAGATAGCTTGCCAGGCAAGGTAACATACGCCCACTGGCAGCTGTCAGAAATGATTTAACAGTCTTTAGTGACTACAGGGTTGCACAATATAGCTAATAGAGTGAAACGTCAAGTCAGACACGATATTTCGGTGAAATATTATCCGATCATCGCGAAAATCGATAGGGATCATCTTCATAATGACATTGGCATACAAAATAAATATCAAAAGAATCTGTAAACAATTGTAGCCTGTAGAGTAAACACGAGTTGCACAATATAGCTAATAGAGTAAAACGTCAGGTCAGACACGATATTTCGGTGAAAAATTATCCGATCATCATGAAAATCGATAGATCATCATGAAAATCAATAGGGATCATCTTCATAATGACATAGACATACAAAATAAAAATCAAAAGAATCTGTAAAAAATTGTAGCCTGTAGAGTGAGCACGAGTTGCACAATATAGCTAATAGAGTAAAACGTCAGGTCAGACACGATATTTCGGTGAAAAATTATCCGACCATCATGAAAGTCGATAGATCATCATGAAAATCAATAGGGATCATCTTCATAATGACATAGACATACAAAATAAAAATCAAAAGAATCTGTAAAAAATTGTAGCCTGTAGAGTGAGCACGAGTTGCACAATATAGCTAATACAGAAAAACGTCAAGTCAGACACGACATTTCGGTGAAAAATTATGTGATCATCACGAAAATCAATAGGGATCATCTTCATAATGACATTGACACACAAAATAAAAATCAAAAGAATCTGTAAAAAATTGTAGCCTGTGGAGTGAGCACGAGTTGCACAATATAGCTAATAGTCAGACACGATATTTCGGTGAAAAATTATCCGATCATCACGAAAATCAATAGGGATCATCTTCATAACAACATTGGCATACAAAATCTGATCAGCCTCACCCAAATAAACAAATATCTATTCAAACAAGTTAGACTCAACCAAGTTTTAGACCTGTACAACAAAACAACTCGAAATATATTCCCCTGGACAGAACAAAATATGGAGCACTGATTATGGAATTTCAACTCAAACTGAAAGACAATAATCACAAGTGCACAGCTATTCAACTAACAATGACATTTCAAAGGTGGGGAGAGATATAATTGGTACTGAATACATGCGATCTAAAACTGAATTAGACAGATTTTCTTGATACAGAAGAAGACGGCCATTGGGCTCAAGTAGATCTGCTATACAACATAGCTACAGTATATCTCTAGATAACAAACATCCAATCAAGAGTATATCAAAGAAACCAAGACCAAAAGTCGAAGTCCCGGTAGGCCCATTGGTACTTATATTGGATTAAAACACAATCCACCAGTAGTATTAATCAGTCCAAAGAATTGAATATATCTGACCACCAAGATTCAAGTGAAATGACCAATCAATCTCTTTTGACAAACCAACAATCATGGTATTGTGCAGCACCATGTAGGGGACCATCACAATCTTTCACTCCAAAAGCTAGGTAGGCAAGTTTAATCTTGAATCCATGTTGAATAAATACTAACTCTTACAATGAGCATAAAATTTTTCAAATATGGCCAATAAGAGTATACCGGTATCTTTGTCTTTAAACCTTCTCAATGCCATAACTATACATCAGAATCCCTCTATAATCCAATAAAGCCATAAAACTAAGTAATCCTTAAAACTTGTTTTATGGATTTATCAGATTATACAGGAATTCTGTGGTATATTAATGACACCAGGTAAGTCCATGGATGTAAATATACTCTTATTGGCCAAGTTTGAGCAGTTAAATTTTATGTCCATTCTAAGAGGTGGTATCTCTTTAAATAGTTCATAATTGAACCAAAGAAACCATTCCACTAAACCGGTAGAAATAAGAAATAATATTGAAAATATTGCTCTGAATTAAATTTAAAAATCTTTTGTGGAGTTCAGTACAGATTTAGACAAAAAATGACGAAAAAGAAGATAAACACATCCATTAGCTCAGCTCCTAACTTTCTACCAACAAGTAGCATCTGTACACCTATATGTTTTTAAGATAAGAAATATTAAAAAAGAACCTAAAAAACATGTTGTTGTTACTCAAGAGTTTCACGCTATGCGATCTTCAGACAGCTGACCTAATTTTCAGCCTGTGTCTTTAGTAAAGATAGTTGTCAGAAGATCGCATAGAGTGAAACTCTTACTAACAACATGTTTTTTAGGTGAAATTAATTTTTTGTAGTGTTTTAAGATTACATATGTTATAACTGTCTATGGGAAAAGCTTTTTTAATCAACAATTTCTACTTTCCCTATAACATCTGAAATATTCTCATTGGATTTTGCACTCCATCCACTAAAATTGCATTACAACCGTACAATAGTCCTCTACTACGATTGCATTACAACCTTACTTATGATTATGATAAATGTTGTATTGTAGCATGATACTCTTATCAAGGCTTTATTTGCAATATCCAGCACCAGCAACTTTATTTGGCTTGACATTATTTGTAGATTGGGGGAAAATGATACAGAATCATTATACATATTAAAACAAGAATTAGAAATAAAAGATCAACAGCTGAAATTTGCTAGTGATTTACTGACCAAACAAGGGGGAAAGTTGAAACGCATGGAATCTAATATGAATAGACAGATACATGGAGGAATGATACCACACCACTCACCACCTTTACCTCTTATGGTAAACAATCTCCATTGTAAATCTGGTTTGGGTACTTAAATTAAATGACATGAGTTCTCTTGTTATTTAAGATAAACTTTTATCCATTTCTGATTGATATGCAGACCTCTTGATTAGCTAGTACTCCAAATCTTTTAATTTTTTATCGTTTCAATTTGCTATTGATGATGGTCTGGGGAGAGATTTGAAAGGTTTCATAAAAATAAAGCCTTCAACAGAACACAATAAAAAGATACGACAAACTTTGTACATTAGGAAGCTCTCAAGGAAGACCACGAACCTCTTTCTATTCACTGTACACAAAGAATCTTTTTTATTATTGAATTATGGTAAATTGCTCATTTGATTTTCAAAGACAATTTATTTTAAATTCCATGAGCTATATTGAATTTCTATAAATCAGTCTTTCATTAAAAAGTTCAATATTACTTCAGTTTTTTGAGGATACAATGGTCAAACTGCACATGTTTGTCTATAGGTTTTCATTATTGCACAAGGGGATTGGCCACGCACACTCGTATCACTGCGCCAAACGAAATGAAATGAATGGAGTTTTGTGAACCTTATGGGCTAATGAAGACAAGCAACACCATGCAGGGTGCCATGGGGGAAATTTTGCCAGGACAGCGACATTAGCCTGCCCTTTTTCGATTTCCAACTGTCGAGGGATCTTTAACGTGCACAACCTGTAGCACACGGGGCCTCGGTTTATTGTCCCATCCGAACGATTAGACGCTTTTTCCATGTTAGCCCCTCTTACCTGCATCACTGACAGAGGGAAACCGGGTTGAAAACTCTGAAGGTATTATCTCCACCTATGCCGGGATTGAAGCCTGGGCCTTTAGGTTACCGAGCAAGCGTCTTACTCACTGAGTCACTGCGGCTCCCATATCACTGTGCCAAGACACGGGTGCAATATTGAAAACCTACTGACACACGAGTGCAATACGACTTTTATTACATACTATTATGATAACTGTTGAGCCAAAACGAATAACTCATCACATATAGATTCAACCTAAGTTCATGTAATCCTCAGTGGCATTCCCCTTGGAATGTGATATTTACAAACATAAGATGACGTCATAATATGGTAATGGTAATTCATTATCATTTGCGTTATTCGAAGCTGGCACTGAGGCTTAAAATGTGCTAAGCGAGATAGAACCAAAATGGCACCATTTGGGAAAAATAGTCCTGTACATGTTCAACATATATGTAATATGGATATAATTATTACACCTTTTCAATGTTGAGCCTGAAAAAAATCTGTGAGCCGCAAAGTGTCTGTGAAAAAAGCCTCTAGGTAATCTAAGTCATTTTTATCCTCATCTAATCTGATTCTATTTCGTCTGAAAACCATTTATCCTCTATCAAATCAAATTCATGGCTCAATTCATTTATCCTAGCAATTAATCATATCGATATGCTGTGATCAAGCAAATCGATTCTGAAGTGATGTTACTCTGATAACTATCGCATAGTAATGGCGTCTAAAATGATTCCGTTTCTAGGATAGAAATAAATGACACCCTTATATCGTACTATTTTGACGCGTCGTCAACACACAATATGACAGTTTATCCTACGACACATTGGCAAGAGGGGCTTCTATAGTAATAATCGGTTATTTATTCTTTTTTGGTGGGGTGGGGCAGCTAATTAGCTACCGTCTTGAAATATATTCAGTTTTATTTGTCCTCCAGAATATTGATTATGGTAATAGAATCAGATTCAACAGGTCCCCCAACAATTGGAAATGAGCTTTCAATAATAACCTTATTTTATGAATTTATTGAATTATACAGGCATTCTGTTGTATAGTTATGAAATCAGGTAAGTATCTATACTCCTATTGACCAAGTTTGAGCGAAATTTAAAATATATGTTGACATGGGGAATCAGAAGGAATGAATGTAAAAATAGATTCCTTGTTTACTCACTGACTGAAGTAAAAAGTCTTGCCATATTTTCGTATAAATAAGAAACCATTATCTTTTTCTCTGTTAAAATTTTTTGTTGGTTGGTATTAAGCAGTCAATCGAATTGATTATAGACTGGTAGGACTAACAGGTTTTTCTCTCAATCTTGAGGACATCGATTGAAATAAGTATTAACCGTCCAATAATCGAATATATATAAATAAATGAAAATAAGATAAAAGCGTCTTTAATCAAACAGTAAAGCATGATTTGAACTCACATGAATGCCATTTTAAGGTTTTTCAGTGCTTTTCATATTGTTTCTCACTAAGAACAAATGGACGTGAAGATTTTTGTAAAGATTAACACTTAAAGGTTCATCATGGGAATAAAAATCAATATGGATACCTATGTTAATATTTTATTTATTTTATTCAAAAGATCCTGTAAGAAATAATATTGATTTTATCTATAGGAAATACATTTAAGATTTTATTCTATAACGTGTGAAGAGTCTTGCTATATAAATACATGTAGAAATGAATTTTACTACAATCAGTTTATTGTTTTGCACATTATCTCCCCTCTCAACTCTTCAGAAAATTAGTGACTATTTTTGACACCACAGGTTTCTGTCATCCAAAAAAGCTTCAATTTTTTTTCAAAAAACTTAAAATTAATAGGAAATACTATTAGACATCATTTATAGTCTTTTTATAACATTACATGTACATGAAAAGAATATTTTATCAGTAAGAAATAGATTCAGATATGCAGGGTATGAAGTGTTTAGAAAGGCTGAGAAAACTGGTTTGTCAATGGCTTCCAGAGAAGAAACAAATTCTGGTCAAGTTACAGGTGATAATTGTTATGGGATTTCATTTGCCAAGAGAAGTCGGTTAAGTTATATGAACTCTAAACCACCAATAGAGAATCTGTGGACACTGCTCCATACTTAACTAAAGGTGCCAAACGAAAATTGGCAAAAAGAAAAATTAATTCGGGAGGAGATGGTGATTGTTTGATCACTACTCAACAAAGAAAAGTCAATCTATCTGGCTATAGGATACAACGTTCCTGCACTGTATCTGAAATAGAATGAATTCATAAGTCTTAGCCAGTTTTAAACTGGCTGTGATATTTTCCAAGAAATGATTTTGAGAACTTGTGAGGTAGGCTTTTGTTTCCAAAAGAAACCGAATAAATCTAAAATACAACAGAAAGCAAAAAAGTCTTCAAACAGGGGGTTTTGATTTTTAACTACATTGGAATGTTTTGGTAGTTGATATTTTTTATTTCACTTAGGCCAAATTGGAAATTTTATTTCGCTAGATCAGTTGCTTTGTTCATTGTTTATATGTATCCAATTTAGGGTTGAGGTCCTCAAAGAAGAATTCAGATCAAGAAATTAACATATCTGTTAGTGATGATTTTGTTCTTTTCATTTTCAGCTATCACAAATGTAAATATTTCATTGGTGTCATGCTCTGTATTTTAGTGCACAAACAGGCATTTATTTTTACTTTCCTTAGCTTCTGTTTGCAGATTTCGAGTTAACTGGGGTTTTTTAAACAGATTTTATATTGAAGTTCTTCCAATATGCCCACAATTTATTAATTTTCTGATATTTATGTTACTTGTAGAGGAAATGGGAGAGAAGCAAGGACATTTCACCCTCCTCTGTTAGCTGAAAGTCCTGTCAGAAATTATGGGTATGAAAATGCAGGTTTTCTACACCCTTTTATTACGCCCACGTCGAAACGTAGATGTATATTGCCGTCGTCCCTGTCCGTCGGTTTACATTTCTTGTAGGCATGATAGAAGCTACAGTTTTAATCTGATCTCGATGGAACTTGGTATGCATTTATAAACTTATGACGGCAAATCTCTTTGATGTTCGGGGTTCCATTAAATCGTGTAATGACCTCGGACTGCTGTCAGGGGTTTTTACAATTGAATCAAAACCTCGTAGCCGGTTTACAAGTCTGAAATAGCGGTTTTACATCTGTATCAAAACCCCGTCGCCGGTTTTACAATTGTGAAATGGCGGTTTTACATCTGTAAATGTTCTCACCTGTTTTCTCACAAATCAGTTGTTCATCCACGTCATCTTCAATCATCAATATGCGTCTGCTAATATCACATTGACAGTCGTCTGTTTTATATGAAAGTGAAATTGACCGCACGTGCACGTAGGCTACATTCGTGAGTATATTTATCACATGACTATTAATTGTAAAACCTTGTAAATTAGGCTATCTAAACGCACGAGCAACATGGGAAATAGATAAGCATAATACATGTACACCGTTACGTTCATAGTATACATGATTGAAAGATTACCGAAACATGTTATGTTTAGGTCCATGACAAATATTTGACGGTTTATAAGTCTGATAAAACTCCTACTCGGTTATGCTTGGATTCGTAAAACCTCGGTTTTACCAATCCAAGCATAACCTCGTAGTCGTGTTTTATCTCTTACGTATATATTTGATAAACGGTTTTAGAGCCCTTGACTTAGTAACGTCAAGTTTGGCTTGCAGGAAAGTTCGAGACAGTTTTCATCCGATGTTGATGAAACTTGGTTTGCATGTATATATTGATGAGATCGCAGTCAAGTACAATATTGGTAACAATCGGATGAACAATCTCAGAGTTATTGCCCTTGACATAATAAAAAGACGTCAAATTTTGCTTGTAGTTATTGACCTTGTTGATGTTTGAATTTGATGGAACTGTTTTTGAGATTTTTCAAGTATTTTTAAGATTATTTGGTTCAACGGCCCTCTTGAATGCAACAGTTTATTATAAATATTTCAAAATATACCGATCAATTCTGTACATACTGAGCTTTAGAAGTGAGTGTATGAAGTATGAGTATGAAGTAGGAATTATGTATCCCAACCAGAAATAAAATGATTGTATTGCTCAACTTTTATGAATCTTATTGGTGCTATGGGTTGAAAACTGACACTTTGCCAACTTTCAGAATTTTTCTTACCTTACCCATTGTCCTAGTAGATGACAATCAAATTTGACTGAGCTTTTCCACTGCAACTTGAAAGCAGGCATTAAGATTACTGTGTCTTATGCTACAAACCTTGCAATAGTTTTAAATTTGACTATGAGGCACTATAATTTTGATATACTGAGGAACACCATTACAAAACTTATTCACTTGCGACTTTTGTTTGAGAAACTGCTCACAATGTGAACCATTCTGCCATTAAGCCTTTTTATACGCCCACGTGGAAATGTGTGTGTGTATATTGCCGTCGAGCCTGTCCGTTCGTCCGTCCGTTCACATTTCTTGGAGGCGCGACACGGGCTACAGTTTTTATCCGATCTCCATGAAACTTGGTATGCATGTATATATTGATGAGATCTCAGTTAAGTTCGAAAATTGTAATAATTGGATGGCTGGTTTCAGAGTTATTGCCCTTGACTTAGTAAAAACGTGTCAAATCAGGCTTGTAGGCACGACACAGACTACTACGTTCGGAAACAAAAAAACTCATTACATCTTCCCAAGCGCCGGATTGAGGCTTGAAAAGAACATTCAAATACAAGGCTAGTTTACTCTGGAATTCATTACCTCAAGTACTTAAACAATCTAATGATGAAGAGTGTTTTAAGACTGGACTGGAAAGGGAATTACGATCATAATATATAATTGTGTGTCTAAAAGTTCTATATTTTCTATTTATCTTTGATAACCAAAGGAAAGTATTCAATTTATTTTGTGTTAGTCTACGGAGACCCTTAAGCGCAATTTTCAACACTTTTGATTATTATTTCGTTTAAACGAAATATTTAAACGAATTATTATTTCGTTTAAATGAAATAATTAACCCATCTTTTTATTTCGTTTAAAGGAAATAAATGATGTAATCAAGGAGATTACATCTGACTATTGTGAAGCCTGTGACAAAGTAATTTCCAACAAAAGAAAGAGTAACATCTTCACTCAAAGAGTCATTATAATAATTGGGTGGTAAGTCTATCCATATAGTGTTATATTAAGCCTTCTTTTCCAATAATAACTGAGGTTAATAGTGACTATAAATAGAAGAACTACAAATAATAATAAATTCTAAGTCCATCTACACTACATATTAATGCTTTACTTTCAGCTCCACATTTAGAATACAGAAATTTAAATCTCTTGTGAAAAGACAAAGAGAATTAAAGAAATCAGGAATCGAAAGAGGCAACTACATGTGAAGATGAGCCAAACAAAACTGTTTCAAAAAAGCTTAACATTAAAGGAAAAAGGCAAATAAAAACTGGCAAGGCCAAAATCAAGATTACTTTAAAGAATCCCCAAACAGAAGCAGAGATTGGTACAAATGAACAGGTGTCAGAAAAAACATCAGCTACTGTCAATCCAATATAATAAAATGCCAGAAACAAAAACTATTCTGTTTTGCGAATAATGGCCCCTGCTAAACTAAATTTCTCAGCATAAGACTGTTTTTATCCTGGACATTTCAATCTAAACAGTATCCACAGTTTTACCCACAGAGATATGTCTTTTTCACTAAATTTCAATTGGTTTAACCAAAATATGACACACGGGATTAAAAAAAATTTAACGACAATTATGACATAAACATAGAAATAATTCACAATCTATAATATTTCTTTACTAGAATAATAAATCAAAATTAGACAAAATGGAAACTAAAGCTAAATGGCACCAAATAGGACACAAAAATAGAATAAATTCTGATACGGGTCTACAATAAGAACATATTTAGTAAACAAGTAAAGAAATCATTTCAAAACCTTTCCTGAAGGATGAATAACACATGAACATTTATTAAACAAAACCAAACCAAATCCTATAGTTCAAAGCATTTCTGATGCTTTTAAACTAAACTTTATGATGAATATTGGTACATGAGAAAAAAAAAATATCAAACATTGATTAAGGAATTAGGGAAAAGCATAATCTAGATTGAGCATTTCTGATGCTTAACTAAAGTTAACTATGATTTATTTATTTGTAAATTTTCATTAATTTGTATATGAAAATAATAAATGATCAAGGAATGGAGGAAAAAATTTTTATAAGATGATTTCTTCTTCGAGACTTAAAATTTATGTAGCCTTTATTTTCTATTTGATTTATCTGCATTATTTGCAGACAAAAGGTCAATACTCTGATTTTCTATAAAAGAAGATGCAATAGTTGTATCTTCACATATATCAATGGACAAAGTTTCACTTGTTTCAACTGTGATGTCACAATTGCGTACTTGTATGATTATATCTGTTTCCTCCACAAACAGGTCTCCATTTTCCTGAGCTGTTGAAGGGTTTTCTCCAAACTCCTCAATATCACCATGACTAGTTTGAAAAAAAGTTCCTTCAGCTTCCATTTCTTTCATACTTTGCTCATCAAAACAAACATTATCGATGGTATCCTTTTTTGTGCTAACACTGAAAAGCCCAACATCATGGGAGATAGCCTCTTGTGATGAAATCCATTCTGCAATATCACATATGTCTGAATTTGCATTTATGATCTCTTTTTCAAGGTTATTTGATGAAGAATGAGATTGTTTGGATGTGTATCTTGCCCAGAGTTGAGGTGAGTTTCTAGGGCACACAAAGCCTTCATCATAATCATCTGTTATCCCACTATCATCCTTGTTTTCACAAAAAGCTGGAAGCATATCTATGTTTGATACACATTGGTGGTGTGACTTTTTTCCAGATAATTTGTTGTCCTTGTTTTCAATGTTGTAATATGTGTTGCTAAAATTCAAGTGTTCATTTCTTCTACAGGCCATATCCAATTTATCAGAGTCCTCTTCAGCAGAAATGTCAAGAGGCTGATTGTAAGAATTCGAGATCATCTTTTCAGTAGTTTGTTGCTGCTCTCCAATAACAGAATCAATGACATGAATTAAAGCTTCACAATCAACATGTGTTGTTTGGCTAATAATATCACTGTAAGAGATATCATCGCTCATCTCATTTCTATCAAGGTCTTCTGCTCTTAATTTTATATCTGGTAAGGAAGGAGTACCTGCTACAAAACAGTTGTTCTCGCTGGTTTCATAAACTTGTACTTTATGCTTTTTGTCCTCAATACCGTCAGGAGGCTGTCTTTCTGTATTTTTAACTTCAATCTCTTCAGATAGTAAAGAATCCTCATCACACATATAACTATTTACTAAATTATACTCATCACCTATGTAACTACTATCATAGGGTGTCACCATACTGTAAGTTTGTGTCAATATATTTCTACAAGATATACCCTCATATACAACAAAGCCATCAACTTCAAAATCATTGTGTTCTACAAGAGAATTGCCATTAATATCAAAGTCTAAAGCTGTGGTATAGTTAAAACTTGTGCTGGGCAATAAGTCTAGATCTGAGTGAAATGGGTCTAAATCTTTCTGGACTGATATGCTGTATTTTGTACTATCAGAAATGTTATCATAATCTTTAGTAATAGATGTTATATGCTTTAGATTATTTCTATTTCTCTTTTCAGATTCCATTACATGTTCCTCGGTAATGTGCTGATCATCTGGCTTATCACAGTCAGAATATAAAGAAATATCACAAATTTGTTTTGACTTTTCATTATGATTATTACTTAAACTATTCATGTGTTCAAGGCCATCTTGAGTTAAATAACTTTCACTAAGGCATCCAGATTTTGAGATATTTTCTGGTAGCTCATTGACATCAGTTAAGGTTTTCTTTGTACATTCTTTACCAAGATATTCAGAAGCATGACTTTTAGAGCAGCTTTCAGCTTCATCTGTTTTTACAGCAGTGCTTTTACCTGGACTCAAAATAGAAGTTTCTTCAAATTCCTTTAAGCATTTATAACATAATAAATCTTCCTTAATAGTAGTATCCAGTTCATTTAAATCATCAGCTTTATCTATTTCAGCGTCTGACAAGCAAGAATTAGTAGTACTATCCCTATTGACATTATTAGTTGATGTTGTGTTAGAAAAATCAGTATCAGAATTAACTACACTGTCGGAATCTGTGTCATAACCATGTGAATTAAGGTTTTCTTCCTTAATTGAATTTGTTGCTTCAACTTCAGCCCTATCATTACTTTTAGATACCTCTTCAGTGCATGTTTTTGATTGATGCTGTATACAATTTGAATCCGCGATTTTGACTGGTTTGTCTTTATTTGTACTTTGTTGAACTCCTTTATGTGTGATCAATGCATCTGATGATGTAAATTCCTGAGGACTCCAAGTAGAATTTTGAGGAAATGTTGTAAAGCCATCAATAGCTACTTTATCCTTAATATTTGTCAGAGCATATTCCTCATCGCTGTTAGAACTAGAATCATTTGTGCTTTGAAAAGATCCATAATATTTGCATTTCATATCATATTGAGTACCTGTATTCTGCAGTTTATAGGGTAATGAAATATCCTCATTTGTTCTGGATGTTGCAGTTTCTGTGGGTTTCTGGGAATGTGGTAATATATTTCTTTCTTCTTGAGGATATCTCACATTATTTTTGTTTGTTAAATCCTCATTTGATAATACTTGTTCTCTGATCATCAGAACACGCTTATCATTGGATTCTTCTTCATCATCAGACTCTTTTTTCTTCTGAACAAATCCATAATATTTTAATTTCATATCGCACTGAGTAGTGGCAGTATCAGACAGTGTATACATATTCATTTTGTTACTGATGCTTTGGGTCTTTATGAATTTGGATGCTGTAACATTGGTTGATGTTGACAGATTATGATTATGATGTATCACATCAGTCATTGTATCAAAGGATATATTTGTTTTCTTAACCAGGGTTCTTGAATCTCTGTTTTCTTTCACTTCTTGTTCAGCAAAAAATCCCTTTTCAAGATCACTACACTCAGTAAACATCACAGAATTACACCCTTTAGATTTGCTGAACGAGATCTGTTCTTTTTCAGCAAGAACTTCCTCAAGTTTATCTAAACATAGATCCCTTATATCCTGACTGAGTTTGGAGTCAATAAGCGATGAGGAGTGTTGTGCTCTTAAATCTGTTTCATTTAGGTTCTGATTTTGAGTTTTAATCATTTCATCTGCCAAAGCTTTCTCAATTGCATCCGAATTGTCTATCAAATTCTGTAAAGTACAAATGGAATTTAATTTAAAGGAATAAATTAGCGATGGCCCATCGTAATACTCCCACCATTGTAATGGCAGCCATGTCATAAGGGCCGCTGACAAGAGCTATCAATAAATGATATGAAATGAAATAAAAGAGTAACATTTTCCTCGAAGACTTTTTTTTGATTTTCAACTAGTTTCGTCTAAATCAGTCCAGAATTTTGTCTTCTGGAGTTTTACGAGCTAAAGATTGAACACATTTTAAGAACAAGGACAATAACCCATATTAAATATTTTTCGATTTTCTGCTTTTCAATAAGGTTCGGGTGATTCAACCAAGTTTCAACTTAGAGAATTATGCCATGAATGTTATTTCAAGAACAAGGGCAATGACTCATTTTAAATACTTTTTAGGTTTTTTTTAAATATCTACAGGGTACATCATTGGGAAATAATTAACAATTTCACCACATTTCATCTAAATCTGTCAAGAATTGTGCCTTCTAGAGTTTTCAAGAACAAGGGCAATAACTCGTATCAAATATTTTTCAATTTGTCTGATTTTCAACAGGGTTCATTCTTTGGTGATAACAAACACTGACACCAAATTTTATCCAAATCCCTCAAGAAGCCAGCTCTCTATCCTGTCCACAATAAATTGAACGTGTTTTCAAAAAAAAGGGCAAAAACTCATATTAAATATTTATCAATTTGTCTGATTTTCAATAGGGTTCATCATTGGATCATTACGAACCAAGTTTCGTCAAAATCCATCAAGAAACAAGCTCTCTATAATGTCCAGACAGACAGATGGTAATATACGCCCACATTAATGTGTGATAAATTATAAAACTTGACATCAAATACCATTCTAGATTACCCAACGTTTTGTCAAAAAAGTTTTGATTAATGTGTGAGCGTATAAAAAATTTAAACATTGTGTGCTACTAGATTCGTTCCTGTGTGCTCAATAAGTATTAAAATTTTTAACTGTTATTTCCAAATCACAATCAATAGCCAATTCTTACATATTTTTGCTCTATCGGTACAGTTACTCAATAGCAGTCCACCTCAAATTAGTAAAAAGTGTGGATGGACAGGTAACAACATATGTCCACATTACATGTAAAAATAAGAAATATCATACCTTGTATAATATATTATGTGTGTCTGTATCACAGTGAGTTACTTTTGCTTCTATTTCTTCACAGAAAAACAGCTGACAAAGCTGACAATAATAACCCTCAGCAGTTTGAATAAATTCTAGACCTGAAAACAATGAGGAAAAACAATTATTCTAAATTTACAATACTTATATTTAACAGTTTCTAAATCCAAGAAGCAGCTGTCCACAAATCAGACATTTTTTTTTTATCAATATGCATGGAGGCCTTTTTAGAGGTATCGAAACAAGTTGTAGTCTGACAAAGATTTAAAAGCTCTCCCTAATCAGAATAAAATCACTTCTTAGCAATGGAATCAATCGTAACGCGACCTTGTCTAATCTCGCGAACTCGACATCTCCACTTCTCTATTTGTCCCTTCAGAATATTTACTCCTGAAAGCATATTGAACATAGTTAAACACAGAATTGAACAAAAAAAGATTGGAAGTTGATATCAAAAGATGTGGAAAGGTTGAATTTTATGAATTTTATCATTATAATTAAATCTAGTGCAAATATTATGACTGACATATTCTAATTTTTCACATTTGGGGCACGCAAAAAACAGAATTCAATAATATTACTATTCTTCCTTTTTTTTTATAACTCTGTTCATCCAATTTTCATCAAAATAATGTCCAATGTTTTTCTGGCATGTTTTAATTTTAAGTTTTCTTTCATCAAAAATCAGACAAAAAGATATGCTGAGTTTTTCCTCAAATATTTTTAAATCAACAGCAATAACATTTTTAAATCAACAGCAATAACCCAGATGCATTGAATTATCACACTCCTCTCGAGTCTAAAATTTTCAAAGATATATAATAAAGTATAGACAATTTTGAACTTTACTGAGATCTCATTAATATGCATACCAAGTTTCATCAAGATCTGATAAAAGCTGTAGCCCCCATCGTGTTTACACAAGTCAAATTTGATGAATTTTTATGAAGTCAAGGGCAATAACTCAAAAAACTCTGAAAATAGCTCAAATTCGAACTTGATCTTTGTTTTATGAATATGTATACAGATTCCGAATTTCATTTGATTCCATCAAAAAATCTAGTTTTTAGAGTGTTTACAACAAATGTTGACGGACGGACGGACGGACAGGGGTGCCGCCAATATACGTCCACATAGAGAGATGTAGACATTTAAAAACTGTTCATAGGAAAATTGTCAAATTCGAACTTGACCGCTGTCTTATCAAACTCAATGCTCACACCAAGTTTCATCAAAATCCATTGAAAATTGAACCTTCTATTGTGCCCACAATCAAATTTTGACACAATTTTACTTAGTCAAGGGCAATGACTCAAAAACCTTCATAGAAAAATTGTCAAATTCGAACTTGACTGCCATGTTATCAATCCCAAGGCTCACACCAAGTTTCATCAAAATCCATTGAAAATTGTAGTTTCTATTGTGCCCACAACAAAATTTTGACGCGCTTTTACTTAGTCCAGGGCAATAACTCAACAACCGTTCATCGAAAAATCGTCAAATTCGAACTTAACCGCCATGTTATAAATCCCAATGCTCACACCAAGTTTCATGAAAATCCATTGGGAATTGTAGCCTGTAGCGATTTTACTAAGTCTAGGACAATAACTAAAACATAGGCTTGCGGCAAGTCTCGCAAGCGAATAGGCCCACCAGCAGATTGATAAAAAGCTAAATGTGAACTGTAAAAAAAACTATATCGTAGCCTGAAGGGTGAGCACGAGCCAAAAAAGTGAAAAAACACAATATCAGAGTTTTATGCGATATCTCTCAAGAAAATCATTGGACCCTCGCCAAATTCAATAGTGCACATCTCATAATGCGAACTTGACTGCCGTCCCAATGCTCACACTAAGTTTCATTACAAACAAATGAAAACTGTAGTCTCTATTGTGCCCACAAGAAATGTTGACCGACAGACAGGGGCAATGACGATATACGACCACGTATATTCATGTGGGCGTATAAAAATGATCTAGATTCGTGTTTAGGTTACTTTCAGTTTCTAATTTGGGGATTGGTACCAGATGAAATATACAATATTTGTTATCTTATAACCTATCTTCAGCCAAATCTAGCCCTAGGTCGAGCTATGTCAAAATCAGCGAGAGTGCTCTTACGTAACCAAATCAAGTTCACCTAGGCACACTTCGGGTTTGAGAAGAAAAAAATCATTTTTAGATCTCAAACCATATTAGCATTTAATTATAATAAATCATATCATCCTGGAATACAATGAAACTCCAGATTTATTTGTTTTTCTGTCTCGGTTACAGCAACCTACACTATGGCCGTTCATTGACACCAGACTATTTTTAGACAGAGAATCTCCCCAATGTGACGTCAGCTCAAATCCTCTTATTAGATATCAGAGATGTAGTGGGTCCAAAATTAACTTGATAGTAATTGAGACTACCGTTTTAATTGGATTTTGTGAAACTTTTGGACCTCATTATGAACTTCATTATTGAGCCCATTTTATAAATCCATATTAAATTTCCCTTTTGAGAAGAATGAGCAAGAACAATTGATTCATTCAGATATTAAAAAAAATATTTGAATACATTGTATTACACAAAATTTGGTATCCACTTTTTTATAGAAGATTTCTAAGAATATATATACATACCATTTTCAGTATTTGGCATACTGTTGTTATAAATTAGCTCTTTAATGATGGTATCTGATCTCTGAAATTAATCAAATACCATATTTCAAGATATTGGAGCACATCTCAACATGACCACTACATCATGAATACACCCACATGACAGCCAACTTCAAATGCAGAAGTCTGTCATGTTAGCACTTTTTAATATAAACATATTAAAATTGAAAACATTCTTTCATGAATTGTAAACTGTATAAAGGAGATGAGCTATGGACTAACAATTTTAAGTCAACCCATATATTTGTACAGTAAAATGCTGAAAAATCAAAAAAATCAAAACATACCCACTGACAACTTCCTGAATGAAAATATTTTTTTTACAGTTTTTATTATATAAGATAGAAAAATGTACATGTAAATGGTCACATGCTTAAGTATTTATTTCCTTATGTTGATATCAAGATCCACATTAATTTCGTAATTCTATAATCCTAGGGTGATAATATATAAAGTTTCATCCAAATCAATGAAGAATTGTGCCATCAAGAGTGGTTCCGAAATAAATTTCAAAGTGACGTTCATATAAAAATAGTTCCAAGATATATTGTGATAAATCATGGAAGATATATACAAAAATATCTTAAGTTTCATCAAAAACTAAGAAAAACTGTAGTTTCTATTGTGTTCACAAGCCAATTTGATGAAATCAATGGTAATAGTAATAAAAAAAAATCTTTCATTGAAGAATTGTGAAGAACCAACTCATCCAAAATCTCATCAATGTACAAAAACACACCAAGTTTTATCAAAACTGTACCCTCTACTGCATTCACAATTAATGAAAAGATAAAAGGCCAATAATCATTCACATTTTGTGTGTGTCCTTAAAGAAGCGAGTGTTTGTGTCTCTAACACAGGTTTGTCTTTAGGACTACATATACCACTTTTTCGCTGTAGCAGATCATACTTATTACTGTTTAACTGTCAATTTCAGTGAATAAAACCATTAAATTCAATAATTCAGTTTACTTCACTCATTACAAGGATTATTCCTATGAAGTGGAATTTGAAAAATCTGAAAATGAAAGTTCTTTACTGAACTGAGAATTAACTACCTCTGGAATGGCATTCATATGAGTAGGCATTTTGTCCATACTCAACAAGCTGTTGATATAACTTAAGTCCACAGTCAAATTTCTGTTTAAATTAAAACATTGTTCTTGTAAATAATAAATGACAGAAAATGTGAAATACCTTTCTTACTAGTTTCTTCACCTTGATATGTGACTTCTGTTTTATATGGTCACTATATTCTTCAAGATTACCAAATCTTTCAATATAACAATATGGACATCCTTGGTGACAAATATCTTCAGCTATCTTTAACATCTATAATAACAACATAACATCTTTAACTTTCAAATTAATCAAGGTAGTGAAATTTTATGTATACTCCTAATGAGACATGCCAATATTCCAGTCATACTTGACATTTGTTTAAGATCGATAACTGTGAAACTAAGGCTAAAAATGACGTTATTATGAAGAGGCAATACTGTAATGAAATCAACCATTCCATCAACAAAGCTTCTGTAAAATCTTAAAACTTACACTTTCTAATTGTATTTGTTCATATTGCTTTTTTTTGCTTGGTTTAATATTTTTGTCTTGAACAATTGTTTCTGTATGTTTCTTAACCTCTGTATTATTTGATCCATGGTTGGTATCCAATTCTAATAATCTAAATAAAACAAAACATTCTTTTTGTATCTATAGGCAACGGAAGAATGATTGATTCTGACAAAAGTTGTAAAGTCGCCAAAATTTCAGTTGCATTTGAATTAAACTATACAGAACTCAAAACTTTTGGCCCATAGATGGTGAAGAAATCTAGTTTGATTGATTAATTTAAAAATTGTATTAGCAGAGGACTTACCTGTCTGATGATTTCTTCTGTGCAGAATCAATCTTAGTTTTCTTATGCTTCTGTTTAGCAGTTGCCGGCTTTGTAAGAAGCAGATTCTAAATTAAGTTTTTTTTAAAAAAATGTATTACTATTTTCCATACTGAGACTGATTTAAATTTAAGTTTAAATTTAAAGCATGTCAAGTTTTTGAAGCATTAATTCTTCTATGTAAGTCTGTGAGACTTTCAGTTCCTTTTAATGCTATTCATGCCTGAAAATCAAAGATAGATAAAAAAAAATAACAGCTAAATAACCCTTCAACCGGGGAAAAGTTCTAGTTATACCTTATCTGTATTTGGTTTCATTCTGACACTTCTATTATCAATATTATCACCATAAATTCTTCTCATTGGTGGCATGGTTACAAATCCATCCAGTTGCTCATATAAAAATCTATTTTGTTGCTCAACTATGGAGGTTGTAAAAGCAAGTTGACGTTCCTTTAAATGCAACTGATATTCTAATCTTGACATTATAATATCTTGGTCTCGAGGGTGAGAATGGCACTGCGTATTATCCAGACCATATCTACTCATCAACCCAGCACCATGATAATTACTTCTGGGAATGTAAGAAGCAGCACTGTTTATCCATCTTCTGGTATTGCTCTGTTTATCAACAACGGATATGTCTGATCTGTCATCAGAATCAAAGTCATGAAGCGATGAACCAGAATCAGCATTAAAGTTACTGAGTTCTGTCAGTAATGGATCTGATCTGGGTCTAGGTGAAGGTCTTTCTGGAATATTTTCCATTCTTTCATACTCTCTGGGGCCTTGTGGTTCATTTATGGAATGTCTCAGCAAACCTCTTCCAGTTCCTGTACATCCAAATGCTTGAACAACCTTGTTGTAATTAGCAAATTCACCATTCCCTGTAGAAATAACTTTGTGATAGCCTCCAGCAGGTGATGTTTTCTTTTGTCTTGGCATTTTGTCTTATGTTTAGTCTGAAAAGAATCTTTAATGAATTAATAAATATTTCATTAGAATGAATAATTAGGATATTATATATTAAAAGGATTCTGAAGCGTTTTATTTTTTGTGTTAATTTGTGTATCAGAGAAACATTCTTACTTCCCCTCCAAAATCTGATTTGACTTGTTACAAATTAAATTCTATATCTTTCTTTTTTGAATGACTTGTAATCAGTTCCATTTTTTTTAGTCTCACAATCACTATTTGGATTCATGATGCAAGTTTTTGAAGTGTTCCTGATACGCATACAAAAGCAACTGCTATTTTGAATATGAAAAGGTAACTCATAAAGTTATCACTATCATTCATATAATTGAAGATCATTCAAGAATCTTATCTAAAAACTTGCAAATGTCAGTGAAGTATAAATGAATGTCTCTTGTATTCAACACTAAAATCAAATTCTCAAATCTGGCGATTCTAGTAAACATTTGGCCAGGTCATAGGGGAGGGGATTGTTAGAAACGCCACGGAAGAGAAACCCATATATTAGTCAGAGGATTCATCAGAGTAATATACAAGGATTAGGCCTGAGAACTCGATTTCGGACAATTTTGAGCTGCCAAAAACGTATCAAAATCTGTATCTTTTGGATTTTGTATAAAGACACTGTAAATGAATCAATCTCTACTGAACCGAGAAAGGTTTTGCTGGGGCTTAATTCTCACTTGCTGGGGCCCACCCTAACGATGAGGCTGCAGGGATTCTGTTGTATATTTATGACACTGCTCTAGGACCATGTAAGTCCACTGATAAATTAGCACTTTTCTTCGCCTAGTACATGTACGTTACAAATATTATTTTCAATAAGAAGACAGACATGGCGGATGGGGTGTAGTTTTTCTTGAGCCATCCAACTTCATCATCATAATCTTGTTGGCTACAAGAGATACTCAAAACACAATACATTGTAATCAACATACATGATATCATCAAATATAAATTTGCTCTTTTCCCATGACATTGACAATAATAACATCAATGACAACTATGAAAAATGGCGGGTATATTTTCATCATTAGAGTTGTGGAGTAATTTCGATATTTCAGGGGGTTTGAACTAGACAATCTTTCATTCGGAATCTTCGTCTTTACTGAGAAGAGATGTCTGTACAAATTAAAACTGAAGACTCTTCCTATAATTTAAGCTATGCCCATCCACTGCTATATAATTATGCTACATGGCAAGCTATTCAAGATATTCAATTTTAATTTGATGAAAGGGTAATCAATTTGATGCCAAAGAAAGGACATAGATTGTAACTTCTTACTTTTCTGCATGGCAGCATATTCTACTGGGTCCGTTGCCTACAGTAGTTGTATTAACCCACACTTTTTGATGTAAGAGAGTCGAAAGCGCGTTTCGAGAGGGTATCCTATCCATTTCACATGCAGGTAGGCCTATTGCAGTTATATCATAATTATGTAATAACTGAACGCCGGATTTAGTTTCAAAAAGTGGTGTACAGACAGCTAAAATTAAGCTCTAAAATTTAAGCTCTTAAATCTTCGGCTGCAGTCAAGTAACCTATTTTCGTGCTAACCTATTTTTCGTGCTTCTCAGGAAATGATTAATAATTTACATGCGCTTGTTTTGATATACATGGGTTATCTGTACTTGTCAGCTAGTAGAATGAATTCAGTAGTTTCAAGCAAGGTAAAATGTATTAATGTTTACTTTGTCAAATACAAAATGTTCAGTTATTACGAATAATCAAAATTTGTTATCGGCCGAATTTACTTATAATCCCAATTAAGCGCTAATCGGAATCCCAAGTGTCGTCTGCTAGAATATATTCCAGCGAACGACGTCACGTGATAAACTAGCGGATGGAACCGTGTCAGCAGTAAAATTCTATGGAACACAATGTGGGCCATATTCTTATGCTGTTTCAATGACTTATAGCAATAAATCACTCTTACGTTTTACTTATCGTATATTATCAGTCAATATATATTTTTTTAAATCATTGTTCTTTGAAGGAATTTTTTCATTAGTTAAAATGAAATATTGTTAAAGATAAATACTAAAAGAAGTATGGATACCCATATAACGTGTTTTTCTTGACTTATTTACGAAAATAGGTGACGCATTTTGCCGCCGTTGTCGAGTTGGTTACTCATGAAATATGGGTCAAAGTGAGGGATTCATAAAGAAAATCGAAACAAATCAATCTTAATTATTTTCTAGAATATCTGATGAAACATCAAAGACATACAAAAATATCCGTTTTTCAAATTTGACGAAATTCAGCGTTGAATCCTTAAATGCACGAATATAGATTACACCACTGTAATTGTAATGTGTGACCATCCTTTTTCGACCCTTTTACGTTTTGACCTATTGACCTATTGATAGCTCTTGGAAGACCGACAACTCTCAAGACCTTTTCTTTTCACATCGCCTTTCTCTTACGTCAACAGTAGAAGAAGATAAATTACTCATACACCTATAATTGTCTCACACCAAATGACCTGAATTAATTATCGGGCATCAAATAAGATGTGATTGACCCACAATAACCTTAGACAAACATGAATGTCAATGAGACCGGAAATAATGTTTTATATACCTGAGATACACGTGATTTCACTAGAATGTAACCGATCTTTCATTATTTCAGCTACACTTTCAGTTTTATGGTATCAGTGTGTTCGAGTTAAATAAATAACCAACTAATCTAAAAATATTCTGATATTGTTTAATAAAAGTGATGACATGTTGTTCTTAGTGACACCTGGATGAAACATGAATATTATAATGTCTACAGGGACCGAATTACAGATTCATTTACAAACGAATTTTCACGAATTATGTCACCCAAAAAAACATCACGCAAACTCAGTATGGAACTTCACGTCGTCACGATCCCAAGAATAAGAGTGCCTGTCATCTACCCGCAATTAACAAGCCTATGCTGATCATTGGATCTTCTAACATCAGCAACTTACCGAAAGGCAGAGATGATGTCCAGAAAGAATCATATCCCGGTGGAAAGATATGGCATATCAAAACCATTCATAGTAAATTTATCCCTTCATCCTATTTCCCTCGTCACCTTATTCTTCACATTGCATTCAACAATGGAGCACAAGGCGGCCGTAATAGTTACCATCATCTACTGGATCTTTTGAAAACAGTTAAGACCACTTTCCCTGATACCACCATCCATGTCACTCATATACCTACTTCATCTATTTTCCAATCATAATTAAAGAGCGAAAATAAAAACCTCCAAACTTTTAACGACTTTCTAACTAACTAGCCACCACCAGATGTCCATATCATCAAACCAGCACCAGGTACAATTACAGTAAATTCCGATATGATCCACTGGGTACCAAACACTGCAGACAACCTCTTCAACCATTGTATTAATTAATATCAATCCTTTAAACTAAAAAAGGTGGGTCTAGCCAACAGATAATGTTTCTGGTCTCCGCGTTGTAAGAAAAGCTTTTGACAGGACTCCTGACATTAGCCGCCCGGATAATGACCTATTAGACTTACTGGAAATATATCTTAATAGAAATGACTTTACTTTCAATGAAAAAGTTAACCTTCATATATCTGGCACTGCCATGGGTAAACGCTTTGCGCCGTCATATGCAAATAATTATATTCATGGCAAAATGGGAACGAGAAGAGTCTCTATTATACTTTGTCCATTACGTCTTCATTTTTATGTACGATTTCTTGACGATATTTTTATATTTTGAACCCACACCATAGAAGAATTATGGGAATATTGCGATATTCTCAGTAATTACCACCCCTCAGGAAAACTAACAGCCAAAATCTTTAAGGAAAATGACTCTCATCAACTTTTGTTTAAATCCTCTTTTCACCGAAAACACACAATTATTAAGTCCCAGATATTACGGTTTTACAGAATTTGCACACGAGAAGTGGGCTTCGAGTGGGCATGCTCTATTGTTTTTAAAGAATTGCAGAAACGTGGATATTGTAAACGGTTCCTTCGAAAGATAAAGAATTTAACGATTTATGAAGTGAAAGCCAAGTTAGATGACCACAGTTAGGTCTACCACCATCGACCTCTCTGCAAATACCACACCCTGTTTCAAAACTTCTTGTTTGACCTGCCATTTTTTTTTTAACTCAACTCGTTTTTTCACCAACACCTCAAATAATGCTAAATTTCCAATAACAGAAGACCTTTCGTGTGACAGCAGCAATATTATATACCTTATATCACGTACTGTCTGTCTTAAACAATATATTGGTGAAACAAAAAACAAATTAAGAACACGTTTCAATGGCCAAAGATTCGATATAAATCATAATGTTAACAAATTTGTTGCTAAAAATTTTAACCAGTCAGATCACCCTATAATGTCCGAATTACACCTATTGAAAAAAATCATATCCCAACATTTTATTTGTAATTAGTATTACTTTATAATTTAATTACTTTATTATAATCACGTCGATGCGCTTACGTAACTTCAATTTTATGTTGTTGTTACAACCACTCTTACCAATCATCTACACAATAAAAATCAGATTGAAGCTTTCCATCATTTTGTAGGAATCTGAGCTGATATAGATATTAAACGTACTAAAGAGATGGCAGTTGGGTTTGGAAGGGTGTAAAATAAAGGCTTGTATTAAAATTAATGATCAATTCAACAAAATTTAAAGGACAGGAATCTGAAATGTATTTTAGCGAAAAGGGTGAAATAAAACTATGTCAACCAGTGAATGTAATTAACCTTTTCAATATTATATAAAACAAGAAATTATCTATTATAGATCTTATCTATAAATATCATCATCATCAATCGCATGTTCTTTAAGCAACGTTACATGATGATCATCATCTAATCGTACCGTTGCTTAATAAAGGAATACTACGTCTTAGAATGAACATGAAATTTAAGAATAAGAGCATATATTCATCAGTAGATATACCTGGTGTCATAAATAACATAACAGGATCCTTATATAATCCGATAAATCCAATAAACTTAGTAATTAGCCATAAAACGCTTTAAGATTAGGATATTCAATAATTTATTGCTTAGTTTTATGAATTTTCCAATTTTCCAGATTTTACAGGGATTCTGTTATAACTTTATGACACCAGGTAAGTTCACTGATGAATATATAGTCATATTGACCATTCTTCAGAAATTAAATTTTATGTTCATTCTATGACGTAGTATCACTTTAAGCAATATGCAACAATCGTGGACAAAGATACTCTCCATTTGACATCCATCCGCTTTTTAACTGTAATAAACATTGCCATTCAATATTTATATATTAGACTTGTTTTTTTAATCTTTGTGATAAGTGAATTATTGGTTTAGGTGAATTTAACAAAATTTTTTGGCGTTTTATTAAGTAAGTTTTAGTTTTATTGTTGGCATATCACGCCATTTAGGCCTACTACGTTATTCACAATATGAATGGTTGTCTAAGCAAGTAAATAAACAAGTTTTTAATCAATTTAAAGTAAAGCTGTCTGCGATCATGTGACCCTATTATTTCGTCATCACGTTACTTGATCTATTCTACACCAAAGATCATGGCATCAAAACATGCCGAAAAAAGGTTTGACTCTATCGTCACCGTTTGTCCAGGTACAAAGAAAAATGAAAGAAGACTTTGAAAGATCAGATTTCATTAGTTTTAGGTAGCCTATCTAGAATTTTCAATTACAGTTCACGATCATTCTTTTTCGACTTTTTCCTTAACCTTTGAACTTGTCAAGTTTGCGCAACTAACACACAATGTAATTTAATGGTTATAAACGCTATAGCGTATTTAAACTTGTTTTATAAACTAGTAAAAAATGTCACAAGTCACTTTGTAAATGGAGACAGCCAGAATAAACAGAAGAATTTCTGTTTGATTTGACCTGGTTACCTCAAAATAGACAATCACGTGATTGAGGCACAGACGAGTTTGTCAATAACTACCTATACGGCGATATGCATGTTGTAACGAATTGATAACTATCTATATATGTATATGTAGGTAAAACATATATATATATATATTGTATATATCTATTATTAGTGTCATTAAGATGTATAAAGTTTATGAACATTTTGGAATTAGTAAAGTACTATGGCTTATAATTTTAACTATCTGTGTTTCAATAATTGCTAGTGATAAAAGTGATAGAAAAAATGTGATTTTAGGAAAAAATTTAGATATTGTCCTATTTAACAAGGAAAAGACAGACGAAGGTCGAGAACAGGGTGTTACGTGTACAGGTAAATAAATGTATTTATATTCTTCAAGTAGTAAATAAATTGTATGAAATGATTGTAGACACTGAAAACTTTTGTCTGAAATATTAAGCCGTTCCAATGAGACTTACTAAACATATAAAGAGCAATAGTAATATCATTGAGGTACTAAAATATACAAGGGTTGAATTTGATATCTGAATCTTGTCTGTTCAGGTATTAATAAACTTGTTAAAACTGATTGTGATGAAACTGAGCTGCAGATACGCCATGTAATGTATCACGAAAAAATAGATACGAAAGATAGCTATTAGGACTATATATTAGGAAATTCGTCAAGTAAATTAATTTGACGTTATTTTTTCATTCTCTCACTTTAATTGATATCATTCATATTGCAAATACCTGTAATCTATAATAGATTTATATGAGGTAATTATCTATAGTTATCTATACATGTATATATAATAGTCTGATGTGGGTGTAGTATGTATTTTATTCATATATCTTATAAATATTCTTTTCATATTCACAAAGAACTTTCAATATCAACTTTATAATATGTAATTATAAACCTCGTCTTCATTAGCCTGAGTGATGCAGAAAAGCAGGACGTAAAAATCCATTCATTTGAAATGACAATTATAACAGATAGAACTGAAGTCCGAAACCTACCGACCCTTACCCTTAGACGATTATCGCCTGTGGAGAGTTAAGCTAAGATTCCATATACGTGTCATGCGGATCCGTCATGCGTCATCCGTCATGCGTTAAAAATCGAAATGGTTGGTTTAAGAGGGTATGATTCTATAAATGCGGAAGCGGTATCCGTCAAATGGTCTCTGTCATGCGTCAAAAAAAAAATCGCCGGGTGTAGCGATTTTTGACGCATCCGGACGCCTTTCCGCGCGGAGATCTCCCAAATGTGACGTATTTTGTGGGGATTCCCTGTCTTTTTTAAGCACCAGAGCATCCATCTGCCCAGAAGTCTATGTGTCAAAAGAAAGATAACGCATACGTTTAACGCACATATGAAATCATATTTGACGCATGACGGATCCGCAAGGGTCATTTATGTCCGCATGACGCGTGTATTGAATCTTAGCTTAACAAACATTAGCACGATTTATTGTGAATTTTACGCATCTCAAAAGGGAGAGGGTCATTTTAGATTGCGAAATAACAGCTGTAAAGTAAAATTCAACTGTTTGACGTAACCATAACGTTCATATCTTTCACCTGAAAAAAGTTTTCTTCTAAAATTATTAAAACATTAAAACATTAAAAGATTCTCGACGTAGATTGAATTCCAAAAGGAAAATTAGATGAATCCATCGAAAGAGCTTGATCATATTCACCAATACTGCCAAAAACATATTGATGTACATATTTAGACTGTCGTTACTTTCATTTTCACCTTTAAAACCGATATCATGACGTGAATGGTTTGAAAGTGACGGCTATATGAACTCCCTCGGTATGTTTAATTTCAGGAAAACTGAAAGTTTGATTTTAACGGATAAAAAATTGTGGGATTAGTTGAAAAAAGAATGTTAACTTATTTTCAACAAGATTATGGTACAAGTACACAGATATTGTAAAGATCTTGTCATTGAACACCAGTCCTCGTATACCTGTGTTTTATATTTGTGTAGACCCTTTGTAGTTTGGAAATCATTGTATAGTAAAAGATAAGTTTATTGATCTTAGTTTCCACTCGACCATTACTTCAATCACAATATAAACACTTCTTTAATTGACTTGATAGTGATCTTGACCAAATAGCTTTTAAAGAGTGAAAACTTAAAAATATGGATGGTTGAATTGTACCAGTGCACTGGACAATATGGCAGATCCACATATTGATTTCAATCCATTCTGCGTAGTGTATTTGAACATGTTACTTTACAATATTGTTCGTTAAAGCAGCCACAATTGCCTTTTTTTTTAAACATTTACATATAGTTTTAAAACACTTGCATATAGTCTTAAAACACTTGCACATTGTTTTAAAACACCTGCATATAGTTTTAAAACACTTGCATATAGTCTTAAAACACCCGCATATAGTTTTAAAACACCCGCATATAGTTTTAAAACACTAACATTGATCAATCGAGTTGGCTGATGTTTGACAGATACATGGGAAGTTTTCGAAGTTATTAACAGCGAGGAAATTCACTTCACCGTGGGTACATGATGAGTACGTGACATTAAACCATTTCCCACATTTATTTTTTAAAAACTAAAACAATAGGTATTTAGGTCAGACGGTGATTGACGCAAGAGAAAACAATATATGACCCAATGTCACATGTAAAGGCGATAGCCAGTGCATTTTTTCATATTAAGCCCAAGTATTGAAGGAAGGCCAAAATACAATCACTAAAAGTATTTCTGTATACAACGTTAAAGGTATATTTTCACACAAGTCGCGATGACCAACAAGTTAATCGATCTTCCCAGACATAAATTTTGTAGAGTCTTCTTGGTCAAAGATGCGATGTGAAGCACTATCGACCCAGTGAGAAAATATATAAAACCCTGTTCTTTCAAATGGTATGCTAAAGACAATAAGGGTTTAACTATCTGTATTTTTTAGACCTTTACACCACATACGTCAATGTTCAAAGCGATTATATTACAGTAATAAATATTCTATGGTCATTATCACAGGTATTACATTCTAAACCTGTTCATTATTACACCTATGACGTTGACTATGATCGTCAGAATGATAAGCTGTATATGAAAGCTGGGCTGATTTTGGAAGGCAAGGCTTTAATCTCAATAATCACATATATTCGGTCTTGCATTCCTATTGTACAACTTTACTAAATTAAGCAAGTGGGTTAGTGTATTCATAAATATCTCATTATAAATATTGAATCAACAATCAACATCACATACCATGTCACCATTAAGGGGCAGGAGAAAGATGTTGACAGTTTGATTTGGAACATACCCGATCTCCCAGCATATACTCGTCAAGAACATAGGGTATTTTTTAGAGCTAAAATTGTAGGACACAGTACTTATTGCATCTGCCACCTTACAGATGGGTTTTCTTATCTTTTAGTGTCAAATTAAGAAAACTATTTGATTAATTGGTGTTTCTAATGAATTATCATGTATTCTTAATCATATTATTATGTTCTTATTGCATAATAAAGCATTTTAACCAATCACAAATGTCCATGTATGTCTGATAATAAAAAAAACTCTCATTGGAATTCTGTTGGTAATTCTCTTCTAATTTAGCTAATAATGATGTAATTATGGACGTGTGAGACAAACTGGTATTTAGTCATTAGAACACCCCCACTTCTATTCTTATAAGTATTAGCATTTTCATTTGAAAAGAAGGGAACCATCTTTAATCCTGGTGGTTAATGGTGGATGAGTTAAAACTTTGGGGTTATTTAGTTGTTTGATATAAACTTCCTGGTGGACGATAGTTCATTTCGAACTCAGTAAGATCTTGATGCAACTTTTTATGTGAATCACAGGAAAACCAACTAGACTGAAAAACTGCGACTTTTCAGGCAAAAGCAGTATCATTCCAACTAACATTTGCGATTCTCTCAGATGCCGTTGGTTTTGACTCAATTAGTTGCTGACAATTCTTACAGTTGCAATATCGACACATAAATCCCTAAGTCACTAAATATACATTGTGACCTTAAAACATCTCCTGACATACATCTCGTGATTGTCACCTGATCTATAAAATAATGAATGGAATAATAATGTATAACAAGAGCCTCCCACCCACTCGTCACCCATTCATTCACATACATTTCTCAATGATTTAAATAACGTACGAGTAATTTGTAACATAAAAAGGCTTCTTTGTACATTGACACCATTTTGTAAAGTTAACAAAGGATCTAAATGTCTACAACAAAAACATTAGTGAACATGACTTGTAAAAATCTGTTGAAGTTTGATAATTGTCGACAAAAAAAAGTCGGTTATTTTTCTATCTATGAACTGGCTTGGCCATTTATCTCTATCAGCATACTGAAATTATTATGAGAAGCATACATATGTTTAAAAACTATTCAAACTTGCTACAATATAAGTTTGCAGATTTCAGTAAAATAAAGTTATTTGGGATTGCTATAGATATCAAGCAAGAAATGAATTAAAACAATATATCAACCCTTTGTATTTTTAGATTGTAAAGTTTTTCACCCACAAAATGATGCAAACTCAAAGAAAATTAGGCACAGTCGTCATAAAATTCAACATAATGAAAGAAAAATTACTGAGAGAATTAAGAAAACACAGGTCAATACAAGTCGGGGCAAATCACCATTGCATATTTTATTTCGGATATCTGTGAATGGCAAGAAGACTCGTGAGTGGATAACATCTTCGGAAAATGATTTCGATGACTTTAGTTTTGAAGATGATCTCAAAGAGAAACCAGTATCCAAAGCAGGCTTGGGCGAGCACAGGGCGATTCCATCAGGAAGAAGAAAGAAAGACAAAGATAAACATACTAATCATTTACAAAAAGACCAAGATGATTTTGTGTTCCTTGATGACAAAGAGACTAAGTCGGAAAAGATTTTAAAAGGTTCTTCACTAGATTACTTTAATATAGAGCCTTACAAACCTTTCAGACGATTGGATAATGTGGTAAGTATGATAAACCTTATATTACTAACGCTTTATCAATAACTTTAAATTGAAGTTTGTTTGTTTCACACCGTAGCTATTGTGCTCTGTTTTACTTGGACTAATCAATAATTCCATTCTTTTCCAAATTTGTAAGTTATTTTCTGACATTCGACATGCCTTTTTATTCCTTTTTTGTGAATACAGAATGTAAGTAAATGTAACCATTTGATCACTCTAAATCTATATAAAGCGCTTGTACAATGTTAAGTTATGTTAATTCATTGAGGAATTTTTTTTGACGTGAAGTGTAATATTACCTAACTATAGCATTTATATTCTTCTTAACACTTTAAAAATACCTTTCTTATATATACTAGTGTTTTCCAAACGTGACTGTAAAACTTGTACACAATTAACTACTTGTAAATGAAAGCGAAAGTTAACATTGTATACAACTACGAGTTATAGTTTGTTTGTTTGTTTGTTCAGCAGAATGACACACGAGTCACGCCCACATGATAGTTTATGACAACCTGGTTGGAACCTTTCCATCAGCTGTCAAATATGCAGAAACACAGCTAATTTCCCTAGATTGTGATCTCTGTCGCATTCACAAATTAATTTGGTTTTGACAATTAAAAAACAGTTAATCACAGCAACGGTTTAATGGTCGAAGTCTTGTGATGTCTAATGTAATAATACCAAAGATCATTCATCGAAAAAGCATGCACTCTGGCACTGGAATGTATTTCCTTTTAAGTTTCATGAATTGAACTCTTTTGCCTTTTTTCTCCCAAACGAAGAATGTTCTAGGACTTAAAACCCCTTTTCATGCCATTTCTTCCAGGAACAGAAGTTCGTAAATAGAATACAAGGACCTATGAGGTCTTTGATAAGATCTATGGATGTAGTGGTTGATAAAATTAGTTGGAGAGCAGACCAGGTTTGTGATCTTTATATAGACTGCAATATCCACCAGGTATTTATGATTTCTTAACTCTCAGTAGCCTTAGTCGTCTAAGCAGCCTGAGACGTAACACTAGATGCCTAAGCAGCTCTAACTTTAAGCTTCAGAGGTAAACTATTAATTTGATTCTAAAAATTTGTTACAATGTTTGAATATTTGAATAACTTTTTATTTTTTGCATTTTTGCTTCCAATAGCTTAGTGGAAAGTGTCAAAGTCGTTTAAATATTTGCTTTACAAGGAAACAAGCAAATAAAGCTGAATCTCAGACCATTGTTGACGTGTACATAAATGATGTTATTATTAATAACTGTCCGTTTTTGTGTAATTTATGGTAGCCAGAAGTCGGATTGATTTTTATCGGCTGGTAAATCAAATATTTTGACGACGATTCATTTTTGTTTTCCGAAACTATACATTATACACATTAAACTAGGCCTACATGTATTTTATATTTTAATTTTTGCATTATTTTATGAAAATATAAATTTACCTTACCTTTTTTTACAACCCTTATAATTTTCTAATATTTTGTACTGGTAAGCATACTTTTTCGAGTGCACAATAAATGCAAATAAAGTCGACTGCATTTTTCATCGTGCAGCAACATATGTTTAAAAAAAAAACACATCTGTAAGTTAGAAAGGATATTGTTATCGATAGGCTTTGCTGGTTTGTAATAATGAATCTGTTCTTTCATTTGTCTGAACTTTAGGCTATGGAAGTGACGCAACACGCCTATAATAGTACAAGATTTGTAATGATGAATGGTGTTCGAGAATTATTACAAGACATTATCAGTAGTAATAACATAGTATATGGTAAGTGATGTCCAAATCAATTAATGTGCACAAAATAGGCAGCAGACTACCAAGGCAGGAAGTGTCTGTAGCTTGGTAGAAAAATATTGCCAAAAAGGATATAATAATAAACATAGTTATCAAATATCTTTATCAACCTCAATAAAATGTGCCTACTTATTGTCCAATATGATATGTGACAACAAAAAAAACAAGACAAGAATACGTCTGCACCTATCAAGATTCCAAAATCTACTTTCTTGTTGAACTAATAGCCTATATATATTGTATATTGTATATTATTAGGTTCAGTTCTAGATGTAACAAAACTTACACGGAATATTTATATACGTTCACATCAGCGACAGAAAGATAATCAACCTCGTTTTAACACTGAAACTTCAAGACAATACCTAAACAATGGTCAAACGTTTCAAAATCTTTCTCGTGAATTTAGAAACTACCAGAAACTATTTGATGATGTAAAGATGATGAAAATGTAAGTAAAGTCAAGCACCCCTTGGTTGATAAATGTGCAAGCTTTTACTATGTAGTACTCGCATAAAAACTACGATTAGAAATCATAATATAACTGTCGATTAATCTTGACAAAATCGATTTCATGGTAAGTTCATCAGTCCTCAATAGCACTAATGACAATACTTATTTTACATTACTTATCACAATAATTATGTTTTGAAGGAAGAGTCAACAGTTAGCAGATCGTCTTCGCCAAATAAAAGAAAATCTAGGAGATACTTTTGAACAGAACCAATTGATTGATATAATATACATAGCAAACCAGACAAGACTGAAATTAGAATCTGAGTTTAAGAAGTCTGTTATTTTAAGAAGACATGACCGCTATCGGGTTCGTTTGTCTTTTTATTGATATTTCATCATTGTTCACACCATCGAAATGTTTTTGAAGAGTTGATATTTAAGAAAATAAAGGTTTCTTTATTTTAATCTTGAAAATGAATTTGTATCCTTTATTTGTTTTCATTGTCGTTAAAAGGAACCTGTATTGTATGATTATTGTTTGCTTTTAAGAACTTAGTAACGGATGTACAGATGTTATTAACTGCTAGTAAAATGCAACTAAGAGATGCTAGAGATGTTATAAGAACTGCCACAATAAATACCAGAGTAAGTTTCTTTTTATCGGGTACTTAAGTTTGCAAAATGTGAAACAGGAAACTGGAAAACTCATGTTTTTCGAAGCAATGTCAACTTATATTATACAGAAAAAGTTTATCTGAGAAATGTCACAACTGCCTTTCATTGTAATATTAAGACACTTTTTCGTTGAGCCTTCTAAATTCTTCGAGAAAAAAGCTGCTTCACTGATTCGGCACATTGTCTATAAGGTATATCAATCACTCAAAATTAGTTCATGATTCACGCGGTTAAAATTTAAAACTTTCCATTATTGTAATAACAATCAAATTTGAAACATTTTAAAACCATATTGTTGACATAACATAGGGTTAAATACTGTCAAATATTTATTTATAGTTTTTCAACCCCTCATACCTATAACAATAATAAACGAGTGTTTTTTTAAAAAAAACAGTATGTGGACTATGACCCATCACTTTCCATTACAGGGTAATTTGATCGCATCCCAAGACAGAAAGAGAAAGCGAACAGTGAGTGGGGTTGATGGTGGTTTGTTGGCTCCAGTCTCTCTGGTAGTTCAATCTGACGCTCCTGTAACTGACAGGGTATGCCTTCTAGCATTGATTGATTTTCATCTGTCTGGTACAGTCGAGTAACCTAATTTCGTGGAAACCTATTATTCGTGGATTTCCGGAAAGGATTAATAATTTACATGAGCGACCTTGCGCGACCTCCGCATTAGTTTGTTTTAATAAACATGGGTTTTCTCTACAATATCAGCTAGTAGAATGAATCCAGTAGTTGCAAGCAAGGTAAAATGTATTAATGTATACTTTGACAAATACAAAATGGCGGATTTCAGTTATTATCAAACGTCACCATTTTTTATTGGCCGAATTTCCTTATAATCCCTAGCCGTAATCGGAATTCCAAGTGTAGTCTGCTAGAATGTAGTCCAACGAATGAAGTCACGTGATCAAGTAACGGATTCCGTGTAAGCAAAAAATTTCAATGGAACACAAAGTGGACCATATTCTGATGTTGTTTCAGTGACTTTTAGCAATAAATCACGCTACGTATCTTATTTTGTCAGTCACTATTTTTTTTTAAATCGTGGTTCTTTGAAGGAATTGTCACTAGTTATAATGAATTGATATTAAAGATAAATACTAAGAGAAGTTAATTATACCACCCGGTATCCATACAACGTGTTTTTCTAGACATATTTATAGTTCAAACATTGTACACGAAAATAAGTGACGCATTCTGCGGCCGTTGCCGAGTTGGTTGCTCATGAAATATGGGTCAAAGTGAAGAATTCATAAAGAAAATCGAAACAAACCAATTTTAATTATTTTGTAGAATTTCTGAGGAAACATCTAAGACATTTCGTTTTTTTAACTTTGACGAAATTCGATGTTGAATCCTTATATCCACGAAAATAGGTTACACCACTGTATTATATTGTTTAAATTACGTGCAATTGCGTTAGTTTTGATTCAAATGTAAAACATTTACCACCAACAGGTTTAACTAATAATAAGATTTGCAGTATTATAATATTGTCAATAAACCATCTTTTGAACCTAACAATTGTAATAACAAGAAAGTGAAGTAAGAACTGGATATAGAGCATTCGTGATGTACCTGCAACAATCTGTACTCCAACACAGATGTATGCTGACATGATCTCTACTTTAGGGGATGAAAACATTACCCCGGGTGCAAAATGGTGGTGACTAATCGACCATTCATAATTCGAAATTGCCAGTGTCGTATGCATCTCTATAAATAAATGAAAACCATTTACGTGTTCTACCAGCCCTCATAGATTAAAATCTAGGAGAGTTTAGCTCATTTTCTTAGTTGTTTTCAGATAACATTATCAAACGATGTAAATGAATTAATATCAAAGTCAAAGAAACATGCTAAAAAGTTGGAAGAAATATCAAAATATGCTGAAAGGTATCGTACAAATCTAATCTTAATATTGAAGACAGGATATGAAGTGCTCTCTGTGAAGTCCGCTTTCACTAATAAAACCCTATTGAAAGAAATGAAATTTGATCATTGTTTTATTACTCACTTCTTGATTAAGAATATCATATTTTGACGCAAATTTCGAATAACAACACGATGATTTTTTTAATCAATTTTGTTAAATTTTTTCTAGGTTGTTGACACCATTGATACGGATGGGTGAAAATGTCGATCTAAAGAATATGAGAAAACAATCAGGTTCTGTCGGTGGATTAACTCGACATATTATACTTACAATGAAGGTAGTTGGTTCTTCTGAAAAAAAAATCACCTTTTCGATATGTAGAGTCCATATATTCTCCGATCTAATTTGAATTGAAAATAATATAGGTAGATATATGAATTAAGAAAGACAATAATCAGGCCCTCTCAAGCCTGAGTGGTCTTATTTTGAAATGCTCAAAGTTTATCTCAGCCATCTGAAATCCGTTAGCTTCTTGAGGCCTCTGGCAGCCCCAACTCCCAAGCCTCAAGGTAACTATTTTATAACAAAATCCTAAAAACATTTTGTTAAGCAGCTTGTCTTGACAGAATTACAGCCATAGAAACAGAATATCCCTAATACATGTATCCCAAATTATTTTTTATCTTACTATTGTAGAAACTATATGAAGTAATTGCTATGATCAGTTATGAAATAGAATATGATGCCGAGTTTTACATCCCTTGTATATATAGAGACAGTGTAGGTGACGATTGTAATGGTATGTTTATGTTATGTTTACCACAATATTTGTTTATTACTGCAACGTCGAAAACTACTTAGATTGAGCTTACGAATCTTTTTGCTTTTTCAAATCTTTGATACTGTTTTCAGTGTTTTGGAATATTTAGATATCCATCATATATATAATATTTGTTATATACAGATATTATATTTGGAATATACAGATGTAATATTTGGAATATACAGATGTAATATTTGGAATATACAGATGTATTTAGATATGATATTTAGAATATATTTGGAATATTTAGATATGATATTTGGAATATTTAGATATGATATTTGGAATATTTAGATATGCTATTTGGAATATTTAGATATGATATTTGGAAGTGGAGGCGGTGCTATGGAAGGATCGGGAGATATGGATATTGATAGTAATGAGCCTATTGATATGGAATTTGATTTTGAAGGGGATATGGAAACAAAAGAAGACGAAAACAGGCATAAAATTCTAAGAGAATTTGGTAAGAAAAATTTAATCTGTATAACTATAGACCTCAATACTTTTATTTGTAAAGAGCATAGTGCTATCGGCTTTATTATCATAATAATATTTCATCCCTGTTTTTAAATAGAGATTAATCTATCTGTTTGTACGATACATCATATCACTTTCTTTCAGGGAACAAACTTCACCAAGTGAGTGCCTCGAGAAAACAGTCTTCTTTAGATTTGTTACAGTCTGCTGATTCTGCTCGTCGGAACGTTAAAGGTATAGGTTGTATTTTTATTTTTTCAAGCTGATTTTAATTAACACCTTGGATCTTCGGATATACATTTTGAACCTCCTATAAAAGAGAACATCAATAGTTATTGGTTATTTCTTCAACAACTGCGTTCATGAAGGTTCAATCTCAAAGCAGCGTCATGTTATCAGTCAGCTTTGAACATCGCAAGATTATCCCTATTAGGTTCAGTTGAAAATGATATTTGATATTTTATGCCAATAGTAAGGCAAATTCTAAATTATTCAATAGACTTCTAACTCGTTTTCAGAAAAGAGTAAAGTTTGGGAAAATACCAAAGTGAATCTTGAAATCTCCAACAACTTTATTAGAGAATTCAAATCATTCAATAAAACATATGAAACAGAGCTTTCTAGATTTCTTCGTATACATACAACTGTGTTAGCTAAAACTACTGTAATAAACAAGCAAGTAGAATCCATACAGAGTCAATGTCAACAAGCAATTGAAAAGGTAGGTCTCAAATATATGTGCTCACTCTTAGGTCCGCTACAACTGCTTTAAATATAATGCAATCTTAAGGTTGATTTGCCAAGAGATGTGGTATTTCTGTGTAAAAGAAAAAAAAAAAAAAAAAATTTATGTGTATGTTTATATTTCAATCCATTGCTTTACCAAAGGCTGAAAAGAAAGTTAAAGAAATGCAGTCTAAAAAGAGTGGTAAAAGTGCTGATGGTGATAATGGCAATGTTGATACTGGTGCCGAAGGCGCTTTCACTTCTACTATTACGAAAGGTAGGCTGATGATTATTTTTATTGAGAAAGAAAAATAATAAACAAAAAATCAATAAAAGAAATATAGAAAATGAAAAGAAATTAAAAGAAAATACGAATGAAAGACATTATAAAGAGAGGGGTCATTTTTGACGTTATGGTCCTTAAAAGGCCGCTATCCGTTCACATCTGGTCGACAGAAATAAGAGATCATTTACATCCAGGATTGAAAACCACAATATTAAAGCGATTTTGTTTCAGTTTCTTTGGCAAAAGATGAAATAAAATCCTATCAACAACTGCGGCGAGAAGCTCCAGTAGAATGTGAAAATGTTCAGGATAGAATTAGAAAGATGAGATCGGATATTGCTCAGTTAAAAGAAAAGGTTAACAAAGCAAGATTCGTTTTATCTTCTCTACAGGTAATTCTTGATCTTATATTGTTTTCAAGTCTTCTTAACTAATTCAACAATATTAGATATATCATTTTAAATGAGTTTTAATTTATTATTTAATCATACTTGTTTTCGCTTGTGTTGTTTGCTCTACTTTGCCGTAAGGTTTGTTCCTCTCTGGTAACTACATGTAATTAATTGTAATTGATGATGGTTATAGTTACCAGTAACGGTTGACAATACAAATTATATAAAGAGTAATATAGAAGGTAGATCAGATGAATTATCAATGGTAACATCAATAGAAGTGTGTATCAAACCAACTGTAGCTGATGGTATTATAGTGGTGCTCAAGGGTGATCAATCAGTAAGTCGGTGATAAGCACTTGTTCTGCTTTAAAATTCGCAAGTTTATGTTTTCAAAAACTTTATACAAATTTAAGTTGATGATACACACATCCTTGAGGAGTTCAATCTTAAGTTAAAGTTTTTATCAGACTAAAATTTCTAAAGATTCTGGGTCAAAGTTTATAAGACTCAAAAATATATGTTCCAGGTTACATTGAGAATGGAATATGGGAAACTACTGATTCAAATAAAGAGAGAGGATACGGACATTGGCGACTTAAGTTCCGACCAAACACTGGAGCTCGAAAAATGGTATACTGTCAAATTTAAGAGGTAATTTTCTGAAGATATATAATCTGAACAATTATAAATAATACAAATATTTCTACATCGCTATCCAATTGATGTATTGAGCATTTTAACAGTAAGAACTTTTACTAATAGATTATAAACAGTTAACCGTCACATTGCATATCATATAAAAATGAACTATCTTTTGGAATATTAAATGAACGATAGCATACCATGTACAGTACAACTTAATGAGCATTACCTTCATAGCGTTTGACTGTCAAGTCGATTTTTCGTAAATGATAGACAACATTCATCTTGAATATTTTCATTTAGAATTGGTCATCATTTGACTTTGTCTGTAACCTCTGTTGTGAACGGTGCTGTTGAAACCAACAATGTAACTAAGAGTTTGGAGACACTTGAAGTACTTGGAAGTGATCCGGAAGAAGTTTATATTGGAGGAGATCCCACACTTAAAAATTTCTTTGGAACATCAGTAAGTTTTTATCTTAAAATGATGATTGTCTATTCTGAGATATTATATTACACAGAATTACACAAAAGACGCCTGTTTTCAGATTTATTTCAGATCATACAACTGTCAGTAAAAGAAACTGATACTTTTTTCAGACAGTTTTTAAACGTTTGTACGTTTATTCCGATCTTTTGAATATATAAATGTATATATAAGGAATATTGTACAAGTTACAATCAAATTGTGAACATAAAGGATAATCACTCAACAATTTCACTTCAAATTTGTTTTTGCAGACTCCATCAATAGAGTGGGCTGGTTGTATCTCATCATTACTAGTCAATGGTAACCATGTACCATTATATCTTAAAACAAGTAGTGATACTATTCAAACTTGTGATACTCATTGGTAAGATACGATCAGGGTGACTTTATTAGTGCCAGATTTGATTCTGATCTCATGTGAGGCTTTTTAGGGAAGGGCCAAATAATAGTACAATCGAACTACCACAATAGTAGATTGGGCAGTGATCGCAATAATTATTATGGAAATAAAGACGCCGCCCTTTGTTATTTTTCAAGCAGAGTTTCCAATTTGCGAGTCAACAAGGATCGTAATTTCGTCCTACGACTCTTCCCATTTCTTTATCCTAGAATAAGATACCTTTACACATGTTTATTGTGTACAGATCGGATATACAGACTATTTCACTGTACAGTATAATCAACTGTTCATTTTCTCAAGTTATTTTTTTTTTAGTTATCCACAATATAACTCGATAGAAAATATGAGATTTGAAGGTGATGGTTTTATAGAGTTTCCCGCTAAAATATTGGATCGTACACAAGTTACCAATGTATCACTAGAATTTAAAACTAAACAAGAATCAGTTTTTATAATGTCTGTATTTCATGCTCCAAGGGTATGGTTATAATTATATTGTTTTATGTTTTAACAGAACCCTCTATCTCTATCTAACATTCAGTACCAATAGAATTAGATTCTATGACGAGTAATAATTTATATTACATCAATGCAGTTATATCGATGTCCCTTTTTCTACAACAGTTCCGTTCTAATGATTTTACTTTTAACCAACAAATTGTAGATTTCTTGATAATAGTGACAAATTTTGGGATTTTGCGAAACCTATCGTATTAAGGCTGTCATATAAGTTTTGCTATCCCATATTTCAATATTTATATCAGGAAACGCGCCCTGCGTGACATGGTTAGATTGGTTAAAAAGTTAACGTAATAAGAATGACATTGAGCTTAAAATGGAGACGAAAAATATCAGGTGAAGAAAAGCAAAATTATAATTATGCTCTTCGATAGAAAATTTTTCAGAACCATGAAGGTCTCGAAATAAAGTAGGCTGTAGCAAAACATAATTTCATATCTATTGTTTGTCCATTACTTTTTTTTATAAAGAATTCTTTTGTTTTTAGAGATTTCAGCTGGAAGTAGCGCTGTCTAAAGGAAGGTTGAGGATACACACAACAACAACACGAGAATCAAGTTTATTAGAAACACAAAAACTAGTCAATAATGACCAGTTTCACAAACTGAGGGTATTACCTTTTTTTTATCCAGTTTTCAGTTTTAACAAGACCGGGCATTTAAGAAGACAATGATAAGAAATTTGAAACTGTAGGTATAGAGTGAAAAGCCTGGCCAACCTCCCCCAGCCTCCCCCCTCTCTCCCTTTCCTCATAGAAACGCCAGAGTAGAGGTTGTATTTTTAACATTTTACCCCTATAATAATATATAGTAATTGTATTGAATGCAGATAGAGTATAGAGGCGGTACAACCTACCCTTTCCTAGATGGTATAGAAGGTTTATTCTCTATAAAACAACAGAGACGTCAGCAGATTAACCGAGATGGAATATTATTAGGTGGTTATAATGGACAAGAACCGACTGACCAACTCTCATATCCGTAAGTATTTATACTTCTTGTGATGTGTTTTAAACATTAAACATCATTACTGTTCGATACAGTTCTCAAGATATTGCCTCTGCCATTTGGAGTGACCATATGAGTCGGCCACTCTTTTCAAATCAATTTTAACCCTCCCAGACCTAAATTAAATAGTATAAAACCATACCCATTTAATTGTTACTCGATGCAATGCTCTCGAAGGAAAGTATTTAAAAAGTTAATATTTGTTTAGATTCCGGTAGAAAATAACAAAGAGTGGGATATAACCTACTAGATATAACCTTTATATATCCTACTGATATATTCTACTTGATCGTTCTATTGATTATATTGTATTTACAGAAGTCTAATTGGATGTTTAAAGAATGTACAGATTAATAATAATGTAATAAATGTATTTGAAGTAAACGATTATAGAAATATTAATCTAGGACACTGTTTACCTCAAGCTGTAAGTTATATCATATAAATATATCTATAAATAACAAGAATATTACATAACTAACACATTAAGTTATATTAAATAAATAAATAATATTATTGTGATATCACAAAAGTTACCTTAAAAGCCAAAGGCAAACCCAACTAGTCCCAGCGATATCCATATTTTAACAGCGTATCGACCAAAAAAATGATAACGAAATGAAATTGTTATCAGGCCTGACTCTTTTCTTCCAGTTGGTTATCCTTACATTTAACAGTTATTTCGACTAGAATAATTAAGTCACATGTCACATTAAATCAACAAGGGTTGAATGTTTTTTTTACAGGTGTGGGGTAATTGTGTGGAATTTAGCGAATGGAGTTCTCCTGTTGTGTTCAATGATTTAACAGAAGTATATTTTGTTGCAATAACTATAAAAAGAAACTCCAAAGGGCCATTACTACATTTTACTAAAGATTCGGTAGGTAAATTTTGAACATAGTTTGATATATTTAGATGAGAGGCAGTGGGGGAAGAGATAAATTGAACAAATCATAGTATATAAAGGAAATAGATGTTTTGGGGAAACATCAAGATATGGGCCTGACAATGCCGGGTCGGTAGTGTTTAAGTAGGCCTAACCAAAAAAAGGATTAGAGAATATATTTTTAAAAGCAAAATTAAAACCACATTACCGCCACCATATTGTGGCTTCACATAACAAACTGTAACGTTTTACTCAAGACCAAGGTGCAATAATGAACAGAACAGCATTTTCCATTCAGAGATCGAAGTCAACAGCTGGGGCATTTCTAAGGGACGACACATTAACAAATCATAAAGCAGGTTGTTATAGCAGCAGTCAATCATTATTTGGTATCTTGATCTTCATTAATTCTTTGTTAATCATATTATGCAGAAGTTTGATCTTAAAGTATCGGTAGCAGATAATGAATTAGATATATTGGAAACATTAACAACATTTGAGGATAAAATCGAATTTCCGTCAAATAAGACGTTTGTCCGGTTAGTCATACAAGATGATGCCGATGAGGAAGTGTAAGTTTCCTTTAAGTTTCATGATTTCCTATTATTGAACGCAATTCCATTTATGTGTATAATCTTTTACATACGGGTGGTGTTATCGGTTAATGTCATACGCCCACTTTTAACTGTTGAGTAATATTGTCGGCGCACACAATGTCTATTGTTTTGCTCACAATTGCTCGTTTAAACACTAAACTCTGACGTTTACTATATCTAATCTGATTAAAATGCACATTTACCACATTGATTGTTCTCAAATAGGTTTGTCTACTCTTAAGATTTCCTTTTTTCTGAAATGCTAAAGAGTTCGAGGTTTTTTGACAACATTTTGATAGTATTAGCATAATTTGTTATCTTTCAGTGTAAAGATTGGTATATTAGAGATAGAAGATGGAGTAAGAAGTATCAGCTATAGTAGTGATGATGCAGGTTGGTTTGCGACAGTTGAAGTTGATAAAAGTACCAAATACTCATTAAGTCTAGGCCAAGAAATTGATGATACAAACAGTCAATTTGTTGGTGGTGTAACAGATTTTATATTCAAAAACAAGTAGGTTGATAAAATCTTCTCTTTAAATTTATTTGGAGCTGATCACATCAACCTTTCTACCTGTGAAATACGTGTTGACTGTGGTCTAAATTCTCAATGTTCTCACCGAGAATTTGTTTTTGCTTTAAGAAGTTATTTTCCAGTCACTGATCGGTGTATGACGTCAAGGTTAGTAAATAATGAATTATGTACCTACCTTGTGCTATGATTGAAGCTTTTTATGTAGTATTGTGTGCTACAACCACCAAATCAAAATCACATTATTCCACAAATTGCTACATGAATATGTATACTTTTTTTTCAGATTGCATAATTTTGAACCTTATATGGCAACTAATAAATTAAAATACTGTTCTAGAAATTTACCACCACCAACCTTAGAAACAGAGTTGATACTTCCATCTTGTAGATAGTAAAGATTTATTTTAACTTTGTCCAATTAAATTGTATGGAACATTTTAAGTGAAAATTTGTGCTATGTAATTTTATGATTGTCTTTTTTCTTAAATTTTATTCTGATATTTTTTAATAAAAAAATGTATAAAAATGTTTCATAGTTTGACCTCTTCTCCACTTTTTTTTTGTTCAGGGCACCTTTAATATTATTGAAGCTACAGATAGGGTCCAGGTTTATCATATGGTCTTCGAGTTTCAGTGGTTTGGATAATACACAAAGGCAATGATAAGAAAATTTATTCATATTTGTGTACATGAAAATATGAAATATATAGGATGAGAAATTAAACTATGGATTAATGTCACACCCAAATGTTCAGTACTTAATATCAGACAGCTAAAAGCAATCAATCTTGCTTATTATGTCACATTTAATAATTAATATTTGAAAATATAATATTTCCAAAATGAGAAACCGAAGGCTGCATCCCAATAATTATATAAATATACTACTGCTACTCTTTATGTGTAGAATTATATTTAACTTTTCAAAAAAAAAAAAAAAAAAATCTAAAACAGCATTATGTAATGGCATGCATACTAAGCTATATTATCCATTATCAATATCAAATGCAGGCTAAAAATACAAGTCAATGAACCCAGAATTCCTAATATGTGAGTAGGGTATTTAAATGGTTTTATATTATAACAACTTCTGAATCATGGTGAATTACAAACCACTGATCATGGACGACCTGGCATAAAAATATACACAAACAGAAACATATAGATCTGCATTTAAATCAATCTTAATTACTGCAATCTATGGTTAATATAATCAGTTATCTCTTTTACAAAATACATTCACATTATTTCATGATGATTATTGAAATATTATAAACTGGTTCAGATAACAGCCAACAATATTAGTCAATAATACAAAACGCAAAGACAAACTGAACTTTACATAAATATTTCAAAATATTTGGACATCATAATTATGCAATTATAAAAAGATATTGCAAAAATACATATAAGTTTAAAGAAAATTTTAAAACTCAAGGAAATAGATAGTTAGTCATAAAATTTAGGTCAAATGTAATAAAAATAATCAACTAAGTATTTGTCAAATTTGAGCATACACCACAGCTCATATTGTAATACCAATATAATACAATATTAGGATTTGATACTGAAAACTAAAGTTAAGAATTGTTCATAACCAATTTGTATCCAGCCATCTTGATCTGTATCATAATTTCTAAATGATTGTGTTAGAGTCTGAAATGAGATAAGTTATTCATTACAATTGGACATTAGTACTAAATGGTATATGACTTTACTGTATCACAGCATGACCAGTGAGATATATATTGAATTGTATGCAGACTGTATAACAAGCTTAATAAAATCTGAAAAATCACTAGTGAAAGTAGGGTGATGAAATTAGGTAACCTTTGGAATTTTCAATTGGAATATATAAATACACATGTTTAGTGGTATTAGATGAAAAGGTTTGAAACCTAAAATTTGTATGCATATCAGGGACACTGATAGAATCAGTTTGCACCATTCACTAATCACATAAGGCCCTGCTCGATTTTGTAACAATATCACACACTAAGTTTTAGTGGAATTACAGAAACAAAAGACGTCTGATTGAAAATGGAAATGATGCTATCAATGTCCCTGATACACATATAAAATAATAATAATTTAATCAATTACAAAAACTCTGCATCTAATAGTCACAAAGTAGTTAAATAGTCAACATGTGGTTATTTTCATTTAACAGTCTTAAATGTTTTAATTTCCCAACATTTACAAAAATAGTGGACCACAGCCATATACACCGACCGCGGCATGCGGATGGTAAATATGAAAGATTTTGGGGCAATATAGAGATTTAGGTCCAATAACATCCATTTTAAGTTTCATCAAAATCGGTTGAAAACTAAGAGAGTAATAGCATATTCAAGATTTTGGGACAGGGGCAATAACTCTGCTTCTAACTGTCGAAAATAGCTCAAATTCGAACTTGATCTTCGTTTTATGAATATGTATACACATAACAAATTTCATTTGATTCCACTAAAAACTCTAATTTTTAGAGCGTTTACAAGCAAATGTTGATGGACAGACCGACGGACCGACGGACAGGGGTGCCGACAATATAAAATAGCATTTTCCATTTTTGACTTTCAGAAAATCTTCATTGTTTCTATTCATTGTAACACCTTCAAACTCAAATTCAAACTTGATTTTTATTACAAGCATTAACTTACTAAATAGACTTTAGTCAATATCATTGGCATATGTAAATTAATATGCTAATTATAAACAAATCTATTCAAAATTGCCCATAACCATACTTGCTTTTCAAATCACAATATCAATATGCCTAACATTGAGTTGATAACATAAAGATAAAGAATAAAGTAATACTTTACATTACCTGTAAAACAATACAACATTGAATAAAATCATCAAAGGCAACAGTTCCTCTTCCTAATCTATCAAATTTTCTCACCAATACATCATAAAATCTATCTGATAATCTATAACCTGTATTAAAAAGATATGATGAAACTAAGCTTAGTGTAAGGTCATCCATTAAGCATGGATAATAAACTGAAACAAAGATTTTTCTTTTTTTATCTTTTCAATCATATGTTTAAGCATACATCTAGCAACTTAAAATTATATGTAAGCAAAAGGAGATCTAAAGCCCACTTTTCCTATACCTGAGAATTGTTTCTAAAATGAGCAACTATATGCTTTTGCCATCAGAGTCTCCCTGCATCACTAACAAAAGTAAACTATGTTAAAACTGAAGTGTTGTTTTGTTTTGTATTTTGAATATTTCAAAAAAATTTACCAAAGCTTGTTAAAGCTGTTTTCAGTTCATTTTTATCTATAGAACCTGAATTATCACGATCATATCCACGGAAACAATTCTGCCAATCCGTCACATATTTCCATAGTGATGAAAACTCTTGAAAATTAATAGTTCCTGAGTTATCTCTGTCAAACATTCCTAAAAAATCAAAGTTGATATATATCAAGTAATAGCTTAATAATATTCAAATCTTTATGATGAAAACCTATATCAAGATATATAAACCTTAAAAACACAGAAATCTCCTAAATTTTTATCTGTATGTACAGGACAGTACCAATAGAAAATACGACATATGTTTGCGTAGAACCTTAGGTATGCCTGCTAGCACTCAAATATAAAACAAAAACTATAGAGAAATAGTTATTTAGTATTTCAATTTAAAAGTTAAAAATTAATTATGTGAATGAAGGAGAATGATAAAAGAGTAGAAAAATATTACCTATCATCAATCTTACTGTTTCTGGGTTGAAAGGTGTCCATGTTCCTTTAAAACAAAAACATTATTCAATTAATATATCAAACCTTATATACAAAAAGGCATACCGTATATAAAAAAAATTGTGATCATGCGCCAAGAGATAAAATAAATTGTAGTGCAAAGATTGAGATGAATTGAGCAAATAAAAATAAATATGATTAATAATGAAAATATTTGTTTTTAATATGTCAAGATCTAATGTCAGTTCATTTCCACACTGAATAACAAGCATGTAAGACTAAAATAATGCCTACTTAAATCAAAAAAAAACTTTAAAAGAAGTCACTCTGTTAATGATATTGCATATAAGTAAACAATTTATTAATGACTCATTTTAATAGCAGTTTCTTACAAGAATAAATTGATAAAATTGTCACTGTACAGTAATAGATCTGACTCCTTTTGAATCATTCACGCCAAATGGTTCTTATGATACTGATTTCAAAATCTTACATTCTAATAAACAAAGACACACTATAGAAGTCTATTTTGAAAAGCTTTAACCTATTTTGAATTGCTTTAAGAGTCTTAAAGGTTAGGTTAAGACACAATTGGTTGAGACATGACCAAAAGTTCTCAGATTGAATTACTGTATACAGTATTAATAGACCTTGTCCAACCTTACCATTGGATAAAGCCTGTCCCAATTCACTGCCTGATATAGAACCACTTCTATCTTTATCTATCCTAATAATAGCAGACAACAAAACATGAACATGCTGAATAAACAATTTCTAAGGAAATCAAACCTAAAATCTCTGAAAGTATTTCATAGAAAAAAACAAAACAAACTTAAGCTCATACCGTTAGTGGGTATAATCATAAAAATTAGATCGACATAAGATTTTTTTATCATAATACTGGTATTAAAATTTTTGATAATGACACCCGTAAGGTTATATAAATATGGCGCTAAAATTCCAACCACCTAAAATGCATAAGGTTTGGTACAAAAATACAGTAACTGTGAAACATATTTTCAATAGATTGTTTTGTTATTCCAGAGATTTTAGGTTGATGGTTATTGTTTAATAAGGGAGGAGGTAGCTTGGTAGACAAATCTTACCATTCGACAGAGCTTCACCTAATTCTTTAACAGATATTTGACCACTTCGATCTCGGTCAACTCTAAAAATTTAATGACATGAAATAACAAGCTGTATGAATTTGATTAGGTCAACATTTGAAATCGCCTTATTGATAAAAAGCACTAACTAGCTTTCTATTTTTAGTGCTTAAGCAGATATTTCTCTTTTCAATCACATGTGACATGTCAGAAAAGTTATCTGGGATATGCGAACTATTTCCCTATCCAAAATATTGTTTTTAAGTTCTGTATGATGTAGCAATATATTTAAAACCAACAACCTGTTCATACTGGCACTGCTGTTCAATCACATTTACTAGTTCAGTCAAGTAACCTAATTTTGTGCTACCACTTTTCATCGGCCAAATTTTCTTACAATCCCCAGCTGTACTTGGAATTCCAAGTGTCTGTTAGAATATATTCCAGTGAACAAAGTCACATGACAAACTAGTGGATTCCATGTCAGCAGAAAAATTCTATGGAACACGATGTAGTGTTCAGTATTTTGATTTTGTCGAAATTTGGTGTTGAATCCTTATATAATATGCACGAATATAGGTTACACCATTGTACTAAAAAGGTAACAAATCTTAGTGAATAGGTCTAGTTGAAACCATTACAGAGTAACCAACCAAAAGCAAAAGCAAATGATGTGTTACCATTTTACCCAAATTGTCTTGTTACCGTTTTAGCAGATAAGTCGTCAGAGTGCATGGGTTGAAGAAAATCTTCCGGAAGGGAAGACTGAGTGGCTGACACTGACGTCTGACAGTGTTTCAATTTTAAAAAGTGATCAAGCATGTGGCAGCCCAGTTGTTATGGCACAGGCATCTGCTTCTATCGACTGTCGACTATTGATAGAATAAGAAAGAGACTCTCTCTATAACAGTACTATTATAGTCGCCTATTGATACTGTGGGTTGGGGAGAAATAATAGCCTACCTTGAAAAAACACCCATGAGAAAGTTTTGATCTGGGCCAGGTGGTCCTTGGCGTTGTTGTTGTCCATAGTAGGCCATGGTTTAAAAAGAGACTTATGTATTTTGTGAGATATTTAATCAGCTAATTGCCCAATAATTATTACAAAAATAGCACGGAGTCAGCGGCAACTTGGTTATTTTTAATCACTTTACACAACTTCCGGTTGTATAGCTTATCAAGTGTAGATAAGCCAAACCATCAGACAACAATTAATTTTTCCATCAGACTGTTGAGCCGTATATATAAAGAAAACTACTATTTCCCTGAATAAATCAAAATTACTGCAAAACGATAATCTTCAGAATGACATAATTAGACACATGCTGATAAGCTAGTGATGTAAAAGATCACTGGGACGTACAAGTAAACAAACAAAACCGTATTTATATAAAAAAAATATATTGGCTAGAATTCAGAAATATTTAAATAAACAAATGAACATTTTCATATATTCAATAAAATATCACATTTTGAACATGAACAATATCATGAGATCATCAAATTCATAACAAAGTATATATCTTACAAAATAGCTACATTTTACATCTACTATAAGTCTACTTATATTGCATCTTTAAGTGTTTTATCTTTGTTAACAGAATAAAGAAAGAAACATACATATTTATTAGGTCCTCAACAAAACCAGCTGATCCTAGGTCAAACCCCTTGCCACTGATCTGTTTCAAATTATGAAAAAAGTATAATACATGTATATTAGAATATTTTAATCTCAGTGTGCTGCAAGGGATAAATGTCTTAAATTTAACATGTTGTATTGTATTACAGGTGAAGCAGACATCAGATTTAAATCCTTTGCAGATCATATTAAATAATTGAACACCATTTATGGAATTAGTAGGGGTAGTATACCATAAAAATGTGTTCCGTTATTTAAAGTATCTGTACAATTGTATCTATATGTTTTAAAAGTATTCATTTTATCATTCTATTGTAGGTGTTTTTCCATATAATTATGTCCTTTGTCCTATGTAAAGATAGCTTTCAGGCTAGGTAACATACGTCTACTGACAGCTTTTAGAAATGATAATCGAGTCTTAAGTGACTACATGAATTTTTCTCATTTTAAAGATATAATGCATTTGTAGTTTGAATTTATTCATAAATATATATATTGACGTATTTTTTCTAAGTCAAGGGCAATAACTCAAAAAACCTCAAATTTCCTGTCCTGGCCAGATGTAACTATAAGATCTGTTTTAATAGAATCTTGATATCACATAGTCTATTCCTCATTGTCAGAGTCAGAATTCAAACTGTATTTCTGGTTCTGAGCTTTTTCATCTTGACCCTTTTCATAACCCTTTTGTAAATATTTCAAAGTTTCTTCTAATCTTTCTGCCCTTTCACCAGTTCCAAACAATTTTGTTAAAACTTTCTTTTCTTCTCTCATATTTTTCTCAAATTGCTGTCTTTCTTCTCTTTCATGTTTACTGCATCTACGATGCATCTGCAGTCTATCCTACAAATACCAAAAAAGGAAACATACCAAAGTGATTAGTTGAATAGTTTCAATTCGAATAGCCACTTTGCATAAGTTAATTTCGATTTCGACGAGTTAAAAAAAAAAGTTGTAATCTCTTAGTTAGTTTTGGCAGTTAAGACAGGATATGAATACGACCATTTCTAAGCAGAGCTCAATGAAGAAACACAAAAATAACATCTTAGATTTTACCTTGTATGCCATATCATTTGTATCTGCAGTAAGAACACGAGATAGTTGGTGTTTATTCTGAGTACTGTAAAGTTTGGGAGATGTAGATCTTGATCGATAAAAAGCTTCTAATCTGAAACATACAATAATAGACCCTTGAGAAGCTATCAACAAATAATAATTGTCAACCATCATTCTAAAATAACATTAAGTGAAACTTGTGCATAACTACCTTTATTGCTTTTCCAAAGAGTGGATTCTGTCAAAATATGCTCACTTCAGAAAAAGTTTTACTAAATGAGAATTTCAACCCTTGCACTTGGAATAAAAGAAACCTGAAAATTGTCTTGAAAAGATTGATTGGTGCCCATCAACCTACATTTCTTCTCTTTCTTGTCTTGCCTTTCGTACTTGATTATAACTAGGAAACATTATATTATTAAGACTTGGTGTTTTAACATAAGGTTGTAACTTGACAACTTCTCTGTAAGGTACCATAATACCATGGCCTGTTGTACAGTAAAAATATCTCTTCCCTTCATAAATTCCATTTGTCAAAGATTTTACTGAAAAAATTTTTTTGAAACATATCATGTATCATTCTTTGCATAGATTGTAATTGACAAAAACAAAATAATATTAGTATGTAAAGTAATTACAAAATAAAACATATATGATTTAAGTATTTTAAACTTTTCTTTTCATAGACTGCACTTATTTAAAAAGTTATCACATTCAATCTGGATTGCTAAGTCAATTCATAAAAACAAGATTACAAACCATTTTCATCAAGTTTGACACCAACATGAATTTTCGGTGCAAGAGAATGATCATCTACAAAACCAACATACTTCACCGCACCTTTTTCAGAAAAAAAATGTTATGAATCAAAATGACAAATATTGATGATAATTACATGTTTTTTTTTGTTAGTTAGTAGATCAAAGTTATATCAATGGGTCCACACCACCAAGAAGCTCAGAAAAAGTGGCATCAATTCCATTAGCAAAGATAGTTCTTTCATCATGTGATTAGGTTGATATTGTTTTTATGTTTAGTCATCATCAAGTGACTGTTGGCAATTGATTGCTCATGTTTCAGTTCCAAAATCTTAGTCATTGGAAAATGACGAAAATTTGTTGATGTCCATGGTCAGAAAAAATAAAAATGTCCCCTTGATAAAAAGCCTAAAGTCTCAAACATTTTGTCCTTCACATGTTGTATCATGAGAACCCCTCAAAGTTACTATGTACAGTAAAACTTTTGTACATCCACAACTATATTACTTTACAAATACCTGATTTTCCATGGACTGAGACTCTATCACCAACCTTTACCATATCACTCATTTTAATACTTATATCACTTGACAATTCCATTCTTTTTTTATAGGAGTCAAATAATAGATCTGCTGAACTTCCAAATACATTCTTCCAAAAAGTGACACACAAAATGCATTTACATTGAAATGGATCAAGTGCATACTGAAAAGCCAAAAACAAAGAAAAATTTGAGTCTGTATTGATCTCATAATTAGATTCTGAAAGTGACATTGTCTAATTATTGGTTTTACCAGCTGATAGTAATCAATTTCAGCCTAGTCATTAACACAATAACTTCAAGTAGGACTAGTGTTGTTCTTGTAACTTTCACAATTCAGTCTTGCTATTTCTTACATATTTCTGACCATATGAAGTTTCATCAATTAGATGTCAAGTATGTAAGCAAGCAAGTTTTGTCCATATGGTTGGAGTCCAGAATGAAGTGATTTCAATAGGTCTAAGAACCTTTTAGTCTAACAAATAGACTATGTTAACACATCAAGTTACTGGATGACAATCACTTGACCATGATCATGACAACTGCAAATCAAATCGCTGATAACTTTCAAGAAAATTTTCATCATTTTCACCATTCGCCGATCAATCTAAAGTTTGCAATAAATAAAGAGAGCTTGCCAGGCAAGGATGTCAAAAATGACAACTAAATCTTTATTAACCAAAAATGGATTTCTCATATTGAAGATCTTCATTATGCACTTGTAGTTCAAAAGCCCTGAATATCTCATCAATTTAGGGTCAGTTTTTCCGAAAAATCTTTTTAAATCAATAGCAATAACCCAGGAGCATTGAATTATCACACTTCTCTCGTGTTTGAAATTTATTAGCTCATAATAAGGTACCATCAAATTCACACTAACAAGGACTCATCTACATAGACAAATTTGAACTTTACTGAGATCTCATTAATATAAACCTGCATACAAAGTTTCATCAAGTTCCAATAAAAACTGTAACCCCCATCGTGTTTACAAGTCAAATTTGGTGCATTTTTACTAAGACAAGGGCAATAACTCAAAAACTTTTCTTTCAAAATGAGCCAAATTCATACTTGACCGTGATCTTATCAATATAAGATTCATTACTAATTACTATCAGATAAAATTTGTAGCCCCAATTTTGTTCACATGCCAAATTAGACACATTTTACTAAACCATTCATCAAAAATCAGCCAAATTAGAACTTGACAAGGATCTTTTTAATATATACATGCATAACAAATTTCAGATCAGATAAAAACTCTAGCGCCCATCATGTTTACAAGCCAAATTTGATGTGTTTCTCAAGGGCAATTACTCAAAAACCGTTTATTAACAATGAGTCAAATTCATACTTGGTCAAGATGTGATCATTATTTACATGAGTACAAAGCTTCATCAAGATTGGATTTAAACTGTAGCCTCTTTCAAGTTTACAAGCAAATTTGATGCATTTTCAACTAAGTCAAGAGCAATAACTCAAAACCCTTTATCAAAAATGAACCAAATTCATACTTGATCAAGATGTTATTATTATATATAGGAATACAAAGCTTCATTACGATTGGAGATAAACTGTAGCCTCTATCGTGTTTACAAGCAAATTTGTTGCTTTTTTTTAGTAAGTCAAGGGCAATAACTCAAAAACCGTTAATCGAAGAATCGTCAAATTAGAACTTGACTGCCATCTTATCAATCCCAATGTTCACACAAAGTTTCATCAAAATCCATTGAAAATTGTCGCTTTTATTGTGGCCACAACAAAATTTTGATGCGATTTTACTATGTCATGGGCAATAACTCAACAACCGTTCATCGAATAATGGTCTAAATAGACCGCCATCTTATTAATCCCAATGCTCACATCAAGTTAAATCAAAATACATTGAAAATTGTAGCTTCTATTGTGCCCACAACAAGATTTTGTCAAGTCAAAATGTTTGTTAACTCAAAAACCATTCATAGCAAAATCGTCAAATTAGAACCTGACTGCCATCTTATTAATCCAAATGCTCACACCAAGTTTCATATCCATGTGGGCGTATAAAAATAACTAAGTGTTGACATTGATGGACTATAGTGTGGATACGTTGTTCTATGCATGAAGTCAGTATTTGATCTGTTTCAACTCACAGTAAGTTCACAATTTGACCATAAATCTTGTCTACACAGTGTAGATGAACTATTGCTTGTCTTACAATAGATAGCCATTGTGGACTGTTTTAACAGATAGCATATGTGGACTAAAAAACTGCCAGTTACAAAAAAAAACTAGAACCACATGTGGCACAGAGTGGGACTTTGCAAATGTAGCAAAATGCAAAAGACCCTGAAAAAATCAACCTTCCACAATAATTAGATCAAGCTCAAGAACAGTCTAAAGTTGAGAAATTTTCATTTTTTAGAAGATTCTTATACCGGAAGTGGACGTCAGACCTCACAAATGAAAGTATCAGCAGATAGCCAAGGTCAATAACCTTTGATCTTGTAAAAGAGAAGGTCAAAAAAGGTCAAGATCAAGAGATATACGTCATCAAAATTTCTAATTGCACACGACTATAAAACCGGAAGTTGACATAGGACAGCAAATATGAAAGTACAAATAGATAGCCAATGCCAATGACGTTTGATCCTACAAAGGTCAAGGTCAACAAAGGTCAAGGTCAAAAATTGAAAATTTTGAATTTCCAAAACCTGTTCCTTTTTTTGAACTAAGAAGCGGAAACAACCGAAATTCTAAGACAAAGTGGCTCACAACATGAGGTAATTGTATGCAAAGTTCCATTTTGAACAAACGTATACTTTGCGAGTTATGCTCCTGGCCAAAAATATCAATAATGAGTGATATAACCCAAATGTGCCACGCCCACCTTAATTTTTTTTGCATAGGGTAATTGATATTCCAAATGTTATGTTGTGTTTTAAATTTCAAGCTTCTATATTATTCAGGTCAAAAGATATAGGTCAACAAATGTCAACAAAGGTCAAAATCGAAAAATGAAAATATCCAAATGTTAAAACCCCTTCCTTTTTTGGAACTATAAAGCTGAAACAACTGAGCTGTTAACACAAACTGGCCAAAAGGTTGAGGTAATTGTGTGCAAAGGCCCTTTTTTAACAAACGTATCCTATGCGAGTTATGCCCCAGCCCCAGCCCCAAAATGTAAACAATTAGTAATTCAACCCGGATGTGCCACGCCCACCCCAATTTTTTTGTCATAGGTGGATTCATATTTAAAGTGTGTAGTTGTATTCCAAATATCAAGGTTCTACATAAAATAGGTCATAAGATATACATACACCAAGATCAAAATGACACAAATATGGTAAAATAAAACTCAAATTTGAAAAAATCACCAATTTCAATTTTGCTTTAAAAAAGCAATTGTTCTATATCTATGTAAAGTGCATGAAAAGCACATTAGGAAACCGAAAAAATTAACCCTCTAGCTTAATTAGGTCACATGATAGAGCAGTCCAAAGTTGCGATTTTGACTTTTTGCGGATAGCTATAAAACCGGAAGTACATGTCAAAGGTCAAAGGTCAAAGTATCAAATGATGGCCAAGGTCAATGACCTTTGACCCTATAAAGGTCAAGGTCATCAACAGTCAAGGTCACATGGTGTGGGTGTTTCAAGTTGGAAAAAAAATTAACCGGAAGTTGCAAAAAAGCAAAATCGAAATTCAAAATTCGGCTCCCAATGTTTTTTACGCAATCGATTGCGGAATACATTCACATCAAATTTGAGCCTATCAACTTTTACCCTGAGGCCCCATTTTGAGTTTTACAAAAGTGTGTTTTTTCAATATGGCGGCCAAAGTATCACCTTCTGTCTGGATTTTATTTTAAAATCGGCCATAAAATTTTATTTGCCAAAGATCAGCTAAATTTTGTTGACCAACATAAATTACACCGGAAGTTATTCAACCGGAAGTAGATTTGAAATTCAGACCCTTTCCTGTTTAAAAGAGGAAATGACGTACAAAATTTGACTGTACCATATCATTAACATTAATGAACTCTCTTTGCGTTTAAAATTTCAGATCAATCGATGCAAAAGCAAAAAAGTTGCAAAAAAATCGAAAAATTTGATTGAAAAAAGTGAGCTACGAATTCTCGAATTTCGTAATTTTTCAAGTGCTATCAGATCAGAAATTACAGGTAGATTGTAAAAGTGAAAACCAGAAGAAAATCGATGCAAAAATGCGCCTTCTAGAGCCGATTTTCGACTTTTTACACATTTTGAACTGTGGCACTTCCGGTTTTGCAAAAATGTTCTAATTTATATTTATGCACATCGTCGCCTATATACAAGGTCTATGAAATTTGAAACGTTGCTGCAACTACTGCAGTCTAAGCACACGAAGGTGTGGACGAAACGGAAAAAAAAAAAAAAAAAAAAAAAAAAAAAAAAAAAAGAATGGACATTTCGATAACAAACTGGGACTTTGCTGAAAGCAAAGTCCCACAACTAGAGCTGTTCTAATAACAGTACTGATGCAGGGCGGTTACGACATTCAGGTACATGCGAAGATGGTCTATTGCAATTACTTTATGTAAATACTTTTCTACGTCTCTAAATTCAAATATCCAAAAGTGCCTGGAGTTTAATGTATATTGACTAGGAATAAAAGAATGTTTGTCAATTAATAAAGACCAAGTTTGATGAAATCCAGATAAGAAATAAGAAAGTTGGTAATGCGCATGCACACAACAAAAATTGGTTATTTCCATTCAATTTATAATTGGATTATACACACACATAGCAAGTTTAATTAAATTCGGATAAGAAGTAAGAAAGTTTATAATGCGCATGCGCACAACAAAAATTCAATATTCCCATCAAATTTAGAATTGGATTGTACACATACATACCAAGTTTGGTGAAATTCGGATAAGAAATAAGAAAGTTGGTAATGCGCATGCCACAACAAAAATTCAATATTTCCATCAAATTTAGAATTGGATTATATACATACATACCAATTTTGATGAAATTCGGACAAGAAATAAGAAAGTTGGTAATACGCTTGCGCAAAACAAAAATTAATATTTCCATCAAATTTAGAATTGGATTATACACATACATTCCAAGTTTGATGAAAATCGGCCTACATGTTACTTCCAGTGCGATTTTTTTTAGTTAAATAAGTTTGTATTAAGGCTGGTAATATAATGCATATTTTATTTTGGACATAACTTAATTTCACCAGAAGTGATACCACCGGAAGTACTAACATCGAAACCAGAAGTGACAAAAATTTTTTGAATGTGTGCTTTTATTCCACTATGCTGGCAGTCTACACCAAGTGAGTTTCAAGTTCGCTTCCGAATGCCCTGCAAAAAAAAGAATTGACATTTCGATAACAAACTGGGACTGCAGCTGCAGCCATATAGGTACTCTTTGTCATCAGAAGTTACTTAACTTAACATGTACTTTTCCTGCCTCACATTGAGTCAGAGAGTAAAACTAAAAGGCAATATTTTTTAAGCGATAATAAGTAATTTATAAGATGTAGTTTGTTTACTTTATGATTTTCTATGTCAGACATTTTCTGTGGTTTTCTTTCTGTAAAATAACACGAGAGGTTACTATTAAAAGTGTAATGTTTTGTTGTTATGACGCCATGACAGGTACTCTTACTTCACTTCCGGTATGGTACTTTAATAATCGCTTAGCTCATTAGGTCTAAAAACAAGTTTCAGCAATCCCACAAGAATTTGGAAGGTATTCGAATCACAAGCGTCCTAAAACTGAAATATTTACGATAACTGTATTGAATTTCAAAGAGTGTTAAATTGATCGACATTTAGTTACTTTTCTTATGGTTGTCATTGATGTAAGAGATTATTCTTATGTCAAGGTCGCCATTGTTGACAAAAGTGAAATTAAAACTGTCAATTTTGACACGTCTTAGAGTGACGCTGTAATCATAAACAGGTAATTTGAGTATTTTAGTTTGTTAGTATAATAAATTTGGTGACCTAAGCGAGTCTTACATCCTGAAAGATCTTCCTTTTTATACCCTTAATCGTCTGTGAAACGAAAAATAATCGATTACTACAGAATACAAGAGATCGGGTTGATAGTTATGGGCCAACTGTATTACAAAATCAGCTGATTCGGATTCGTCATAACCCACTGTATTACATGGGTTAAAGTTATATTCGTTTTCTCCAGTCTACAGAGTCATGTGATAGCAGAGATCACATGATTTTCCACAGAATACTTCAGTTGATAATCCGGACAGTAGTACAGTCGAGTAACATAATTTCGTGGAAACCTATTATTTGTGGATTTCCGGAAAGGATTACTAATTTACATGAGCGACCTTGCGCGACCTTCGCATTAGTTTGATTTGATAAACATGGGTTTTCTCTACAATATCAGCTAGTAGAATGAATCCAGTAGTTGCAAGCAAGGTAAAATGTATTAATGTATACTTTGACAAATACAAAATGGCGGATTTCAGTCATTACCAAACGTCACCATTTTTTATTGGCGGAATTTCCTTATAATCCCAAGCGTTAATCGGAATTCCAAGTGTCGTCTGCTAGAATATATTCCAACGAATGAAGTCACATGATCAACTATCGGATTCCGTGTCAGCAGAAAATTTCTATGGAACACAAAGTGGACCATATTCTTATGTTGTTTCAGTGACTTTTAGCAATAAATCACGCTACGTATCATATTTTGTCAGTCACTATTTTTTTTTTTAAATCGTGGTTCTTTGAAGGAATTGTCACTAGTTATAATGAATTGATATTAAAGATAAATACTTCGAGAAGTTAATTATACCACCCGGTGTTTTTCCAATTGTTTCTCCGTCACATGTCAGTATGTCAGTCAACACGGCAAACACGTCACACGTCGATGCTACCTTATAAAATTGACGTGTCTGGCGTGTTTACTGACGTGTGACAGAGACCTTACTCTGTTTTTCTAGACTTATTTATAGATCAAACATTGTACACGAAAATAGGTGACGCATTCTGCCGCCGTTGTCGAGTTGGTTGCTCATGAAATATGGGTGAAAGTGAAGGATTCATAAAGAAAATCGAAATAAACCAATTTTGATTATTTTGTAGAATATCTGAGGAAACATCTAAGACATAAATTTTTTTTTTTCGTGTTTTTTAACTTTGACGAAATTCGGTGTTGAATCCTTATATCCACGAAAATAGGTTACACCACTGTAATAGTTAATAGAGTTGATCCAATGATTCATCGACTATAAGTATAATAGAATAAATGAGAAAATCTTGACGTTATGATCTAAATATCAGGATAAGAAAGTAGTTACTATGCTATTGTTCAAAGGTACTAGCATCACCTATTCTGAGAAATAGATATAAAATAAATATTGAATTAAATTGATAGATTTGGAGACCAATGTAAGTTAGTGTAAGCCCAAACAACATGATTTGTTGATAGTTGAAATCAAAATGAAATACTAGAGCCACACGTGGCACAGAGTGGGACTTTGCAAATGTAGCAAATTGCAAAAGACTCTGAAAAAATCAACCTTCTACGATAATTACATCACGCGCAAAAGCAGTCTAAAGTTGAGAAGAATTCTTTGGAAGATTGTTATAACGGAAGTAGACAGACCGCACAAATGAAAGTATCAGAAGATAGCCAAGGTCAATGACATTTGACATTGAAAGGGAGACGGTCAACAAAGGTCAAGGTTACGAGATAAAAGTCATCAAAATTTTTAAATATATACGGCTATAAAACCGGAAGTTGAGATAGGACAGCAAATATAAAAGTATAAATAGATAGCCAATGTGAATGACCTTTAATCCTACAAAAATCAGGGTCAAAAAAGGTCAAGGTCAAAAATTGAAAATTTTGAATTTTCAAAAACTGTTCCTTTTTTTGAACTATAAAGCTGAAACAATCGAACTTCCAAGACAACGTGGCTCAACGTATGAAGTAATTGTATGCAAAGTTCCATTTTGAACAAATGTATACGTTGCGAGTTATGTCCCTTGCCAAAATTGTCAATAATGAGTAATTTAACCCGGATGTGCTAGGCCCACCTCAATTTCTTTTGCATAGGTTAATTGATATTCTGAATGGTATTTCACCCGGATGTGCCACCCCCACCTCAACTTTTTTGTCATAGGTTAATTCATATTCAAATTGTCTTGTTGTGTTCCAAGTTTCAATGTTCTACATAAAATAGGTCATAAGATATATACACACCAAGCTCAAAGAAACAGAAATATTGTAAAAAAAAACTAAATTTGAAAAATTCACGAATTTCAATTTTGCTTTAAAAAACGATTGTTATAATTCACTTGAAAGAGCATGAAAAGCACATTAAGAATCCGAAAAAATTAACCCTCTAGGTTAAATAGGTCACGTGCTAGAGCAGTCCAAAGTTGCGAATTTGGCTGTTTTCGGACAGCTATAAAACCGGAAGTACATGTCGGAGGTCAAATGTCAAAGTATTAACTGATAGCTAAGGTCAATGACCTTTGACCTTATGAAGGTCAAGGTCATCAAAGTTCACGATCACGAGATATGACCCTTCAAACTTTGAAAAAATTCAACCGGATGTTGCAAAAAAGCAAAATTGAGAATCAAAAAACGGCTTCCTAATGTCATGTTTTTTTTTTATCTTCTTTCATTTGACACCAAAATCATTTAAATCGGATGACCCATTATGTCTGAATAAAAATCGAATCATTTCAGAAAAATCAAAATGGCGGCCAAAGTTTCACGTCTGTTCCGGATTTTTTTTTCTTCGTTTTTTTGTCATAACTTTGTCTACCTATCAGCATAAAAATTTTTGTCCTATACAAATTACACTGGAAGATATTCAACCGGAAGTGAACATCGTTTTCCTGTTTAAACCGGAAGTGAAATTGAAAATTTGACTGTACCATTTTGTTTACTTTCTTAAACTGTCTTTGCTCAATTTTTTTCAGATTAATCAGACAAAAAGCAAAAAAAATGAAAAAAATGCAAAATTTGGCAAAAAAAATGTCTGCGACAAATTTTCGAATGTTGAAATTTTGAAACTGCTATTCTTTCAGATTTTAACAGTAGATTCCAAAAATGCAAACCAAAAGAAAATCGACAGAAAAATACGACTTCTAGAGCCGATTATCTATTCTTCCATATATTGAACTGTGGCACTTCCGGTTTTGCAAAAAAGATCCAAAATATATTTATGCACATCGTCGCCTATATCTAAGGTTCGTGAATGTTGAATGGTTGCTGCAACTATTGTAGACTAAGCTCAGGAAGGTGTGTAAAAATCGTAAAAAAAAAAAAAAAAAAAAAAGAATTGACATTTCGATAATAATGCAAAATATAACCATTTTTCTTTAAATACCCTAAGCTTTATGTATATAATTTATATAATATAACAACTTGGGGAATGATTTGTAAAGGGGGAAACCACTGTAAGCCCATTCTCCTCCTCCTAATATACCTAGCTGCTTCTTCTTCCAATAATGTGAAGGACAGCTTCTGGGGTATATTCTCTAACACACATACATTTATACAGTGGTGTAACCTATTTTCGTGCATATAAGGATTCAACATTGAATTTTCGTCAAAGTTAAAAAAAAGGAAAAAAAAACTTGTATGTCTTAGATATTCTACAAAATAATTAAAATTGGTTTATTTTCTTTATGAATCCCTCACTTTGACCCATATTTCATGAGTAACCAACTCAACAACGGGGGCAAAATGCGTCACCTATTTTCGTGTACAATGTTTGATCTATAAATAAGTCTAGAAAAACACGTATGGATACCGGGTGGTAAAATTAACTTCTCTCAGTATTTATCTTTGATATCAATTCATTATAAATAGTGACAATTCCTTCAAAGAACCATGATTTAAAAAAAAACATAGTGACTGACAAAATAAGATACGTAGCGTGATTTATTGCTAAAAGTTATTGAAACAACATAAGAATATGGCCCACATTGTGTTCCATAGTATTTTTCTGCTTACAGGAATCCGCTAGTTGATCATGTGACTTCATTCGTTGGACTACATTCTAGCAGACGACACTTGGAATTTCGATTAGAAATGGAAATTATTAATCATTTCCGGAAATGCACGAAAAATATGTTAGCACGAAATTAGGTTACTTGACTGAATATTAAGGCATGGATTGAAAAAATTGGAATTTTGCACACTGTCCTCAGCTCTTTCATAGTCAGGTTTTATACATTACTTTATACACAGTACCACTGTCATCTCTTTCATTGGGCTTGCATACTCAACAGCTATGCTGTTATGTCAAATATATTTTGTTTTCAAAAGTTTTAAATGGGATTTAATTTCTAAAAGCTGATTGAGTAATGATGTCTGAATATTTGCAACACCAACATGATAGAGCTTGATTTCAGATATTCTGAAAAGTTTAAGTATGATTTATTGATTTATGTTCATATTATATATTAAATTTCTATTTTAGTTTTTTTGGTGTGGAATAAAATGATGTAAATATTTTCACACTGTTTATTTGTTCAAAATAAATCCTAATGGTCGAAATGCCAAGTCGAAAATATGCAGTTGGTTCGAGCAGCTCATCAGCACAATATCATCGTTTAAGTTCTTCAAAAAAAGACGGATATAATGATTTGCAGGTATGAATAGATTAGTTAAATTCAGTACTAATCAAAATGATTTTAATTTAAAAAAAAAAGTATAGCACAATTAATGTTGAATATTATGAAATTTCCTTTTTCAGTTTGAACGTCCAGCTCCTAAAATACCCTATAAGGCAATAGCATTAGCTACCACACTATTTCTAGTTGGTTCAGGGTTGATTATTATTGGTGCCTTGCTGTTCACAGGATACATTAATGCAAAGGTTTGTTACTTTATATGTAAACGTACTGGTAATTGTATTATGGCCCTTAAATACACCACTGTTATTGCATATACAGCATTGTTTCGTGATTCACATTTTGCATTGTTAAATTTTATAAGCAATTAGTGACAAATATGACCGAGCTATTGCAATTATTATTCCCTTGGCTATATCAAATTTGAAACATTAGTGGTGTTTATGAAGAGATTTTAGTGCCTTATTTCTGACAAAATCAGAATAATATTCTAATTCTAAGAATAAATCTTAGATCAATTATTATGACTAGTGTTCACATTTTATTTGAAGCCAAGTCAATCTTGTCTATTATTAATGTCAATATTGGACTTATGGCCCTTTGCCAGTACCATTATGTTGAATAATGGTACACCGAGATCAAAGAGTGACGTCACATCTGTATTTTAAGTCATGAATAAACACCACTCATAGACATGCTGTAGATCTACCAGTACAAATCTTGATTATCACACCACCAAGTTTGCAATATCGTGATTCACATAACATAATTTAAATGGTCTATAATTCCCACTGGTAAAGATGACTTAATGCCCAACACACTGTACAAGCCCCAAAGTATTTTGATCTGTGTTTTTTCTGTCACAATAATGAAACATGTAAATGGGCTTTTAAATCAGAATTCTAAGTATCAATATAAGGAGGAAAATATTAGTTGTTCCTTGCAAAATTAATTTTGAAAAAAAATTCATGACTGATAATAAATCATTAGTAGAATATGGGAAATAATTATGTTATATGGTTTTATTGCAGTATTCTGACAGAACATGGCCATTGTTACTAATTGGATCATTAATGTTCATACCTGGTGCTTATCATGTCCGCATTGCTTATTATGCTTATAAAGATTATGATGGTTATTCTTATGAAGATATTCCAGAATTTGATTAATCTGTTAACCTGCTATTTCCTTGTATATTAATACCAGATCATTCTTGTTTTTTTTTTGTTATTCACTCATAAATATTTATTTATTATAAAGAGACAGATGTGACATTTTTTTTTTATATAATTGTGAGTCTTGAATAGTACAAGAAATGTACCAAATTCACATAATTCCTTCAAAAATATCTCAAACTAGGAATTTCTTTTCCTATTTCTTTTCTATATATGTCTCAAAACACACATGGATTTGAGACAAAATCAAAAATTGATGGTCAGCTGTGAACACTATTACTGATTAGCTTAGTTGAATAATTCCCATTTCTGAGACTCAAGTATAATTGCTCAAAAAAAATGGTGCATCTGTCCCTTTAATGTGTTTCTATGTTACACCATATCAACTACTGTAGAGGCAAGATATTTTTGCTTGTCTTTCATTTGCTCTGAACAAAAGGGCTAGTGATTATTGTTGTGGGGTAAAAAAAAGGTATATATTTTAATGGAATTACATATAAAAAATATTTTCACTGTTTACCCTTTGAACACTGATTGAAAATGAAACGAAACATCATATACCCTGAACTCCCAAGTGAGTTTTAAGACATTAACATTGTGTGACGTCACTTGGTAACAGCTTGTTTAAAGGGCATTAGTCAAAACTTTCAAAATTTCAGTTACCTAATCATGTAATGGAATAATGGGATTAGAGACATATTTTGTACAATGACATTGGCAAAGAAACAAAACTTGTTCAAGGTGAGTTTATTGATGACCTGGACACACATTATATATAGATATGATAAATGCAATATAATTGCAGACAGTTTCACTTTAAGTTTGAATCACCCCTTTATGTGCACAGTCTATTAAACTATATAGCTACATATTTATACTTTTAAAGGTTAAGTTCAGGCTTATCAAATCATATAAATGAATATATTTATTACATGCAATATGAGGAAAAGGGTTGTTACTACTTTGGTGTTCTGCTAAGTTTTTATTATTCATGCTTCCCAAACAAAATTTTTATTGGTTTACCACTTTAATACTTATTTTTAGAAATATATTTTAAATCTTTGCATGTCCTTTATATTTTCAAATAAATAAAGTTTGATTAAATGTTTTCAATTTACTACAGCTAGTCATATAATTTTAATACTGGTATGGTAAGCTTATAGTATATTATTGAAAAATAAGATGTCATAGTTTCATAAATTTATCAATGCTACACTTATTTGTACTTCTATGTGCATGAGGGAACAATTTTTATTTTTCTATTATGTTATATTCTTTTTCATCATTTCATATATTAATAAACTGTACTTAGTTTCTGATATGAGTTGATCATTTCAAACCATTTTTGCGTGTTTAAGCTTAGATTTGTAGCAGAAATAAGAAACTGTAATAGTATTGCACTACTTAGCTTTGATACCTAAACTGTGTAGAGATGTCATCAGTTTTGCACCTTGGCATGACTCTATGTCAGTGACATAGGCCAACCAAGAAACAGTTTCAACTGTCAATGAACTGTAGTCGAAATCTTACTTATTTTCTGTAAAAATTTCATTTAATATAGAAATAAAATATTGTTTAAACCAAGAAACAGTTTCAACTGTCAATGAACTGTAGTCGTAGATAATCATGACTAAGGTCTCAGACTCAAAACAAATAGATCCTGAATTTTCGGGAAAGAATATGAGTAGAAATTTTTGATCTAGCTTCAAATTTGTAGCAGATTGAAACAAAGCCCATGACGGCCATGATTCATTTCTTAGAGATGTAACATAACACCCGAGTGTTCTATGTTCATTTGTACCTGGAGAATTAATCTCATAAATTTTAATTAATGGGACATTCTACAAATTAGGCTACAGTAATTTTTTTAAACAAAGTTTTCTCCCTTATACCGTGAACAATTTTTAACCATCGGCCAATCGCAAATTCCACGGTGTCATATACCGGAAATGTCTCGAATTTAAAAGGTGTAAACCAAAATGGCAGCCTACACGATTTTAGTTCGAAGGATACCTTTATTATTGTTGTTTTACTTCTCTCTTGCTGAAGACTTCAATCCACTAGATTATTTGCGACGTGAACACACCTTAACAAAACCGTATCAAGGTTTGTGAAATCAGATTCGATTATATGTTGAGTTTGGATATTGTTTATTTTTCATTTTTGTATAGAGTCTACACGGCACTGTTGCAGTTTCGACCCCTTTCCCTTCTCGTTGAGCTATCGTTTTGAAACTTGGTAGAGGGGTTATTATATATGTCCTGAATATTCACAGCAAATTTCGGACAGTTCCAACGTTTCCTTCCATCTTAAATCAATTTTCAAAGTGATGTACTGAGTGAAATTTTCCCCGATGATGGCGAAATGGCAGGGGGACTAAACTCTTTTGTTTACATAATTTGCCAAATCATTCAGTCTCATTGTCAATTTTTCAAATCGGTGTAACGGCTTTTGCAGAAATCATTGACATCAAAATTGTCACTGCACTTTACTGTTTGACACTTGTGCATTGATATGGAAATTTACAATGCTATATAATAGATTAATCCATTCTGAATACTGACAGCAATTTTCAGACTTATCGCACACGCCTTACTATGTTTAATCAATCGCTGAAGTCGTCCCTCTGTGCCCCTATTGCTGCATCGCACCTCGATAACCCTGATAACAAGAAACGTGGCAATATGACTTAGTAATGTGTCTTGATTACTCACAGCGATTGATTTAACATAATATTGGGTGTCTGATTGTTCTGAAAATTGATGTGAGTAATCAAGACACATAACTAAGTCATATTGCGATGGGAAGTGATCGGGGTGCGATGCAGCAATAGGGGAACTTTGCTATGACTTTAGCTATTGATTTAACATAGTATGGAGCGTCTAATAGACCTGAAAATTGCTGTAAGTAATCAAGACACATTAAAAAGTCATATTGTCACGTTTTGTGTCGATATCGCGATCGGAAGTGATCGGATTGCGATGCAGCAATAGGGGCACAGTGGCATGACTTTGGCAATCAATTTAACATAGTATGGAGCATCTAATAGATCTGAAAATTGCTGTAAGTAATCAGGACACATTACAAAGTCATATTGTCACGTTTTGTGTCGATATCGCAATCGGAAATGATCAGGGTGCACTGCAGCAATAGAGGCATAGTGGCATGACTTTGGCGATTGATTTAACATAATAGTGTTTAATAGATCTAAAAATTACTAACTCATATGGTCACTTTTCATGTCGATATGGCGAATTGAAGTGATCAGGTGCACAAAGGGACGACTTCAGCGATTCATTAAGCATAGTACGGTGTGTGTGATAGGTCTGAAAATTGCTGTCAGTATTCAGAATGGACTACTCGTCTCCTCACGTTCCAGTCTAACTAAATTAGGAAAAGAATGGAAATTGATTGTCCTCGGTCTTGTTGCGGTGAAAATGCCAACCAATGAGCAACTTAAAAACTATTAGATTAGGCTATTTGAATATGTAATTTTATATAGAGAATTTTCAGTTCAAAATTTGAGTCACTTCTTACATTATATCTATACGGTGGTGTAGCCTATATTCGTGCGCACCAAATTTTGTCAAAATTAAAATATGCTTATTTTTATACGCCCACATCTCTCTATGTGGAAGTATATTGTCGGCACCCCTGTCCGTGCGTTCCATTTTTTGATGGAATCAAATAAATTCCGTATGTGTATACATATTCATAAGACGAAGATCAAGTTCGAATTTGAGCTATTTTTGACCGTTAGAAGCAGAGTTATTGCCCTTTCCCCAAAATCTTGAATATGATATTACTCTCTTAGTTTTCAACCAATTTTGATGAAACTTAAAATGGTTGTTATTGGACCTAAATCGAAAGGTTTGAGAAAGTTTAGTTTACTTCTGATTAAATTTAAGGCTTTTTCAAGATTTAGGCCTCTTACGTCAGTTTTGAGGAGTTATCGCCCTTTAACTTCTATACAGTAAGTGCTTTTATCAACATCAATTGCTCGTAAACACTCTAAAAACTAGAGTGTTTGAAGGAATCAAAATGAAATTCGGTATGTGCTTACATATTCATGAAACGAAGATCCGTCCACCGTCATCATTTGCTTGTAAACACTCTAAAAACTAGATTTTCGGTATGTGTATACATATTCATGAAACAAAGATCAAGTTTGAATTTGAGCTATTTTCGACCGTTAGAAGCAGAGTTATTGCCCTTGCCCCAAAATCTTGAATATGCTATTACTCTCTTAGTTTTCAACCGATTTTGATGAAACTTAAAATGGATATTTTGTTTCTACCATCCGCATGCCGTGAAGGGCGTATATGGCTGTGGTCCACTATCTTTTTTTTATATCTTAGAAGTTTCCTCAGATATTCTACAAAATAATTAAAATTGGTTTGTTTCTATTTTTGTGTACCGGTACAATGTTTGATCTGGAAATAAGTCAAGAAAAACACGTTGTATGGTTACCCAGTGGTATAATTAACTTCTTTTAGTATTTATCTTAATATAAATTCATTATAACTAATGACAATTCCTTTAAGGAACAATGATTTAAAAAAAAAATAGTGACTGACAAAATAAGATACCTAGCATGATTTATTGCAAAATGTCATTGGAAACAACATAAAAATATGGCCCACATTGTGTTCCTTAGAATTTTTCTGCTGACACTGAATCCGCAAGTTGATCAACTGACTTCATTCGTTGGACTACATTCTAGCAGACAACACTTGGAATTCCAATTACTGATTGGGATTATAAGGCAATTCAGCCGATAAAAACATGTGACGTTTGGTAATAACTGCAATCCGCCATTTTGTATTTGTCAAAGAAAGCCTATACATTAATACATTTGACCTTGTTTGAAACTACTGGATTCATTCTACTAGCTGACATTGTACATATAACCCATGTTTACCAAACAGTAGTTTTGTAAGCTTTTCCAAATTTTTAAAATTGCATAGCAGGCAATATATTGAAAAGAGGCAATTTTTTTCATATGATTTTGGATCAAAATGGTATAATTCTAGGCCTATTATATGTGAGGGTGAAAATCATATTCACATCAGAATGGGTTTTTTTTATTGATAATTACTAATTATAATAATTGGTTTGTAAAATTGTTATCATAATGTTTACTTAACGCTGATCTCTGTTAATTGAATGATGCTCACAATCGAAGCCAAGTATAAAGATATTAACGATCAGCTGATCATTATTAAAACAAAACCACCACTGGTTTTCAAAATAATATCTTTATTTCAATAATTTGTGTTTACGAGTTAACTCAGTTTTGTAGACGAGTTAACTCAGTGTTGTAGACGAGTTAACTCAAGGTTGTTGATGAGTTAACTGTCGACAGGTTGACATGTAGACGAGTTGACTGTACACCCGACATTGTTGTTTGTTAGAAAGGACTTATTAAATAGACACAAAAAAGAGGTCTGAGTGTGTCTTAATCAATGAACTGTTTTTGGGTGTGTCGTGAAACGTGCGAAGAGTTTGTCGTGATAGATAATCATTTTTGTGGCCGTTTAAAAAGAAAGTGGGCCGAGTGTGTTGTGAAAAGTAAGGTAAGAGTAAATAGTGGTTAATAATTGTTTAAAACTTGGTCCGAGTTCAAGTTTGTTATGAAAAGCGGTCTGAGTTGTCGTGATTCTGATTCCAAATACTTCAACCTTATAATATTTCTATGGACCACAAGACATTCTATAATTGTATTTTACTTCGGTTAGCCTATTCATCCAAAGCTGAAAAGGTTAATTTACTAAACATACTGTACTGAAATTAGCACACTCACACAATAACGAGAAAATTGAGCCCTTTCGAAAAATGATTTATGATAACCTCCCGACCAATTGAAATTTGTGTAAGGAATGTCAATCTGCTACCTAATTGCTTATATAAAAAGTTTTCAACAATAATTCATTTTTAATGTGGTTAAGGCATAGGACCTTTTTTAATTATTATTATGGCATCATTGCAGACTTTGTTAAGGCCGGATGATATTCCACTAATCAAAAGAGCAAAGAGAAGATAAAGAAGCTATGCATCACTAAGCTTCATGATATCAAGACAAATCTGTCTTTGTTAAGAAGTATAAATGTTTATAAAGCTTATGGTTTTTGATTAAATTTTAGGTTCTGGTCTATCTGTTCCACTATGGGATTTTGTAGGAAACACTTTGGTGACAAATTCACATATTCGTCTGACTTCAGATCATCAAAGTATCAAAGGAGCTATTTGGAATAATGTGGTAAGATACATAAAACCTTTTTTAAAACTTAACTAATATTTTATTTGGAAAATTTTACCTATTAAAAAAACGAAAAAAAACCCAGTTTTAAGTATATGCATTACAAACCTTTATCTACATGTTTTGTTTTAGCCTTGTATTGTTAGGAACTGGGAATTACATGTTAATTTTAAAGTTCATGGCTCAGGAAAAACTTTATTTGGAGATGGTTTTGCTATATGGTATACTAAAGATAGAATGCAAATGGGTGAGTATGATTAATTCCCCGTCATTAAACTAGAATGTGATATTTGAGTTAAGATATTTTTGGATATCCTGTTATGATTCACCAATAGTCAAATTACTTTTAAGATAGATTAAATGGTGATTTAAATTGTTTTATTATTTAGATCTTTTCGAAATGTGCATAATTGTCATATTTGTTTTGCATTGAGTTTAATTACATTTGATTTTGTAGGAAATGTTTTTGGTAACTCAGATCAATTTGTTGGTTTGGCCATATTTCTAGATACTTATAGTAACCATAATGGTCCTCATAATGTAAGTAATTGCCCACATTTCAAATATTTAAAAAAAAAAAGAATTAAGGTTTGTTGTTATCTCCCTTAGTATAGTTTGTTCAAGTGAAAGCTTGGATTGAATGATCTATTCAAACCATCCCTAATACTTTTATAAATATCTATCTTTTGCCTTTGCAGAGAGTGTGCCTGAAAATTTAATTTTTTTTTAGATAATTATGAATTGTTCTCAGTTATTTTGTAAGCTGCTAAGAATATGGTAATGTTAGACAACTACTAGTTTATATAACAGATTAAAGAATTTAATATAGCTTTCACTTGAACTGAACTGGGTCTCTTGTTATATGCCCACATGGAAATGTGGACGTATATTCCATCGCACCTGTCCGTCCATATTTCTTGTATGCACGATAGAGGCTACAATTTTTATCCGTTTTTGATGAAACTTAGTATGCATATATAAATTCATGTGATCTGGGTCAAGTTTGAAATTGGTAATAATCGGATGAACAGTTTCAGAGTTATTGCCCATGACTTAGTAAAAACATGTCAAATTTGTCTTGTAGGCACGATAGAGACTACAGTTTTTATACGCCCACATGGAAATGTGGACGTATATTGCCATCGCCCCTGTCCGTCAGTCCGTCCGTTAACATTTCTTGAAAGGACGATACAGTTTTTATCCCATCTTGATCAAACTTGGTATGCATGTATATATTGATGAGATCTCGGACAGGTTTGAAATCGGTAATAATCTGAAGAATGGTTTCAGAGTTATTGCCCATGACTTAGTAAAAACGCGTCAAATTTGCCTTGTAGGCTCGATAGAGACCACAGTTTTTATCCGATCCTCATGAAACTTGTTATGCATGTATTTATTGATGAGATCTCAATCAAGTTCGAAATTGGTAATAACCGGATGAATTGTTTCAGAGTTATTGCCCTTGACTTAGTGAAAACGCGTCAAATTTGGCTTGTAGCCATGATAGAGACTAGAGTTTTTATCTGTTCTTGATGAAACTTGGTATGCATCTATATATTGATGAGATTTCTGTCAAGTTCGGAATTGGTAATAATCGGGTGAAAGTTTTTTAGAGTTATTGCCCTTGACTTAGTAAAAACATGTCAAATTTGATTTGTAGGCACGATAGAGACTACAGTTTCTATCTGATCTTGATGAAACTAGATATTCATATAATATATTGATGAGATCTCAAGTTAGAAATTGGTAATATTCAGATCATGAATAGTTTCAGAGTTATTGCCCTTGTGTGCACAGCGATGAGACATTATTCATGTTTGAATTTGATGATAATTTGATGAACTGTTTCAGGTTTTTGCCTTGACTTATAGATGATTTTAAGATTATTTGAAAATTCATTATTAAGCCACTAAAGATTTTGTTATCGTTTCTGACAGCTGGTAGTGGGCCTAGGTTACCTTGCCTGGCAAGCTACCTTTATCGATCTTCATGAATCTTGGTATGCATGTATATATTGATGAGATCTCAGTCAAGTTAGAAATTGGTAATGAAATGATGAACAGTTTCTGGCTTTGCCCTGATTATAAATATATATTTTTTGATTATTTGAAAATTCATTATTAAGCCACTAAAGATTTTGTTATCATTTCTCGTTGTTACCTTGCCTGACAAGCTGTCTTGTAATAAATATAATCATACAATAAGTATTATATTTCAGCATCAACATCCATATATATCAGCAATGGTGAATAATGGGTCCTTAGCTTATGATCATGATGATGATGGAACACATACTCAATTAGCAGGATGTGAAGCTCAGTTTAGAAATAAAAACTATGATACACATGTTGCAGTAAGATATCACAATACAGAATTAAAGGTAACAGTATTCATAGATTTACTATTATAGATTTAGATGCTAGAATTTAACTATTAACACTTATTTTAGAACCTGAGCATCCCTATTCACAGAGTATATTTATCTATGATTTAGATTTTAATTTAAGAATTATAGCAATATAATCTGGGATATAGATATGTATTGTGGCTTTATAATAAAATGAAAAATAAAGTGTATGAAAAGAATGTTAGTAAAGTTTGATAACTACAGGTATCAATGGATATAGATAATAAAAATGAATGGAAAGAATGTTTTACAGTAAAAGGTGTTTTATTACCAGTTGGTTATTATTTTGGTGTTTCTGCAGCTACAGGAGAGTTAGCAGGTTTGCTTAAATGTTTAGATTTATTTTTTAATAAAAACACTGTTTCAATTAACGGTGTTATTATTCTCTTTTTTTCAAAAAAAGATTTTCACATTCATGGTTTCTAAGCTTTGGAAACGAACACCAACCAAGTAACATGTTTTGTGTCTGAAATAAGTTACCTAAGATAAACTTTAAATAACAGGACAGATTAGCAAATTTAGTTTTTCATACCACCAATTTATTTTGGATCTTATTAATAACCCGAGTAATATTTAACAATCATTGTTTCTTTCAGATAATCATGATATTATATCGGTCAAATTTTATGAATTAGATACGGATGATACAGTGAGTAATTCTTATTATTCTGCTTCAAAACAAAATCTTTTAGATTTACCCCCTCAGCAGCCTTCAGAATCAAGTTCAAACAAGGATTTGCTTATTCTTTTGGGATCATTTGGTAACTCTTGGTGGTCAACTAGTGTTTATAGATTGTGTGTAATATGTATATGATTGAAATATGTTATGATGATAATTTATGTTTATTATGTTTGTTTTACAGAATGATACGCCACCATATACTGGATTACCAGAAGCAAAATATATGGAGGAACCTAGAGGTATTTTTATTCTACAATATGCTTTACATTTAAGATGTAATAATGGTGATCATAAAATATCATGTTGTTACTCAGATTTTCAGACTAGGCCTAAATAGATTTTGGTGTTACTGTTTTGTAATGAACAGACAGCTATATGAGTCTCAATTTTCTTATGTTCAAATGATCACATAACAGTGAGCTATATAAGGACAACAAACTTTAAGGGTTCTATGTTATATTATATTGGTTGGATGGTAGGTTATTATCTAATATAATATTATCATTATTATTGATTATATTTCAAATCATTTGACCCTGATGTGAAATGGGACTTTTTGAAAACATCAAGTATACCTTCCTTTAAAACACTTTAGTCAGGTTTCTGTAATATATGAAAGAAATATTTTATTTTCAGTTAATTTCATAACATAACATCTGTAAACTGTACAGTTCATGTGTTTTCCATTTCAGATCGTGTGGATGAAAATAAAGGCTCATATTTATTAGGAAATTTATCAGGAATAAAATTATTTTTTGTTATTATTTTAATTATTATTGGAGTTTGTGTGTGTGGTGTTGTAGGATTTGTGGTATTTCAAAAAAGACAAGAAAATTCTAGAAAACGGTTTTACTAAATTATATGTTTGGTTTATTTAAAAAAAAACAGCATCAATGATCTATTCTTTTCTCTTTCAAATATATATAGCAATGAATTTATACATGGAAAGAAAATAAATTGGCTATCTTTCATTTAGACCTGTCTATTTATTTAAATTAACATCTAGAAAAATAAACCATATTGTTTGATAAGTCTATGCTATTTATTTGATGAAAAAAGGTTGTTTATAAACTAAGCACATGTTATTCTAGAACTGGGCAATATACTGTTTTGGTAATTTGACATGATATATGTTTAGATATATCAACCAAAAATTGAAATGATGATAATACAGTATAAATTTCCCAAATAAAATTATGATTTTAATGAACTTAATCTGGAAACTACATACAATCAACATATTAAGTCGAAACCAGTGAGTTCACTCCTTTGTTATGCAGAATTATTGAAAATTATTAATATGATACAGACTCATTATTTTACTACAACATAAATTTTAAATCTAACTGTTTAAATTTTAAATCTAACTGTTTGTTAAACTCATTTGTGCCTCCCAATTCATCCTTATCCTATGGTACATCAAAGCATTTTGCCTTAGATAACTTAAATGAGGTGAAACAGAGGTTTAACCAATAATATTAAATAATTAGATTAATGTATGGTGAAAAAGTGATGATATAATTGGCTTATTTTGGAATGAGAGTTTTATTGCATGATTTGCTATTAGCAGGGATTAGATGTGTCTTCCAGGGTTTATGTTTGGGTTCCTTTCTGGGTTTATCTGTAATTGTTAAACTTTAATATGTGAATGAATGAATAAATTTCTGAAACATGTTGACTGCATATTGAAATACAGTCCACACATTTCAATTGCTCAAGAAATAATATCTAGCATATAAATCAAATTGTGCTTTCTTTGTGATTTACTTCAGTATCAATTACATATACATGTATATATAGAGTTATAGGGCAGGTCCTTGTTACATTATTAGATAATCTTTACCACAGAATGAAATCCCTTTATACCCACAGCTATCTCGTTATATAGGGCTGGGTGATAGACTGGTATCATGATAAATACTGCTATAGGAATTTATATTCATAGTTATCATGTTACACCATCAAAGCCCTGGTCAGATTAGATCATCTATACAATTTTAATCACTTGATATTTGAAACATGTTTTTTCATGCTATTAAGATTGAGTTGTGATTGACGCAAAGAAGTAACATTTTGTTTCAATACGCAGTAAAACCCATAAGAAATAATGTGATATATACACATCTGGGGATATTTCAATGATAGATATTATGATATCCACTTGAACCAATAACGCCCAGCCCTGCTGTTATATAATTGATGTTTCTGAAATTATTGATTTTAGTGTGAATAATAGGTAAATTTGAATTGTTCATCTCTTGTTTTTGTGTATTGTGTATATTTTGAAGAATGAAATTTTGTTATCTGTCATGGTTTCTTTTTAATTGCTTTCCCGCTGCCCTAAGAAAATTTTCATTAAGTGGATGGGAGCAATGGAACTTAAACATTGTAAAAGATAGCTTGCCAGGCAAGGTTACATTTGCCCACTACTAGCTGTCAGAATAGATACCAAAATTTTTAGTGGCTTAATAATAAATTTTCAAATAATCTTAAAATCATCCATAGGTCAAGGCAAAAACCTGAAACAGTTCATCAAGTTATCGTGAAATTCAAACATGAACAATGTCTCATCGCTGTACACACAAGGGCAATAACACGGAAACTGTTGATCTGATTATTACCAATTTCTAACTTGACCGAGATCTCATCTAGTCTCATCAAGATTGGATAAAAACTGTAGTCTCTATTGTGCCTGCAAGCCAAATTTGACAAGATTTTACTAAGTCAAGGAGTTAACTCTGAAACCCTTCATCCGATTGTTAGCAATTACGAACTCGAGTGAGATCTGATCAATGTATACATGCATACCTTGTTTCATCTAGTTTGGATAAAAACTGTAGTCTCTATTATGCCTACAATCAATATCAATATCCTAGACTTCTGTTTATAAGTGAGGACCAATATCCTAGACTTCTGTTTATAAGTGAGCACCAATATCCTAGACTTCTGTTTATAAATCAATCCCCCAACATCCCAGACTTCTTTTTATAAATCAACACACTGATATCCTGAACTTATTTCTATGAGAAAACACCGCAATATCCTTGTCAGACTTCTTTTCTTACAAAATTTGAAGTTAGTTTCTCAATCTTGCCCTCAACAAGTTTGTTGAACTAAAAAAATTCAGACTGAAAACTGGTTGCTCCCTTCCCAGCAATTTTGATTCTGGTAACTAGGTCAGACGCGAAGTTTCGTATGGCAATACTCCGCAGGAAAACCAATTTTACACATTTTCAGATTGGGTGTATTTTTATTAAGGATAGGTTTCCTTATTTTTAAGTGTTAAATTAAGCATACTATTTGATTAATTGGTGTTTCTAATGAATTATCATGAATTCTTAATAGCATCATTATGTTCTTATTGCATATAATTAGGAGTTTTAACCAATCATAAATGTACATGTATTATACAGTCTGAATAAACAAAAAAAGACCTTTTGACCTTTCTTGATCGGTCACTCATTGGAATTCTGCTGGTAATTCTCTACTAATTTAGCTTATTATGGATTAATTATGGACATGTGAGACAAACTGATATTTTTCCAAGTCATAAGAACACGTCTACTTTCAATTCATATAAGTATTAGCATTTTCATTTACATAAATGAAAATAAGGAAACACATCTTTAATTATAAAAATATTCATTGATTTTAATTAACAAGTTAATCATGCTGCTTTCATCAGAATATGAACATTTTTGTCTTTTAAGTCTACATGTGGGCAGAGAGTCAGAAGACCAACTATCAATATATGTTGAAATAGCGCAACCAATTTGAAATATTCAAGCATGGAGCTAGTTAGAAGATGGTCGTCATCTTATATAAGACTTATTGTCATTGAAAATTTCAGCCAATCAAAAGACATAGATTCATTGGCTCAACCAATGATTAATTAATGAAGTAGTTTGAGTACAAATACCTGCCTAATGGACATTTATCTAATTTGTTGTAAGGTACATCTTATTCCATAATTATCTAATACTTTACAAAATTTACTGTTTTCAAAGGTCTAAATCAAGTAAGTAATACAAAATTGCATGATAATTATGGTGTTCTGTCCCTAAAATACGTAGTGTTATTTAGACTTATCGGTCTAGGTGAAGAGGCAAAAATTCTTATGTGCTAATAACTTCTTTTTGGAAGCATTAATTACGTCACGGGCATTAACATAAAAACAATTCCTTATATATGTAAACCTTCAGACTCATCAAAGATTTCAACGGTTCATTGTGTTTTGTGTTCCGAGAGTACACTTCTGAGAACCAGTTACACTCAGTAAAAACTTCATTAAATGGTTGGTTAGTCTATCTATATAGGGCATTATTATCATAATGAAGATATATATGAAATGTAGTCTTATATAAAAACTAGTTTAAAGTATTAACCTATTTAATCTTAAAAATGAAAATGTGAAATGCAAGTATAATTAAAATATAATGTTACAATGAAGATGTAAATAAGGCACTAAATCAATATTCTAATTTATATAAAATTACCTACATATGGTGTCTTCTCATAAACATAATATATACCTCTAGAAGAATACTGCTGATCTAGAAATATATATCGCGATTATATTCTAACAAATATAATAGGGCATTGATAAAATTCACACATGAAATTCATATTTCCAATATCAAATGGAGAATTTACCTAAATCTTTAAATAAAATTAAAATAAACTTAAATATTATACAATAAAAAAAGTACTTTAAGAAATAAGATATCAGTGAATATATTATGCTAATTCATTCAGTAAAATATAAAATGTCACTTAAAATACATTAAATATTGTATAAGGGTTTTAATGTCAGTTATTGTGTTAAATAAGTGATGGTTTTTGTTGTCTAATTATTAAGTAAGTAGAAACTTCACTCCACTTTACTCGGTACACAAGAAATAAAAGAATATAAAAAAGAAAATTGATAATAACAATAAGTGATTGAATTATTTCATAATTTGCGTCATCTATTAATTAATTGGTTTCCACTTCACTAACCTTTATATGAAATAGGCAATGTATGCTCTGGGAGGCTAGTAAAAATGGATTTTTAATTCAAATATAATAATTAATTGATTGATTAATTGATTTATACTTTTTAGGCAGTTTTCTATAGACAAATCGATTGGAAACTAATATTATGGAATTAAATATTGAACCAAAATTATTTTTGTTAAACATCATAAATATTTATACAACACATACAAAATTGCATAGTTTATCAGCATCTATTAAGATGAGTTTATAAAAAAAAATCGCAAATTATTTGAAGATAGCTTGCCAGGCAATGTAACATACACCCACTGTCAGCTGTCAGAAATAATTACAGTCTGTAGTGGCTTAATAATGAATTTTCAAATAATCTTAAAAATATTTATAGGTCAAGGCAAAACCGAATCATTAAATTATTATCCAATTAAAACATGAACAAGGTCTTATCGACGTATTAACGATAGCAATAACTCTGAAACCCTTCATGCACTTATTTCATTACTAAGACTGAGATCTTATCAGGTCTCTATCCTGCATACAAGACATGTGGACGGATGGATGGACAGGGGCGATGGCAATATACGTCCACATCTTTATGTGGGCGTAAAAAAATACTCTTTCTACCACATCAAAATCATAACAATTTTTTTTACTTTAGTTAAAACATAATAATTTCATGATAATAATAGAAGTAAACACATTATCTTAAAGTTAACTTGAAGATCTTCATTCATAATAATTGATTATCTAGCAGCTCTTTGTGTAAGATATTGGAAATTTCACACAATGCAATATTTTATTAATCTATAGCAATGGAGACCATCTTGTTGCAATTCTCCTTCTCATCATTATAAATATTCACACCAAATTTCATTTCAATTGGATGAAAACTGTAGTCTCTATTCTGTTCACAACCAAATTTTGACATGTTTTATTAATTTATTGCAATGGAGGCTATCTTGTTTCAATTCTCCTTGAAGTTCTCCACAGGAATTCTATTTATTTCTGCCAATGACAAAAAACAATGATTCTAAAGGATTTGATCCCTTGACACAATTTAATAACTGTACATACTGACAACATTTGCGGTAACTTGTTGGCAACAAAAATCCTGGTTGTGTATACACATAGAAAAACACCTGGAGATGTATTGTTTGAGTCATCTTCCATAATTCTAAGAACATTTGTTGAAGAAACGGCAAAGAAGACGTTAAACTGAGAAGAGAGTTTGGACAAGGTATGAGAAACCAGCATTGGAAGTACCACTGTATCCTGAAAGAGTTGAGATTGGGGGACCAGCCCTCATGTATAAGAATTTCCTCAGAATGAACAAACCAGCACAAAGGGGACCTCTGACAGCAGTGCAAGACACCTATCTGGGAGGTTCCATTTTGTTTACATGATTCAGATCATGTGATTTTAGACCATTTCTAATTGGATAAAACTTAGTCACATCATTTACATCTCCGAAATAACTTAAAAATTTTTTGTTAAAAAGATGGCATCTCCCCAACATGTTTCCGAAAATGTTGTCAGTGTGTACAATACTTTCTGCAATCAATACAGCAAATAATTTACATACAATTTCAATTGATTTCAAATCAATCATGTTTCATGATACCAGCTCTTTAATTCTGAACTGAAAGAGTATATTTGACAATGCTATATACACATCATATTCTAATAACTATTTTATTATTTATAATATATATTCTAGGAATGTTGTGTGCCGGTTGCATGTAGTAATAACATTGATTATTCAATATGTATTTTCACTTTCATTCAAATTGTCTTTCATTAAAATTACCTTTGATTTTATATGAAAACTGGCAGTAGTGACCTGAGAATGTCATGATTCTATGAAGTTACATCTTGCCCGTGTCTTCATTCTTCTTTTCCCCAACCTTCTTACATAAACATAACCCTTGTCCATAAATAGATTGGGTTGTGGTTTACTTTATCCAAATAGCTTTGAATGCAGTAAATGTGGTGTTCATATTTACAAAAGAAACATAAATATTATTGGTTGATTGGCTGGTTTGAAAATTGATATCAAGTCACATACTACCAGTGAATATCAAATTTTACAAAAATGGTATCTTGACAGAATAAAGCTAATCTTTGGAAAAAGATTCATAGGCCTAAATGACCAAAACATAATTATTACTTGCTCTCTTGTACACTTAAGAACAAAATAATAAAATTAGTATTTCTACTGGTTGTTTACAATATCATAAGATAGCTTGCGAGGCAAGGTAACATACGCCCACTGGCAGCTGTCAGAAATGATAAAACAGTCTTTAGTGACTAAAGTATGAATTTTCTCATAATGAAGAAATTTTATTAGTTTTAATTCAATTACATATATATATGCCAGTTATTTATGCTGAGAAATTCCACAAAATTTTTTAAAATCAATATCAATAACCAAAATACAACAAACAATTAAATCACACAGCTCTAATCAAGGGCAAAAAACAACTTTTGACGCGTGTTTACAAAGTCAAGGGCAATAACTCAAAAAAAGTTCATCAAAAATATCTCAAGTTAGAACTTGTCCGTGATCTTATCAATTCCAATGATCATAAAAAGTTTGATCAAAGTTGGTTGAAAACTGTAGCTTCTATAGTGCTCACAAACACATTTTGACGTGTTTCTACAAAGTCAAGGGCAGTAACTCAAAAACCATTCGGCGAAAATGCGTCAAATTAAAACTTGTCCGAGATCTTATCAATTTCAATGATCACACCAAGTTTCATCAGAATCGGTTGAAAACTGTAGCTTCTATTGTGCTCAAGAACAAACTTTGACACGTTTAACAAAGTCAAGGGCAATAACTCAAAAAACATTCATTGAAAATGCTTCAAGTTAGAATTTGTCCGAGATCTTATCAATTCCAATGATCACACCAAGTTTCATCAGAATCGGTTGAGAACTGTAGCTTCAATCCTTCTCACGAACTATTTTTAACAAATTTCGACGCGTTTTAACAAAGTTAAGGGCAATAACTCAAAAAACATTCATCGGAAATGCGTCAAGTTAGAACATGTCCGAGATCTTATCAATTCCAATGATCACACCAAGTTTCATCAGAATCGGTTGAAAACGGTAGCTTCAATCCTGCTCATGAACTATTTTTAACAAATTTCAACGCATTTTAACAAAGTCAAGGGCAATAACTCAAAAACCTTTCATCGAAAATGTGTCAAGTTAGAACTTGTCTGAGATCTAATCAATTCCAATAATCACACCAAGTTTCATCAGAATTGGTTGAAAACTGTAGCTTCAATCCTGCTCACGAACTATTTTTAACAAATTTCAACACGTTTGAACAAAGTCAAGGGCAATAACTCAAAAAACGTTTATCGAAAATGCATGAAGTTAGAACTTGTCCGAGATCTTATCAATTCCAATGATCACACCAAGTTTCATCAGAATCAGTTGAAAACTGTAGCTTCAATCCTGCTCACAAACTATTTTTAACAAATTTTGACGTGTTTTTACAAAGTCAAGGGCAATATCTCAAAAACCGTTCATCGAAAATATGTCAAATTCGAACTTGACCGAGATCTTATAAATCTAAAGCATCACACCAAGTTTTATCAAAATCAGATAAAAACTGTAGTCTCTATAGTGCTCATAAAACATGTTGACGGACGGACCGACGGACAGGGGCGACGACAATATACGACCACATATTCATATGGGCGTATAAAAATCAGATAAAAACTGTAGTCTCTATAGTGCTCACAAGAAATGTTGACGGACGGACGGACGGACGGACCGAAGGACAGGTGCAACGACAATATACGACCACATATTCATGTGGGCGTATAAAAATTGATGGGTGTAATGATGCGACATTTCTACAAATACTACACTGAAGTTAACAAGTCGAATAACAAAAAGACTTTAATCCAATTTTAACACTATCTTATGGGGCATTATATAAGTTTTGTGTAAAACATAACAAGTCAAAGGTCAATCTGTTGTACTTTGAGATATGGAATACTATCTTTGCCAAAGCCTCTTTTTCAAATCAAAACTGTGGACTAAATTAGTTCTATGAATGTAAATATAAACATTCCCCATATATAGATATCATTGTTACTTTACAACAAAACAATTCAAGACATCTAGGCTATCATAATACAGACTTAAACCACTAACTAAATCTAATAACTACTTAACAGTGAAAAATAACAAATCAGCTAAAACAGGCTATATATATGAAAAATATCATTAAAAGAGAATATCTGAGTAAAACGCATTGAGGATTTCAACCAAGTTCCAACTCCTTTAAACATGTAAAATATATTAAAGTTTGTACTAGTGGAGATTTCTACATTAACCTTTTGCCTTAGCAAATTTTTTTTCTGAGAATTGGATTTGCAGCCTACAAATAGTGTCAGTCTTAGATTGTCTTTGTGTTGATAAAAATATGCACTGAGCACACATTAAGTCTTCAAAGTTGTTTTTACAGAGGATAATTTTCAGTCAAAATTTTGAACTTTTTTTTTTGGTTTTGAAATCTCTCAAGGAGAAAAGTGTTAGTACTATTTGCGGCTGATATTTCAATTCTCTTAAAAATCAAAAAACAATAGTAATAAGATACAAGATAGCAAGGCAAGGTAACATACGCCCACTGGCAGCTGTCAGAAATGATAAAACAGTCTTTAGTGACTAAAGTATGAATTTTCTCATATTGAAGAAATTCTATTAGTTTGAATTCAATTACATATATATGCCAGTTATTTATGCCGAGTAATTCCACAAAATTTTTTTAAAATCAATATCAATAACCCAAATACAACAAATAATTAAATCACACAGCTCTAATCAAGGGCAAAAAAAAAATTTTGACACATTTTTTCCTTAGTCAAGGGCAATAACTCAAAAACAGTTCATCAAAAAATCAAATTCAAACTTGTCCAAAATCTCATCAATATAACTGATCACACCAAAGTTCATTTAAATCAGTTGAAAACTGTAGTCTCTATTGTGTTCACAAACAAATTTTGACGTGTTTTTCCTAAGTCGAACTTGACCAGAATCTCATCAAATTGGATGCAAACTGTAGTCTATTGAGTACACAAACACATTTTGATGCGTTTTTCCTAAGTCAAGGGCAATAACTCAAAAATCGTTCATCAAAAATACGTCAAGTTAGAACTTGTCTGAGATTTTATCAATGCCAATGATCACACCAAGTTTCATCAAAATAGGTTGAAAACTGTAGCTTCAATCCTGCTCACAAACTATTTTTAACAAATTTCGACATATTTTAACAAAGTCAAGGGCAATATCGCAAAAACCGTTCATCGAAAACATGTTGACAGACAGGGGCGAAGACAATATACGACCACATATTCATGTGGGCATAAAAAAATGATTTACCACCCCAACCCATAAATTGTGTTTCAAACACAAACAATGATTATTTTTGTTGATATAATATGAGAAATCAGGTTTTAGCAGACATGGCTGTGCTTATAATTTTAAATGGTATTGTCTATGGTGTATATATCTAATCCATCTTCACTTCCTCTATATCTTCATGAACAACATATAAAAACTTCTGAACAAACAATGAAAACTTCTCTGAAAAAAACAGGTATACTCTAATTAGCCTACCTACAATATAAATGAACAAATATTTATGTTTTAAAACAAAGTCTATGCTTATCGTTAAATATCAGTGACATCCATATTTTTAACTATATGACTATGATTTTCACGCTGTGCGATCTTCAAACAACTGACCTAGTTCAACTGTTTTTAATATTTCTATAGGTTTATAATGCTCCACAATTGTTGTATTGAGCATGAACTATTTCAACAGTGAAAATATTTTGTTATTGTAACTAAAAGTTTTGTGAAGGTTTGATAGATTTGTGTGACAGAAATAAAACATGGGATCTTCGAAAAATTACAAGTACATTACTTGTCAGATTCAGCAATCGATATCATTCTTCAGACAGTTTTAAAGTAACAGCAGAAGGACAAAAGACGTGGTAAATAATACTACAAGCACATTTGCAACTTTGCTTTCAAAGGTGAAAGCTCCTTAAGACTATGAACTATTGTGAATAGGAGTATGACTCACAGGGCAATAGAAGTTGTGTTTATTGGTTGAATAGAATTAGTAATTGAAATGGCGTCAAACCTACCTAAATTTTTTGTAAAAACTTTGGGTTTTGATGTCCATAATACACCCAATATATACACAGGAATACCAGTACATATCATTATAATACCCATCAAACATTCCATTGGGGATGTTGTTAAGGGGGTAATTATCAAAAATATACAGATGATAACAAAAAATATTGGCAATGCAATGTGAACCTGAAAAAAAAGTCATCAACAATTTCTATCACAAACAACACAACTTTAAGTGACAAATATCAACAGCATAGCATGCTAAATAACAGTTGTATTGATAAGTATTAGTTTGTCTCAGGAAATAAATTCATGGTTTTGAAGACGCCCCATAAGAAAACAAAAGATAGCTTGCCAGGCAAGGAAACATAGGCCCACTGGCAGCTGTCAGAAATGAAAACTAAATCTTTATTAATCGAGTGTGATCGACGTGGTCAACACACGGCATCGATGTCGATCCATCGAACGTTCTCATATCTAATATCCTCCTTATTTGTAGTTCAAGAACTTTGAATATCTCATCCATTTATGGTCAGTTATGAGTTCTTCCACAAATCTTTGAAAAATCAGTAGCAATAAACCAGAAACATTGAATTATCACACTAAAATTTTAAAGATTTATAAGATATATAATAAGTTATCAAATTCACATGAATAAGGTCTCTTCTACATAGAAAAATTTGAACTTGACTAAGATCTCATTAATATATACATGCATACCGAGTTTCATCAAAATCTGATAAAAAATGTTGCCCCAACCATGTTTACAAGTCAAATTTGGTGCATTTTTACTAAGTCAAGGGCAATTACTCAAAAACCATTCATTCAAAATGAGCCAAATTCATACTTGACCGGTATTTTATCAATTTATACATGCATACCAAGTTTCATTAAGACCTGATAAAAACTAGCATCTATCATGAGCCAAATTTGAACTTGATCGAGATCTCATCACTATATACATGTAAATTTAATTAATTTAATTAATTAATTTCATGTAGTTTAATTAAAATCATAAAAACTCACAATTCTGTTTACACAGTATCATGCAATTTGACTGGATTGCAGTGGTCATGTGCATATATTCCGTTTATATCTGTGTAAACAGAATATAAATTTATGCTCCGCCCCTTAACAGACTACTTTTATCATTGGGTATGATTGACATGGCCAACACATGGCGTGGATGTCGTTCCTCGAACGTCAATGTCAACAGAACAGAAATCAACACTTCACTGAATGATGATGCTATTTTCGAAACTATATATACATATATTTTTGCTAAAATCTTGAGAACTATATAATTTAAGTCTTGTCAAAATTACCTTAATCGGTCGTTCCATATCAGGTCTAGTATAGCGTAGCATAATCAACCCAGCTATGGTTACACCAATAAATAATGATTCCACAAATGCACCATAATTAATTAAGGCAAATATGTCACTAGAACACAACATAACTAACGACATTCCACACTGAAAATATATGATATGAAATGAAACGAAATGTAATCATGCTCTTTTGGTAATATGTAGTGCCAGGCTGTCTTACTCTACTCCTTCTGGATTTCTGAAACTAATAAACATGGTTGTATTACATACCAGTAATATATACATATTATGTATGATATTTAGTAAAGTCATAATTCTTACCCCAAATATTAAAGCAGGTACAGGAGTCATTAATTTTGGATTGATTGTTGCAAGAAAACCTGGTAAATGTCCATACCGAGCACCAACAAAAAATAATCTGAAAATATATATATTGATGCTTTTCACTGCTGGTAATAAGATCTACTTCATATTCAAATTGGACTGCTGCTATTGCTACAATCATGTTAATTTCATCAGTACATCAACTTTATGTTAGTTACAATATGAGTTTGATAAAAGTAATGATAGTGTAAAAAATAACTTTATATATCTATCAACACAAAGTCAATCTAAGACTTTGATTGTTAGTACTTTTTTTAAGCTGATATTCCCATTCTCATAAAACCAATTTGATTTACCGTGAAGAGAGAAGTTCAACAACTTGAAGGAACAAAATGACACAACTATGTTACTATATGTTAATTGTACCTTGAAGATGTAAACAAGCAACCATTTAAACTACCAAAAGTTGATAAAGCTACAAATACTGGCATGATCCATGACATAACTCCCAAAGTACGATCAGCAAATGTCTGTAATGGTAAGGACAGAAATTGTGCTGAGGTATAATAATGCTTGAAAAAGGAAAATTTCAATTTTTTCAGCATTTGTAAGTAGATGGCCTAGACGCTTTGAATAAGTTAGGTGAACTAACAACTCAAAGAAAGCATTTTGTAGACATTTAATCTGTAGTGAAGATGCCTCCAATCAGTTACTTTGATATAATCAACCAGATCATTAACTTTAATTTTACTGATGTCAACATGATGTGATATCACTTTGTATTTGGCTTCTACATGAGGTTTGTTAATTTACCATGATAATTTTGTGACTGGTCAGGACCGACAATAGTGATCAAGGGGGATAATGATATATGATAATTTTACAAGTTATTATAGTTAATTCATTATATTGCTGGTATGACTTTAAAAAAAACTTACTACAGCTACAGCATCTGATTTTAACATTTCAGCTGGTGATAAAATAACAAAATAAGATATATTTGCTAAAATATAGATCACTGTTACTAATGGTAGAGATATATAGATAGCTCTTGGTAAATTTCTGAAAATACATCATTATACAATAATGTTATTAAGTAATATGATTAGTACTACCTGATGCATCAAATTAATAACATAGACAACATTAAGATTCCAGGTGAAACTGTATGCATGACTTGTAATGTGATGCATAATTTATATTATTAAAAACATTGTAAAACAAGCTATTTACTGCTATTTATCTACTTGATCAACCTGGATTTGTTTTAAAAGAGTTTATAAAAACATTCTGCCTTATAATGGCTCTATATTTTTAGTTAAAATTTGATTAGAATTAGTAAGAGATTATTTCTCTACAATTGCATTTTTTTCTCCTTAACTATGTATGTCACTGAACATCGATCAACAGCAAGAAAATGGGCTTAAAACTGCCCAACTCAAATCTGATTTTAATGATGTAAAATATGACTAGTTTTGAGTTACAAGGACTGAAGAAGGAAGCTTTAAAGATTTTACAGCAGTGACATCATGTTACCTTTATTTGTTTGCGTTATGAACCTCATTCTGGATTCGATATGGCCCACATGTGAATAAGGTTTATTTACGTCATTCTAATGAGTGCAGTACAGTACAGATTGATATAAATAAGTGCTAATTTGTTATTTTTTTTCTCTGAAAGAGTGTTTAAGACCATGTCTTCATCGGTTAAACTTAAACATAAACTTTGAATATCAGGACTGACCAAACACAATAAAGTAGGGATTGATGCAATATAATAAAGATTACATCTTACTTGTATGGCTCTTTCAACTCTTCTGTAACAAAATTCAAATAATTCCTGAAAGCAATAACCATAACAATTAGTACATACAATACAATATAATAAATTCATTTTTTGTTTAGATATAGGTAAGAAAACAAATGTTTCAGAAAATAATCACTTATCAAATTTCAACTGTACTAACCATCCAGCATAAGAAAAGAGTCCTGAATAAAAGGCCATAGCAAAATGACCTGGTTTTGTAGTTGATCCTTTAAATGGTTCTTGGAAACTTTCAGTTGATCCTAAAATAAAATTGTTAGAATTATTCAAATTCAAGGGAAGTAAAATAATAGTTTGAAATAGAGTATCATTACATTAATCTCATAAAAACAAGTCCAGTAATAATAATTTTATAGAAAAATATAACATGACTAACAGTTAACTCACCCATTCCCATGAAAACAAGTCCAGTAATTATAATAATGATGAGGGCTAGAACTTTACTAACAGTAAATATATCCTGTACTTTACTAGCTAATTTTACACTCCAACAATTAATAAACGTTAAAACAGCTGAAAAGAACAAATACATGTATATAGCGAATTACATTTTTTGTTTAGATATGTTTGACAAGTTGATAGGAGAACCTTTTCTTTGATTAAAAATTTATGTTTTTAATTAAAGATTACATGAATTATCACCTTATTTCCACCTAGGTGAAATTAAAGTTTTTATTTCAAAATGAAAAGTGAAATGTCATATGAGAGCCACCATAGCAAACAGCAATCAACCAGAGTTCACTATTGAAACAGGATAAAAGCAATTATATGGAACATTATATAAACATCGAAGACTTTATCTAAGTATTATCTTTTACTTCATATGATATTTATATATCATAACGAAACAGTTCAATAAGAAAGATTAAATAATGAAACGTTCAGTAGGAAAGATTATACTCTTTTAATGATAATGAAACAGTTCCGTAGGAAAGGTTATACTCTTTATCATATTGAACAGATCAGCAGGAAAGATTGTACTCTTTATTATAACGAAACAGTTCATTAGGAAAGGTTATACTCTTTATCACAATGAAACAGATCAATAGGGAATATTATACTCTTTATAATAATGAAACAGTTCAGTAGGAAAGATTGTACTCTTTATTATAATGAAACAGTTCAGTAGGAAAGATTGTACTCTTTATAATAATGAAACAGTTCAGTAGGAAAGATTATACTCTTTATTATAATGAAACAGTTCAGTTGGAAAGATTATACTCTTTATAATAATGAAACAGTTCAGTAGGAAAGATTATACTCTTTATCACAATGAAACAGTTCAGTTGGAAAGATTATACTCTTTATTATTATGATGAAACAGTTCATTAGGAAAGATTAAACTATTTATCACAATGAAACCTATCAATAGGGAATATTATACTCTTTATTACAATGAAACAGTTCAGTAGGAAAGATTGTACACTTTATCACAATGACACAGTTCAGTAGGAAAGATAATACTCTTTATGAAAATGAAACAATTCAGTAGGAAAGATTACCAGTATACTCTTTGTTATTATGGAACAGTTCATTAGGAAAGATTATGCTCTTGATCAAAATGAAACAGTTCAGTAGGAAAGATTGTACTCTTTATAAAAATGAAACAGTTCAGTAGGAAAGATTATACTCTTTATTATAATGAAACAGTTCCGTAGGAAAGATTGTATTTTTTATTATTATGAAACAGTTCAGTAGGGAAGATTGTACTCTTTATCACAATGAAACAGTTCAGTAGGAAAGATTATACTCTTTATTATTATGAAACAGTTCAGTAGGGAAGATTGTACTCTTTATCACAATGAAACAGTTCATTAGGAAAGATTATACCGGTACCCTTTATTATTATGAAACAGTTCAGTAGACAAGATGATACTCTTTATTATTATGAAACAGTTCAGTAGAAAAGATTATAGTCTTTATTATAATGAAACAGTTCAGTAGGAAAGATTGTACTCTTTATTATTATGAAACAGTTCAGTAGGAAAGATTGTACTCTTTATTATAATGAAACAGTTCAGTAGGAAAGATTGTACTCTTTATTACTATGAAACAGTTCAGTAGGAAAGATTATACTCTTTATCATAATGAGACAGTTCAGTAGGTAAGATTACCGGTATAATCTTTATCGAAATGCAAATTTATGTATCCATAAACAGTTTAATGGTCTTTGTAAAACTTTAGAAATCTATTTGATTATCAATTATGAAATTAATTTCAGATATAGCATAAACATGTTCAGAGTAAATAGCAGCAAAGAGTTCAAAAGGTAATAACCCAGTGCATGTTCACAGACAAATATGTCCTCAGAATGCACCACTCAAATGTATTGTGTGTTTAAATAACTTTTTGTGGAATATTATTGTGCCCTTGGAATTATTTATTAATTATAAAAATTGGACTAGTGTGTATTGAGGTTAGTCTGAATGGATGTTGTTATAAATGAAAGTCTGATTAATAAATGTTTCTATGATAACTCTGCTGTTATCAGAGGAGAATAGCATCCAGTGCCAAAATCTTATCAGTCGTCTTGATAATTCAATTTAATGGGAATAATGAAATGGAGGCTCAATATATATTTTCAATAAATTTTGATTTCTAGCTCGATTCAATATTATTATAACAAGGCCATATTGCAGGTCAGAATAAGTTGAGAGAAGGGTATGATTGACCTTAACATAAAAGATATATGTTCTATAATTATCATTATTAGATTTATTTATAATCTATCGTAAAGGTCATATTAAATGATCTCTTCACTCATCGCTTTATTAGTATGAAAATAGCTTATTCTAATGACATTTGTTGTTAATAATATAATAACCAAATTCTTTCTCAAGGGAACAGCACTATATACCCTACGGCATTAATTCAGTAAGTGTAATGTTTTGCATTTGTTAATTTTTACTCAATTTTGATATTTACTCTTTATAATCATCTTTTTATGTCATCATTTATATCAATAAATTGAACAAATATTATCTTGAAAAATATAAATATTATTTCAAAATTTAATATCTAACTTCCTTTTTTTTTTTAACTTAAGACTTATAAAGTACCGTATTGAGTTTTAAAAATGATTGGGACTCAATCCAACTATTAACTACAACTAACAACAACTACCAAGTTTGAGATATCAGCATCCGCTGGAAGCAAACGTTAACTTGTCATCTACCAACTAACCAACCAAATGATTGGGACACATCTAGCTTAACAAGTAAAATAGTAAATAGTAAATATTTAGCCAAGTTAGATTATCAAACCTTCACCTTCAACAATATTTTTGTTTTACAATGTTTTCAGTCAGAAAAGATAAAATTGCTCAAATTTCACTCATTTTATAAGCCCTTAAACAAATATTGGTCAATATGTTTCATTATAATAACAACAGTGAAACCTCTTATATCCTCCTTTAAATACCTTTAAAAATCTCCTTTCACAATCCAGTGACTTTCTTCATATTTTTCTGGATGAAATCAGCTACAGGTATAAACTTCCAACAACTGAATGGCTCATTATCATGAAAAGTTGAACAAAAATCTTAGACCTGATGAAAATTTTAATAATAATTGTCCAATTTCGCCAAGTTTCACTAAAAATGAAAAAGTTTTGACGATATTTTATTTAACTACCAGTATGTCAAAGCTAATAGGCCTATTTCCACAACAGTTCAGCTGAAATCGTAACATTCAAATCATATTTAAGGAATGACCTGAACATGTTTTCAGTTTATCGATGTATAAACAGAAAAAAACTGTGAACACTGTATAAACCTGCGTAGTGGTTTATGATAAAAATCATTGCACTACAATATGTCCACCTTTTACATGGGCACAAAAAACAAACATACAATTGTTCATTAGGAGACAGGAGTCATAATACTTGATTTAATAAAGCTGGTTGGCACACCCCCACCCCCTCTCTATAATGTTTTTTATAACAATGAAAGATATTATATCCAAAAGTATTTCAAAAAATCAAATTCCAACTTTCCTCTTTTAGATTATTCACCTATATCTCATTTATCCTTTGCTGATGACCTTATTTTATTCTCCTGAACACCAACCGGACTTCAAAACTCAATAAATCAACTTGAAAATTTTTGCACAGACTGGAAGTTCAACCTTAATCTAGATAAATCCAAAATTATGATTTTCTATGCTGTTAAAAGATCATGGGTCAGTTTTTCTTTCCACAGTAATTCAATCGAAATAGTCTCCTCTTATACTTATTTAGGCCTTTTGTATATCAAACAACTCGACTTTTAAATGTGCTATAACCAAGTAAAAAAGTCAGACAAGCTTGGTTTAGTGTAAGACAAAAAATAAGTACCACTGATCATCTTCCAACCTCTACTCTTTTAAAACTATATAACAGCATTGTCAAACAAATAGCACTGTATGCATCTGATGTTTGGGGTCTGCAGGTAGTTCATAGTAAAAAGATCATGTTTAACAATTGAAACAAATTAGATCACAATACAATCACTATACATACAGCTAAGTCCATACTAAGTGTACCTAAAAAGGCCTCAAACATTCGATGTCTATCCGAATTATCAATATTTCCCTTACAATTAGATATTTACCACAGAATGATAATGTATTTCAAAAGATTTCTTGATAACTCCACTCTTCAAAATAACCCCTTATTAAATGCAGCTTTTAATGAGGATTTGAACTTGGCTTCAAGTCAACCAAAATTTTCTTGGACAAATGCTGTCTTCACCCTCCTTAATAACTTTAACATTGACCCCATAAATTTCTCACTTAAACAAATTAAGCTCTCATTGCAAAATTCTTTTCATTCTTTAATTTATCATGACTCAATCAACAGCCCCCACAATAAATTGAGAACATATGGTTCTGTCAAACCCTTTATTTCTACTCCAACTCACTATCTGAAGCATATCAAAAATCCCAAATACAAAACCGCATTGACATCATTGAGACTAAGTACACATTAATAAGAAATTGAAAGAGGTCCATACAGACAAATTCCTGTTGATAAACGCATATGCCAACAATGTGATTTATCCTTGGTTGAAGATGAATACCATTTCCTCTTAATATGTCCTAAATACAATACCCTAAGAGAAATATATCACTTCTACCATTTCACATTTAAATATTCCTTTGTCATTTTATGTTCTTTTTTTCAAAATTTTATGTATACACTATATTTTTTTGTATAACTATTAATTTGTATCACTTATTATTATGTATTATCTTGTATTATGATGTATGCTGCCCAAAAAGGGCGAACAATACAATATATATCTATCTATCTATCTATGTCTGACTTTTGGGTGGTTGACCTGTGACGCTGTTGACATTGATGATAAGAAAATTAGTAACAAGGTGATACAAGATAAACAGAAGTGTTCCCTCTCCTTGACAAGATCATATTTATTCAAATTTGAAGAAGGCTTAAAATTGATACCTATTCAATCATCAAGATCATTTATCATTTAAAGATCTCTCAACTAACTATCCATCAGAATCAAAAAGGCAAAGTAGTAATAATTAGAATCAAAGTTTAGAACCCATTATAATTTAGGCAACAGTATTCATTACAATGTTAGTAAAATAAAACAATAACAACCATAATAGATATTTAGATATCAAACACATTTCATGTCAAATCAAGTGGTTTGATAAAATTTAGGGTTCATTTTCACAGAACTTGTTTTATTTCTTCGCATGCTCATTGGTATATCATACTTTACTGATCATCTTTATCAGCTACAGTTGGTTTAAGACAGTCTTTGCATACATGAGCAAACATTATGAAACTTGTGAAGAAGTGTTTTTCTATTAAAGAAAGCTGTAAACTAAAAAAAATTATTTTTATCAACACAGTCGTTATTAACCTTTCGGTATTGTATAAAACTGATATTCAAATTAATGTTTTTTACAATAACAAATTTTGATTTACAAAAGATACTACTATAATGGATGGATGCGTTTGTATTATAAAACCCCATAACTTACAGCAACAGTATCAATCTAAATCCAATTTTTTTTCATGAAATTTGAGTATACAAGTATGTATACATTTTGTGTCAAAATGGAAAACAATTTATACACTAGAGCCACACGTGGCACAGAGTGGGACTTTGCAAATGTAGCAAAATGCAAAAGACTCTGAAAAAATCAACCTTCTACGATAATTACATCACGCGCAAGAGCAGTCTAAAGTTGAGAAGAATTGTTTGGAAGATTGTTATAACGGAAGTAGACAGACCTCACAAATGAAAGTATCAGAAGATAGCCAAGGTCAATGACATTTGACATTGAAAGGGAGACGGTCAACAAAGGTCAAAGTTACGAGATACAAGTCATCAAAATTTTTAATTATATACGGCTATAAAACCGGAAGTTGAGATAGGACAGCAAATATAAAAGTATAAATAGATAGCCAATGTGAATGACCTTTGATCCTTTAAATCAGGGTCAAAAAAGGTCAAGGTCAAAAATTGAAAATTTTGAATTTTCAAAACCTGTTCCTTTTTTTGAATTATAAAGCTGAAACAATCGAACTTCCAAGACAACGAGGCTCAACGGTTGAAGTAATTGTATGCAAAGTTCCATTTTGAACCTTATGACCTTATGAAGGTCAAGGTCATCAAAGTTCAAGATCACGAAATATGACCCTTCAAACTTTGAAAAAATTCAACCGGATGTTGCAAAAAAGCAAAATTGAGAATCGAAAAACGGCTTCCTAATGTCATGTTTTTTTTTTTATCTTTTTTCATTTGACACCAAAATCATTTAAATTGGATGAGCCATTATGTCTGAATAAAAATCGAATCATTTCAGAAAAATCAAAATGGCGGCCAAAGTTTCACGTCTGTTCCGGATTTTTTTTTCTTCGTTTTTTTGTCATAACTTTGTCTACCTATCAGCATAAAATTTTTTGTCCTATACAAATTACACCGGAAGATATTCAAGCGGAAGTGAACATAGTTTTCCTGTTTAAACCGGAAGTGAAATTGAAAATTTGACTGTACCATTTTGTTTACATTCTTAAACTGTCTTTGCTCAATTTTTTTCAAATTAATCAGACAAAAAGTAAAAAAAATGAAAATAATGCAAAATTTGGCAAAAAAAATGTCTGCGACAAATTTTCGAATTTTGAAATTTTGAAACTGCTATTCTTTCAGATTTTAACAGTAGATTCCAAAAATGCAAACCAAAAGAAAATCGACCAAAAAATACGACTTCTAGAGCCGATTATCTATTCTTGCATATATTGAACTGTGGCACTTCCGGTTTTGCAAAAAAGATCCAAAATATATTTATGCACATCGTCGCCTATATCTAAGGTTCGTGAATGTTGAATGGTTGCTGCAACTATTGTAGTCTAATCTCAGGAAGGTGTGTAAAAATCGAAAAAAAAAAAAAAAAAAAGAATTGACATTTCGATAACAAATTGGGACTCACAAATGTGATAAAATGATTTATATATATATTAATAGAATGTACAACAATATATATTACAACTTGGAAAAAGCATGACAACAAAAACATTAGTCTACATTATCCAGACTCAAATCCTTAAGTACAGCTGATTTCAGTTCAAAACCTGTCTGGACAATCAAAGCAATGCTTGAGTAAGTGAAAATATCTGAATTATGAATGGAGGTGATGCAATCCTCAAGTAATAGGTTTCCCATATTCTAAAAAAAATATTTGAAAAATACGAATGATTTATTATACTTACTGATACATAGTGCTGCTAACAATCGTACAGAAACATCTGGCATTTCACAATCAGAGAAGAATGGTTGCAGGATATAATTTGAAAAGGTTAAAGCAGTGATAGCATTTCCTGTTGGAAATATAATTATCAAAGCTACCCAAAGATACAGAAACGATGGTAGGCCACCAAATGTTTCCATGATATAGGCATAATCAGCACCTGATTTTAAAATACAAGTACCAAGTTCAGCATAGCACATAGCACCAATTAGACAAATAATACCACAGAGTGCCCATATAATCATACATAGGCCAACTGAACCAGCTTCAAGCAGGACACCTTTTGGTGATACAAAAATTCCACTACCGACTATAACACCAACAATAATAGCAACGCCATTGAATAATCCCAGAGTTTTCTTTAACTTCACACCACCGGAATCGCTGTCAGAATCGTGTACTTCCTTGCTTGTCATTTTGAACACCAGAGCCGAACAGTTCGGTTCTTGACCACAAAATCAGAATTGAAATTAATTAACTAGAATTATTTTAGAGTTATATGGTTATGCAGCTGTTGTTAGCACGTTGAATGATAGTGTTTGCGACACGCGGGATTGTTCATCCACGTTCGACTTCCTGTTGTTTACATTTTGCTATTACCACGTGTTTGTATTCGTGCTTCCAGACGTATTTTGCCACGAAAGACTCTTCTTTGGATAAACGAGTCAAAAAAGTAGGCGTGTTTGTAAACATTCTAGGCTAACAAACATAATAAATTGCTTGACTGAGCATATTCTCAGAGACGATGAAATGGCAAGTCGTTTGAATAGAAAGAATAACACGAAGAATAGTTAATCCTGCTTTAGAAATCTCGATAAATAACTTAGGTCCAAAAACATAAAAAAGCTCGTATCGTATCCATTGAGAAACGTAGGGAGTAGGGCTTGCTGTGTCGAGAGCTCATAACTTTTCCCGTAGGTTTGTGAAGAACCAAGCTTATAATGATCATGAAATAATTCTGTGTAGTTCTGAGACGGGGCAGAATCTATACTTTACACTTATATATACTACGCCTATTTATACATATGATATCAATAAATTTTAATCTCAATAAGTGGAAGAACAACAAAAACTTCACCAAAAACCTACCTGGAAAGGACGTCGAAATGACAAATGAAATGAAATTGAAATTTTACATTCTACTTTTCCGCTCTGATATTGATTGGGCTTATGATGAGCGCAATGATAAAGATAGTGGACCACAGCGATATACGCCCACCACGGCATGCGGATGGTAAATATTGAAGATTTTGGGGCAAGGGCAATAACTCTGCTTCTAACGGTCGAAAATAGCTCAAATTCGAACTTGATCTTCGTTTTATGAATATGTATACACATACCGAATTTCATTTGATTCCATCAAAAAATTTAGTTTTTAGAGCGTTTACAAGCAAAAATATGTTGACGGACGGACGGACCGACGGAACGACAGACGGACAGGGGTGCCGACAATATACGTCCACATAGAGAGATGTGGGCGTATAAAAATGAAAAAACAATTACATGCATGGATGATACCGATCAAGGTCCTTAAAATACGTCAGTGGCTATTTATCACTGGCGTGGCAAGCGTGGTAAATAGCCATAAGTACCTTTACAGCTATTTACGGCGTGGTAAATAAAATTAGTCATGATTTGATATTCTTTTCGGAAAAAAATTGCTGAAAACTACCTAAATATTTAAAATAACAATTTTGCAATCAAATAATCACCATTTTTATCAAAAATTCCCTATTTGAAAAAAATGTCGTGTTTGTTTACAAATAAATTTCAAGGCCGATTGTGAAGAGTTCATGGTTCAAGACTGAATACTTCTCATTTTCGTAAGGTATTTTGTGTAAGAATAAGTTTTGAAAATGAATTCCTGCATTTTATGCAATGTGTCTCCTAATATTACTACGTTTATACAAGTAACTACAGTGGCGTGCAGAGGGTAGTGCCCTCGAAAAGCCAAAAATAGGGTAAAGTTGCTCCCACTCCCGTCAATGAAATCCTGGCTACGCCACTGAGTAAGTAGACCTAATGTATATTTCCACAAAAATTGTAATGTTGTGTCCTATGGATATTAGGGTGATATGAGAATAAAAATCCCATAAAAGCGCTGGCCTAGGTCATGAAGTTAGAATTTTATATTTAGCCAAGTACTGTTAAACGCGTTCGCCCCGATACATTTTCGGTCTTTTTCATGTTTGCCCCTAGTTCGTTCGCCCTGGGTCCGTTCGCTCCACAATATTTTGTGACACAATAATCCAGAATCCACAAAGTTTGGACAAAATGTTTAAATATGTGTTTAATTGTCAAACTTGGACACTTATAAATTTAAATATAGCTTGCCAGGCAAGGTAACATACGCCCACTGATAGCTTTGATTGTAAGTACAAGTCTTTGCTGCTCAGTCACATTTGGTTCCTGTTTTATAAGGAATGTGGAAGTGAACTTAAGGCTTGTTCATATTACAGGCCCTGATAATTAAAATTTCAAATTTCAAATGATATATATCATCTTCATAACGACATAGACATACAAATTAAAAATCAAAAGAATCTGTAAAGAATTGTAGCCTGTAGAGTGAGCACGAGTTGCACAATATAGCTAATAGAGAAAAAAGTCAAGTCAGACACGATATTTCGGTGAAAAATTATCCGATCATCACGAAAATCAATAGGGATCATCTTCATAATGACATTTACACACAAAATAAAAATCAAAAGAATCTGTAAAAAATTGTAGCCTGTAGAGTGAGCGAGAGTTGCACAATATAGCTAATAGAGAAAAACGTCCAGTCAGACACGATATTTCGGTGAAAAATTATCCGATCATCACGAAAATCAATAGGGATCATCTTCATAACAACATTGACATACAATATAAAAACCAAAAGAATCCATAAAGAACTGTAGCCTGTAGAGTGAGCACGAGCCAAATGTGAACGGACGGACGGACCGACGGACGTGTGGGCGTATAAAAAGGACCCGTCCGCTATCATGTGATTAAAAAACCGACTTGTTAGTCTTTTATTCAAACCTCTTCCAATTTGTCGTCCAGAAACTTGCCTTCACCAACACAATGTTGTTTTTATTTTTGTTAGTGTCCAGAATTAAAATGAACTTCGAAACAAACAAATAAATTATGTCAAAATTGTAAAAACTCCTTAAAGTTCTCAAGAAAGTGGAATCATGGCTCACTTTTCAACTCGATTCATGCAGCATGGAACAATTTTTTTGCGACCAGGACAAATAATTTTTTAAAAGGGACAGTTACGCCAATTTTTTGACCAATCATACTTAAGTCTCAGAATCAGGATTGTTTTAGCCAATTGGTAATAGTGTTCACAGGTCACCGTCAAAATATGAGCCTTCAAACTCACATGCGAATTATCCGTTTTTGAAACTAGTATATTGTAGATGTTTCCAGTAATGATACAGATATTGACAGTGTTTGACTGTAGTTTGTAGTAGAGGGAAGTAGCGGTACAGATATTGATAGTGTTTTATGTAGTCGAGGTCAGAAATGATACATATATTGATAGTGTTTGACTATAGTATAGTTTAGTAATGGAACAGATATTGATAGTGTTTGGCTGTAGTAAGTAGTAGAGGTTAGTAATGATACAGATATTGATAGTGTTTGACTGTAGTTTGTAGTAGAGGGAGTACGTACGTGTTAGTGTTTGACTGTAGTATGTATTCGAGATCAATAATGGTACACATACATAATATATTGGTAGTGTTAGGGTGTATTGAGACGAGTCTCAATGAAAGCACTGGCCTAGGTCACAGAGCAATAGATAAGTCTATTAATTATGTGAAAATTAGTTAGTCATTAGTATGATTTTAGTTGAAAAGACACACACACAAACATACACTGCATGTTATAATATTATACTGTATATAGAAATGGCACCAGTCCTGAAATAAGTATTCCCTGAAATCTAACTTAGAAATCGATTAATTTATTGATATAACATGATACATTTATAATAAGAAATCTATGCTCCTAGGATGAATGGACATTGCTGCATGTTATATAATATACTGTATATAGCCATGGCACCAGTCCTGAAATAAGTATTCCCTGAAATCTAACTTAGAAATCGATTAATTTATTAATAGAACATGATACATTTCTATTAAGAAATCAATGCTCCTAGGATGAATGGACATTGTTCAATGGTTCAAGTCTACCGTGAAAGAGGAAATTGCTAAGATTTTGATTTCTTTTGTAAGCTACAACAAAACGTTTTGTGTATACATGGGGAAATTTGTTCTGAATAATGGTGTTTGACTATTATGGAGGCTTTGGTAGCTGTAGAATCAAATGTAGTTATAAAGGGTTATCTGGTTATCATGTTGTGTTTGACTAGTATAGTTTAGTAATGGGACAGATATTGATAGTGTTTGACTGCAGTAAGTAGTAGAGGTTAGTAATGATACAGATATTGATAGTGTTTGACTGTAGTATGTAGTCAAGGTCAGTAATGATACAGATATTGATAGTGTTTGACAGTAGTATGTAGTAGAGATCACTAATGGTACAGATATTGATAGTGTTTGACTGTAGTATGTAGTCGAGATCAGTAATGGTACAGATATTGGCAGTGTTTGACTGTAGTATGACGTGGAGGTCAGTAATAAAACAGATATTGATAGTGTTTAACTGTAGTATGTATTCAAGGTCAGTAATGGTACAGATATTGATAGTGTTTGACTGTAGTTTGTAGTAGAGGTCAGTAATGGAACATATATTGATAGTGTTTAACTGTAGTATGTAGACAAGGCCAGTAATGATACAGATATTGACAGTTTTTGACTAGTTTCTAGTAGAGGTCAATAACGGTACAGATATTGATAGTGTTTGACTGTAGTATGTAGTAGAGGTTGGTAATGATACAGATATTGATGGTGTTTGCCTGTAGTGTGTAGTAGAGGTCAATAGATGCTCAGTGGGATTAGGCTTTGTTGTTTTCCTTGCACCAATAGTTCAAATATAGGAACAGTTGTCTACAAATCCTACGCATATCATCAGCCGCATTGAGCCTATTTCTATCTTTAGTTTTGATGACTAAATTGTCGAAGGGCACCAGAAATCCTGAAACTCTATAATTCTTCTCCTACAATAGCCTGGGAATCAGGAATATACAGTATTATAGCTTGGAAATTAAAACTTCAATAAAAGTCTGTCAAAAGCATAGCTTTAAAATGTATATATAAACGAATTGCAGACTAATAGACAGCTGGAAATGCACCCAATACCGAAGTATGATCATAAACACGCATTCCTTATGGTTCACATCACATAACGATTGCCGAAATTTTTAGACTGTGAAATTTAGCGTCCAAAATGCTCGAAAACCATAGTCACCGATATTAAATATGGCGGATATTTTTCTTCGCTCTAGAGATATTAAAATGCTTAT